GACCTCCCAGAAGCAGTATGCCGATCGTCAGCGACGAGATCACTCAGTAGCAGTCGGAGATCAGGTGCTTCTTGACACGCGCAACATTGAACCTGTCTCACCTCCCATCCAAACTCCGGCCTCGCTTCTGTGGTCCTTTTCTCGTTGAGGCACAGGTGACACCAGTTACATTCCGCTTGCGCTTACCAGATACATGGAAGCTTCACAACGCTTTCCATGTCTAGCTACTGAAACCCTACAAGGACCCCAACCAACAGTTCCAGGGACGGCAGCTACCGCCACCACCACCGGTTCTCGTACAGGATAAACCAGAGTACAAAGTGGAGCGCGTTCTCACTCATCGGCGCCAGCGGCGGCAAGACCCTGGAGTTCCTGATACGCTGGAAGGGATACGGCCCCACTGAGGACAGTTGGGTTGCAGAAGCTGATATGGGCAACGCACGCCGTGCTCTCAAGGACTATCTTGTCAAGCAGGGTGTATCTCACGCCACCCAGCTTTGAGGGGGGGGCATGTGAGAGTACGACGGCTTATGCCAGCTATGCTTACTTGCCATTACTTTATTATGCTATTTCTAGCATAGTTTAACCATATGCATGCATGAATTGCTTGATTTCCTAGGCTAGGTGCTTTCCTATATCTTATGATAGCTATAGCACCGAGCTAGGTTACGTGCACCGAATTCTGGCCTTATCGGTTGCCACCGAATTGCCTTTTACCGAATTCGGTAAGGGTCTGTTCGAGACGCTACGCGACCCGCGGAACCTTCGCGTAACACCTGGTTACGGGACCTTGTGTCGAGCCTATATATAGCCTCGTGTTCTACCCAGGTGATCATTCAATTTGATTCAATTCGACTCAAAACTCATTCTCTTTTCTGAGCTCGATCCTGGATCCTCACACACCACCTCCGCTCCCACCGCCACCGCCGTCCGCCGCCTCCGCCTCCACTACCGCCACCGATACCTCCACCCCCGCCACCACTCCCACCGCCACCCCCACTCCCTCCGGCGCCTCCACCGCCGCCTCCACCGCCCCCGCTAGCTCCTCCAGCGCCCCTGCCCCCCTTGCCCTTGCCAGGGCGGCGTCTCCCGCTAGGGGTAGACGCCGCATCGACCGACTCAAGCCCAACGAGGTCGGCCGCAGCAGCAGAGGCAACGGAGGGCAAAAGGAGGGAGGGGGAACACCCCTCAAAGATGGGGGTGCGAGGGTCACCACGGGAGGCTCCTACAGCGACTATGCTCTTCTTTGCTGCTAGGAGGGCCTTCTCGAGGAGGTCAACGGTGAGAGTGGTGGGGCAAACTGAGAGGAAGTGGTCCCGGACTACGCGAAGAGAGTCAGGGAGTCGGGTGACTATGTAGTAGAGGGTGATGTACATGGGGGGGGGGGGGGTTCTTGGCGCAGAATTCAGCAGGAAGCGCAGCGCGGTAGCGAGTGTCACTAGTGCGGAGGTGCGTAATGAGGTCAGCGACTGTGGGAAATGCAGCAAGGTCAGGGAAGAGGTACGGTAGCATGAGGCGGCTCAGTGCAGCAGTGGCAAGGGAGGAGTAGCGTGCAACTACAGCGTCGTACAAGGTCTGAGCACTCTTGTACTGGCTAAAGTGCGCACGCTCAGAGGTAGGCAGGTGGCGACGCACAGCAAGACGTGCAGCAGCATCGCGCGTGGCCCACTGTGAGCGAACAGTGCGTCAGCATCAGCAGCAGGGGCAGGAGAGGCACCAGAGGTGAGTTCAAAGAGGGAGAGACCGTCCGCCCTATCGCAGTGTAGGAAAAGCTGCAGGTCATCTACCCAGACGTCAAAGTCAATGGCCCGACCCTCAGCGTCAAAAGCGAGGACACTAGGGGTAGCCATGACAGCAGTAGACTAGTAGCGTGAACAGTGGGGTAAGGGCAGTGCAGTAGTAGAGGCGCTGCTCTTACCGGACAGGGCGGCTCAGGCGGCTCGGCAGGAACTGCAACTCGGCGGCTCGGCGACTCGGCGGCTCGGGCGGCTCGCGCGGCTCGGCGGCAACTGCGGCTCGACAACTCGGGGGCTCGGGCGGCTCGGGCGGCTCGGTGGCAACTGCAGCTCGGCGTGCGGCGCCCTGGCGGCTCAGGTGGCGCGGCGGCTCGGGTGGCGGTGGCGGTCCGGTGGTGACGGCGGGGCCGCGGCCGGGAAGGGCGGGCGACGGGGCCAGTAGCGGCTAGGCCGGGGCCGGGAAGGGCAGCGCCGTGGCCGCAGGAGTAGGCGACGGAGCCGCTAGGGCGGCGGATCAGGGCCGTGAGGGCGGCGCGACGCAGCCGCTAGGGCGGCGCGACGTGATGGGGCCGTGAGGGCGACGCGACGGGGCCGCTAGCGCGACGCGACGGGGCCACTAAGGCGGCGCGACAGGGTCGAGAGCGGGGAGCGCGACTCGGGTAGGGGCTGAGCACGCTCCGGACAGAAAAAAAAAAAGAATCGAATCGGTGGGCCCTAGGAAACAGTTCCCACGAGGGAGCCTACTCTGATACCATGAGAAAACTAGAACGAGGAATGAATGACTAAGTGAAAGTTGGGTACAAATACAAACCCCTAGAAAGTTGTACCCCATATGTGCTACCCCACTATAGCCTACAATAGCTATGTCATATAAATCTGACAGACCGCTCCGGCAAATCGACGTCGGCAGCGCCTTCCTCTACGCTCGCGTCGATGCCATCATTTTCGTCGAGCAGCCGCACGCATTCGAAGAAAATGATGGCGCCGTGTACCTCCTCCAAAAATCCCTCTACGGAATCAAGCAGGCGCCTCGTCTATGGCAGCAGTACCTCCATTCCGTCCTCCTTGAGCTCGGCTTCACTCAGCTGCCGCACGACCTCGGAATGTACAAGCGGGAATCGCGCGGGAAATTCGTACTCCTCGTCGCCTACGTCGACGACCTTCTCTACACCGGCAACGACACGGAGCTGTTGGACCAGTTTGAGGCTGACATCAAAGAGAAACTGGAGGTGACAATCAATCACAACGTCACCCAGTTTCTTGGCCTCAATGTGACTCAGTCCGCCTCCTCCATTCACCTCTCCGCCGCCAAGTACGCCGAAACACTCGCGAAGCGCTTCTCCATCGCGTCAATCAACCTCACTACCCCCTATCGCACTCCTCCTAATCACGAGTCCAGACACCACACCGCTCTCTCCCGACAACCATCGTCTCTATCAGCAGCAGTTGGGATGTCTCCTGTTTGCCGCCGCCACGTGCCGGCCCGATCTCTCCTACGTCACAAGCCAGTACCTGGAGCAACCTGAAGGGGAGTATCTACTGGATCTACGACGAGCACTATAGTACTTCATCTCCACTCCCGACGTCGGTCTCACCTACGAAGCCAACCTCACTGCTACTCTACAGCTCCATGGCTACGTAGATGCCGACCACGCTGGAGATGTTGACAACAGACGCTCCCGCACAGGATTCATTTTTCAACTCCAACCTAGCGGACTCATCTCCTGGAACTCTCACAAGCATGAACTTATCGCTCTCTCGTCAGCAGAAGCAAAATTCATCGCAGCTAGCGCAGCCGTTCGCGAAGGACTGTACCTGGTGGAGCTCCTGCAAAAAGCGAAAGTGACGATGAACGGGCACTTCACGTTACTCTGCGACAATCAGAGCGCGATAAAGATCGCGAACAAGCCCGGCTTCGTCAACCGCACCAAGCACATCGCCCTTCGCTACTTCTTCGTGAAGGATGAAATCGACAAAGGGAAAGTCAAGCTGACGTACTGCCTGACCGGTGACATGGCAGCTGATTTCTTGACGAAGAAGCTGTCACGTCAGCATTGCCAACGCTGCGCCGACCTCTGCGGGATCACCAAGAAATCCCACGTGGCCCACCTTCAGGAATGAAGGGGAGTGTTGGAATAACCGAAAGGTTATATAAAGCATTCCCGAAGCTGTTCCACTGTACCAGTACCGCAATAGCTCATATAGAGCATGCGGAATGTCGAGGGTCACCTGAAGGTCAACCGTTTGAGGAAGTCAACGGTCAGTGACCCTTGACAATCCAGTCACCGCGCGACAGTTAATTCACTGCAACATGGTAACTGTCGAGGATAGCAACAGTCACGGTTACTGTAGCTATGCAATACAATGGAATGTACCCCTCAGAGTACATGGCTAGCTAGATTTCTACTTAATCTCTTGTACCGTACTCCTATCTTTCAATTATCTTGTTCTCTTTCAATTATTATTCAACAAGGTCACTACAGAGACTTCATTGTCTCCCCTCTTACTTAACAGATTCTATCATATCCACTGGATTCTTGGTAATATCACCAGAAATATCTCAACCGCTATGGAAAGACCAAATATACACGACTTCAAAAGAATTCGGATACACGTTACGATATAATCTTGTGACAAGTTCGGAAAAAAATGGGGACGTTCAGGCTAAGTGTTATGAAAGGATGGCACGGTGGTGGAGGAAATAGAATAATTAGTCAGTATGGGATAGTCATAGGGTCAGAATGAAGATTCAGCTGTGGTTTGACTTGACAGTAGCTAACATCGGCAATACACGAGGTGTACTGAAGCAAGGCTGCTGGGAATGGGGACCGAGCAGAGCTGGTGGTGTGCACAGGAAGACTCGACTCGCATTTCTTCATTCCAACAATCAAGCATCAAGGCATCTAGAGGCGCCTTTCTTGTCAGTAGGAAGCGCAACAAAAGAATAGTTGGCGTTGGTATGGAGCTAGCTAGCCTAAGTCCTAAGCTCTATTGTTCCTATGGCAACACGCTATTCACTGAAGCAGCAACTGGGCTAGGCGCCCTTGGTGCTGCATGCATGGCCGTGGGGTGGGGATGGTGGTGCACGGGACGTGGACGAGGTAGTTTGGCAGGCCCATGGGGCATGTGGTGTTCTCGGGTTGCACGAGGTGGTGGAAGGCATGGTGCTGCGCATGGCTGCGTGCCCCTCAGGCTGTGCCATCCGTGCAGGGTCAAGGAGGAGGATGGAGGATGGAGGAGAGGAGGAAAGGAGGGGATGGGCGGCTAGAGGAGGTCGATGTTGCACTGCTGCACCATGTCATCGTCTGCCAGCACGTAGCGGCTCCACAGCCCCTTGAACTCCTTAATCGCCGTGTCCAGCCACGGCTTCTGTGAGCCCACGCCACACCAAGTGGATGGGGGTACGTGAGGGGGAAGGGGTGGGGGAAGAGAAAAAAGTGAGGGAGGCAGCGGAGGCGAGTGCGAGGCATGAGGCGAGCAAGGGGGGTAAAAAATGCACTGGGGATAGCGGGATAGGTGCGAGCATGGATGGGCATGGAGGCATGGGCACAGGTATGGCGAGGCAGGGGGGGGCGCTTACCGCATTGCCGTTGTAGTGCAGCACGGCGGCCTGTTGGATGAGGTGGGTGGGCGTGGCCTTGTCGTAGCCCAGGCCCAGCACGTGCCAGTGCGCGTCCAGCGGCGCTGTCAGGTTGTAGAACGTCATCAGCCCGGGCGGCAAGGTGCCCAGCTGCCACAGCTGCCTCTCCGCGTTCTGAGGAACACCCGGCATGGGCGCATGGGGAGAGTGGGACAAGGGGGAGGGGAGAAAGCGAGGTGAGGGAGGGCTTCTGTGAGACCATGTAGGCAGGGCGGAACACGCACACAAGGGGGCACGCAGAGAGGCAGGTAGAGGAGCAGGCAGAGAGGCAGACAGGGAGAGGCGGGGGTGGGCGCACCATGGACTGGTACTTGTGGTAGACGTCTGTGAGCCCCTTGCGGCGCCACTGCGCGAGGTCAAACACGTTCATGCCGTACGCCCACCCACAGCCGTCCGGGTCAAAGTGGTCGCGGATGAAGGGGTGCGAGAAGTTGAGGTACTTGTGCAGGCGGTGGAAGGCGTCGCCCTCACGGCACGTGTACACGGCACCGTTGACCGCGCCGTGCAGCGGCAGGGAGAAGAGCGGCGAGAGGTCGCGCTGCACCACCACGTCGTCGTCCAGAAACACCACGCGGTCCAACGCCGGGAACATCTGCCATTGGGGGAGTGGCGTTGAGGTGAGGGGGGGTGTTGGGAGGAGAGTGGGGAGAGGGGGGGGGAGGGGGGGAGAGGAGATTAGGAACATGGCAGGGGTGAGGGGCCTGGATGGTGATGCGATTGGGAGGTTGGTTGTGCGCAGCTTTGTGGGGAGGGTGGGAGAGCAATTGGGGCAGGTGGGTGGTGCGATGGGGCATGTGCGACGGGCTGTGCTGCTGTGCATGTGGCGTGGCACAGCAGGTGGCGTGGCACAGCAGGTGGCGTGGCACAGCAGGTGACGCACACGGCATCCAGGCACGGGGTGGGTGGGTGGGGCGGGAGGGCGCACCTCGGGGAGGTAGAAGCGGAGGTGGTTGAGGATGGAGAGGTACTTGGGGTTCTTGAACTTAAGCTTCTGCCCCGCCACTGCCGCCGCCGCTGCCGCCCCCGCAGCCTCTGCCTCTGTTGCTGCGGACCCCTGTGGCCGCAGCACCCCGCTGTTCGTCTGGTTCGCTGCTGGGGACGGGCGAGGGGAGAGCAGGGGAGGGAAGAAGCGAGGGGAAGGAGGAGGTGAGGCAAGGGGGAGGGTGGTGAAGCAGTAGCCAAGGGAGTGCTGTCTCAGAGGCAGGCAGGCGAGCAAGCCAAGGCGGGGGGGCTTACAGTTGTCGTGTTGGGAGAAGGGCTTACAGTCGTCGTGCTGGCTGAAGTAGAACTTTTTGAGCGCCTTGGCCTGCAGCTGGCGCAGCACGGGGCAGTAGGACGCGTTGAGGAACGCCAGCGACTCCACGGACGTGATCTCCACCGCCACGTGCGCGGGCGGGTGAAGCGCGAACCACGCCTGCATCGCCGGCAGGTTCATGCTGTCCGTCACCACGTGCACCACGTGCCTGCTCGCGCGCGCACGGGGGAAGGGGGGACGGGGGGGGCGTACATGGGGAAGGAGGGAGGAAGGGGGCGGAGACGGGGGATGGGGATGAGGTGTTGGAGGGAGGCAGGCGGACGGCACGCGTGCAAGGCCATGGCATCACAGCCGCCACCAAAAGGAACCCTGACTCTCCACACCTCTCCACGTCTCCACCCTCCAAAACGAGTATTTTCAACTCCCCGCCTGCGACCCGCCAACTGCGCGTACCTGTCGGGGTTCTTGGAGTTGGCCTCGAGCGAGCGCAGCACGGTGGCGACGGCGAGCACGTTGTCGGAGAAGAGCGCGTAGTGCATCAGCGCGGGGTCCGTCAACAGCGCGCGCTGCTTGCGCTCCCGCCGCCGCGACGCCGCGCGCAGGTCCTTGTTGCTGCCGTACTCCTGCCGCCCGCCACCGGAGAGGGCGGTTCCAGAGGAGGGAAGAGATGAGGGCGAGTGAGCTGGTTGATAGAGGGTACAAAACGATATGCGACGCATTGCGACGCAGCAAGCGGCGAGCGAGAGAGCGACTTCCTAAAGCCATGAGCGCAAGCCGGTGCGCGCAAGCAGTGGGCTTACGACGGTGAGGCGGAGGTTGAAGCAGTGCAGCGACTTGGGCAGCGCCTTGGCGGCAGCCAGGTCGAGCTGGTTGCGCTCCGCCGTGAGCGCCGCCACCTTGGCCTTGCCGCGCTCCACCTCGCCGCGCAGCTTCTCGATCGTCGCGGAGTTGCCGCGCCACTCCTTGGCGCGCGCCGCCACCGCCTCCAGCAGCTTCACCAGCCCCGTCACCTTGTCGTCGCCGCCCCACGCGCCGCTCTCCCACCGCGCCGTCACCGCATTGCTCTTCTCCACTGCCGCGCGAATGTGTTTCACCAGCTGCGCGTTCCCCCGCTCCTCCGCCAGCGGGCGGATGCCCTCCAGCACCGCCGTCAGGTTGCGCAAGCGCTCCACCAGATCCGCGCGCGCGGGGGAGAACGAGGGGGAGGAGGGCGAGGATGGGGCGGAAGGGGTGGCGGAAGAGCTGGCGCCGGGCGGGAGCGTGACATCCACCCCGCCCGCCGATCCACCCGCCGACCCATCACGCTGCTCAGTCGCGCTCGACTCGCCAGCCCCCGCAGCACCGCTGCTGCTGGCTCCGCTTTCCGCTTCCCCCACCGCTTCCGCCAACACCGCCTTCACCCCCTCTGCCCCTTGTTCTCCGCCCCTTTCCCCCTCACTCCGCCCCGCCCCGCCCTCTGCCCCCTCCCCTTCCCCCTTCATCGCCTCCACTGCCTCCAGAAAACTGTTTCCGCCGCCCTCACTCTCCCCGTTCCCGCTCGCCGCCCCTTGCTCTTCCCCCGCCGCCATTGCCGCCGACTCCTCCAGCTCCGACTGAAAGGCGGCCACCGCCGCGTCCGTACCGGCGGCCGGCAACTCCATGATTTCGCGATTCTCGTAGCGAATCTCGATGGGCTCGCCCACGCCCACCCCCACTACTGACGCGTCAGCCGCGCCGCTTCCTGCACACAGGAGAAGGGCAGCCGGGCAGAATTGTGAAGGAGCGAAAAAAAAAAGCGAGAGGCAGAAGGGGAGAAGCGAGCGGAGCACGGTGAACCGACGGGATCAGAAGCGATTTGGAGGAGAAAGGGGCGAGATGGCCGAAGGCGCGGGGCGGGATGGGTAGCGGATATAGCGGGAGGGCCAGCGAGCATAGGGGTGAAGACGGTAGGCGATGACACGATGCGCAAGAGCGAGCGACACAGGATGGACGAGCACGCGAACATGATCACATGAGGATCGGAAGTGAAGGGATGTGGGTGGCAGAACGGCGAGGCAAGCGTGGGGATTGGCGGCGTGCCTTGTCCTGTATGGGTGCGCAGGGCGCGTCGATTGTGCGGTGAGGCCCAGATGAACGCCGTGACGACGAGCGCGAGACACGCGGCCGGCAGTATGAGTCGCGCCACGCCCGTGTCGCGACTGGACGACTGCTTGCCGCGACGACTGTGTGGAGAGAATTGGGGGGGAGAATAGGCAGGAAGTGTGGCGGGGGAGGGGAAGCCTTGAGGTGAGCAAGCGCAGGGTAGCGGTCGGCTTGGGGCGCGTTTTGTAGACGGCACTGCGACGAGGCGAGTGAGTGCAGCGCGGGAAAGAGGAGGAGTACACAGGCGAGGGACAGCGACGGCTGGAAATGGGAGACCTGCACTGGTGGGGGAGGATGTGGCGATCGTGGAGCAAAGGCACCAACCCGCATGCGCGCAGCGCAGGTGCCTAAAGCTTTCTGGTTCGGCACCCTACCACGTGCGAGTACGCGACACATCAGGTATTTCGAGAGTTCATCTAAGCATCCCAGAATGATCCAAGGCCGCAGACTGGCTAGCGATCCAGCCGACTAGACAGTGCCCGCAACAACCCGTCCTAAGCGATCGCACGACAGAAGCCGTGGGCGGCTTGCGTTAACGTACCTGAATGGAATGGCTAAGTCGGGTGACTTGCCTACGGCTTGGAAGCCGAACGGCATGGCTGCTGATTGACTTCTATGCTCTCTGATTTAAAATAGAGGATTACTTCGAGCTAGGCTAGGTTTCGTGACGGAGTGGTTCTTGATGAGGCCTGAGACAGAGGTGATGGTTTTCAAAAGTACTGTCGGCCGCCAGCAATGTCTACGAGCCCCACGAACTCAAGATGTTGCTTGGAATCAGTGTCATGCAGCAGCTATGTCGGTTGAAAAGAACCTTTGAGCCACTCGAGCATGATGCGCCAAGGGAAGGAGGAGAGAAGCATCTGAGAGCACAACCTGAGACCATCTATTGCCATGTTCGGTCATGCCAATCCTGGGACTGATAGTCATGGCAGCAGCGGGAAAGGTGAAATGTGGTGGTGGGGAGCGGCAGATGGCCATCCCTCCAGCCCAGTCGAGCTTGCCGTCGTGCCGCAGAAGAATTCGCGCTCGGACGACGCGGAGGACACGACAACGTGTGGTGGGCGTCAGGAGCATTCGCCAAGATTGCGCAAGCTGGGAGGGCTGCGACTGATGCCTCTGCTGGTGACTGCGCTAGCATCGCTGCATCATGGATGGTTCCCATGGTCGACTGGGTTGCCCCTTGTTGGCCATGGAGGTGGGGCTTTGATTTTTTTGTTGCACATAATTCAAACCATCCAAGCACTAACAAAATAAAGAAAGGATTGAGAAACCACTAAGCGGAAAATACACACCCGGGAATGTATTCTGAGCAACATTTCCATTTCACATGCCCGAGAATCTCTCAGTATCGCTGACCATTGCTGCAAATTCGCGCCTTGTCAGAGCCGAGAAAATCGCAGCGCGCACCAGGTGAAGCCCGCGCACCAGAGCAAAAATGTCATACGACATCGCTTTTATGAGCTGCTCGTTTCAAACAGATGGCAAAGGAAAGCATGCATGCTAAAAATAGCAAAAAAATGTACTTTCAGAATAATTACGTCATTGCTATTACCGTACATATCCACTAATATGCCATAACCCTGGATTTAAAATAAAAAGCGTGTTTCATACTAATTATTTCTGTATGTAACTGTATTTTTTTATACATCCAAACATTTTATTACATTATTCCCAAGACCCCCTTTTGGACAACAACTGCACTTCACTTACCATCCAACTAATTTGTTACAAACAGCTACATAACAACCGCATTTTGCGATTACATCTTGGCCTGTCCCGGACGCTTCGCAACACCGTTGGATGAGACCGGTTATCGAATGGTGGATTACTGGCGTCCGTATTCTTGAGAACCCCCCATCTCCCATCCTACTCACTGCACAAATTGCACAGGTCCTGCGCGTTCTTTGTTTTGCCTAACTCCTCAGTGCTCGCTGCTCAAAGCGATTTGTTCCGCTTCCGCTTCTTGTCAAGCCACTCAAGCACTGGGATTACCATTCGTATCGTTGACCCAACAGACGTCAGATTACCAGCATGGTGTGTGCTCTCGTCACTTCGTCTCGGAAAGGGCTGCTTGTTTTTTATGGGCTCCACGGTGGAACCAACCACTTTTCCGTATCTGTTCTTCCTGTCTGCTTGTCGGGTGTCTGGCCCCTCCATTAAGCGGTCCAACAACATAGCAAATGGTTAAATGATTCGTTCTTCGGCTACTCCCCTCATGTTTTTTATCTTTTCTCCATTCCAGTCTGGAAAGGGGGCCAAAGGACTTATGGGCAAGGGCCCAGAGGGTCTGGACAAGCTAAGAGACAAAAAGAAGCCAATTTCACGTTCTTCTAAAGCGGGCTTGCAGGTCAGTTCCAGCTAAGCTTGACCTCGACAATATAAACCGTAGTTTGATCGCTATGCGTACAGTTCGCCAGGTGCTGCAAGCGAAATCTCACCTGACTGTTGATTTGAGCAGTTCCCCGTGGGACGCATCCATCGCCTGCTCAAGTTGAGAGTGGCCGCTAACGGCCGAGTCGGTGCCACTGCAGCAGTGTACGGCGCTGCAATCCTCGAGTATCTCACAGCGGAAGTTCTAGAGCTAGCGGGGAACGCGTCGAAGGACTTAAAGGTGACCGTCGAATGTTGAATGCTATTTCGCTGCAGCGTCGTTGCGTTGCCGCCTCGTTCATTGCCTTGACTTCTGTCTCTTTCTTCGTGTGGTGCACAACAGGTGAAGCGTATTACACCGCGTCATCTTCAGCTGGCGATCAGAGGCGACGAGGAGTTGGATACATTGATCAAGGTGAAACAAACGCTTAATAATTTTGCCCCTCCATAAGCAATAGTTGCTGGAAGATTGACTTCTATTGCGGCTTTTCTCTGATGCTAACCATGGCGGACCGTTTCACGTCTTGGTGTTCATTCTTGCAGGGTACGATTGCTGGTGGTGGTGTCATCCCACATATTCATAAGTCGCTGATCAACAAGCAAGGAGGAAAGAAAGATTGAAGAAAAATATTTTCCTTGGTTCACACGACCTTCTGTACACGCATGAAAATAGTGCTCGTTGAGCACACCCTAGCTAAATAGCGTACAGTAGTTACCCACACTAACCTGTTTTTGTTGTAGCAATATATCCTATTCATAACCATTGAATCCTGCTGTCTGGGCTGAATTACACTGAGCTTACACTGGCAGCTCAGCTTATACGGTGACTCTTGCTTGTGGCCTAGAACAGGGTGGGCTTCTGGTTTGGCTCGGTGCTGCTGGATGTTGTGAGAGGAATAGTTCAGACAATTCTGAGCTGGTAAGGGTGCGTTCCTACAGCCTCTTATCAGAAAATACTCGTCAGACTTGCGTCGCACCACTCTGTAACGCGCGTAATCACATTCAACCTCATTGTACCGCACAAGTCTGACAAGAGGTGCGTATGATACTGGTAAGAGGCGCAGGAACATGCCCTAAAACGCACGAGAATATACAGTGAGTTTACCAGCCACAAGACAGGCAAACCCCAAAGAAATGCTACATGAGTGGCAGCGCGCGTGGTCTGACCACAATGTCAGCAGCGCTGAGCCCTGCTCGCTCCAACAGCTGCTCCATCACCCTCCTCCGCCTCCTCTGGTTCTTCCGGTTGTAGCGCCGCCCAAAGTGGTCCCCTGCCCACCGCCGCGCTACAGCCTGCCAGATCATGTCCTCCGCCCCTCCGGGCTTGGGCGGCGTGGAGTAGACAAAGTGGTGTGCCACCTGCCAGGGTGCATGATGCGGGGGGGGGGGGAGGGGGGAGAGGGGGAGGAATATGGCGGCAGAATTTGCGAATGTGAAAGCAGAGGGTGAAAGATGGAGGCAGATGATGCGCTGGAAGGGAGATGGTTTGAACCAGAGTTCAGATGACAGAGACAGCGCACACCACCACACCCCCCAACCCCTCCCACACACCTCTCTCAGCCGCTGCCACATGGCGAATGCTGATTCGTGCGACACGTTTTGCAGGAAGGCCTCGACGTATCCGGGGCGGAGGGCGAGGGCCTGTGGGAGGAAGAGGGCGAAGGCGGTGTAGTCAAGGGCTTCCTCGAATGGCAGGTCCAGCGAGTCGGAGACGACCAGCGGGATGCAGTGCGATAGGATGGCGTCAAACAGCCGGCATGATGATGCCGTGTCGCCTGGCGAGGGAGAGGGAGAGGTGAGTACGAGGGCGGAGAGGGAGAGGGAGGGTGAGTACGAGGAAGGTCAAGGGGGAGTTGGCGCGAGGTGGGGGGGAAAGGGAAGCATGGCCAGGCACGAACAAGATTGCAGGTTTGCATGGCCAGGCACGAACAAGATTGCAGGTTTGCATGGCCAGGCACGAACAAGATTGCAGGTTTGCATGGTATGTGGAAGGAAGATGATTGTAGTGAGCAACGTAAGCAGAAGGAGGAGGGCGAGCAGTGGCAGAAGAAGGTGAGGGCGAGCAGAGGCGACCTTCAGGCACGAGGCAGAACTTGGAGGCGCGCATGCCTGCTGTGGCCGCCTGCACCCCTCCCTGCAACGGTGACCCCTCTGCTATGTCCGCCCCACTCACGTTCACCAGCAGCCGCGCCAGCTGCACCCGCATGGCCCCTCCCTGGTGCAGCGCAGGGGCGGGGAAGGGGGAGAGGGGCGAGGGAGAGGAGGCCAGATTGAAGGGGCAACGCAGTGGGAAGGGGGCTGGGTGGTTGAGCGGGTCAAGGGAGGGAGTAGACGGCACTGGTTCGGGCTGGCTAATCCGACCTGCATTGCATCCCTCTCTGCAGCTCACATGCACACCTGTTGCCGGTTGAGCACACCTGTTGCCGGTTGAGCACACCTGTTGCCGGTTGAGCGTGCCTCTGAAGAATATCAGAGTGGGCCGTGCAGCCGCCCACGCGGCCACAGCCTCCGCCCCTCCCACACTGCCCTGCCCGCCCTCTGTCTCCCCCGGCAGCGAGTCATTGAGGAAGGGCGGGATGAGAGCAGAGTAGGGCACGAGCACGTCCTTGTTTAAATGCGCCACCTGCTCTGCCGGCTGGCTGAAGTCAACCATCAGCATGTGCGCTGCTGCCACCTCATGCCGCACCGTCGACAGTGCATGTGGGTGCACCGCTGGGATGAGGAAGTCCCGCCGCCGAGACACAAGGCCCCCCTTGCCTCCCTCGCTCTGCGACCCCTCTGCTGCATCGCCACTTTCAGCCCCTCCAGCCCCACCATCAGCTCCCTGCTCACCCTCCACCGCTGCATTCTGCGCCTGCTCGCCCGCGTCCGCTTCCTTCCCCTTCCGCCCCCCTTTCAGCACCCGCAGCAGCCGTTGTCTGCTGCTGCCGCCCGCCTCCCCTGCACCACTGCCACCAGGTGAGCCCTTCCCAGTCGCCACCTCCACCTTCTCCAGCAGCTCGCCCTCCCCCTGCTGCCCCTTTGCCCCCTGGCTGGCCCCTCCGCCCAGCCCGCCCCCGTCCCCCCACAGCGAGTGCTGTGTCACTGCGGCCAGCAAGTGCTGCTCCTCTGGTATCCTCGTGTCGCCTGCCCGCCTCCGCCTCTCATTGCTGCCTTGGGGGCGCAGGGAGAGGGGGAGAAAAGCAGGCAGAAGCGGAGGTGGGAGAGGGAAGGAAGAGACAGACAAGGAGCACACAGGAAGCGAGCCAGGATGCTCTCTCCACGGAGACACTGCTTGCACCACGTGGCAGGCTGTCACAAACGCACTCAAACGAGTACGAACCGGGCAGCACTGACTCACGTCTTCATCTGAGTGGCATAGAAGGCGGAGGAGAAGGCCGGCACAAAGATGATGTGGGCGTCCTCTGCCCGCCGCACGCGCTGCACGGAGGGCAGCCCGCCGGCGAGCAGGGAGAGCGTGAGCCAGTACTCGGCCGCGTACTGCTCTATGTGCACCCCAAACCCCTCCACAAACTGCGGCACCTGCACCAACCCCTCTCCACCCCCTCCTCCGCCTCCCCCTCCGCCCTCCCCCTGGCCGCCCTCCATCCACCCATCGTCCTGCACCATGAACCCCACCACGTCGCCGTCCGCCCGAGGCCGCAGCGAGTTGCCTTTGAACTGCCAGTCCGCCGGCATGCCGTGCTGCAGCTGCACCGCCACCCGGTTCGCAAAGCGCCACCGTTGCTGTTGACGGGGCGTGGGGAGAGAAGGGGGAGATGGAAGGCAGCGTGTGGGGGGAGGGTGGGGGGAGGGTGGGGGGAGGGTGGGCGCGGAGGAAAGGGAGGAGGTGGGTATGGTGGGCGCTCACAGTGGCGCATGGCATGGGGCGGCATGGGGACTGGTGACAAGAAGAGACGGAAGGCTGTGTGGTGTGCAATACTGAGGAGTGGCGGGTGGTCGTACCAGCAGTACGTGGAAGTTGAGCTCGCCTGTCAGTGGCAGCATGTACACCCGCAGAGGCATCGGCACCTCCCCTCCCCCTCCTCCTCCCTCCTCTCCTTCCCCACCCTCCCCTCCCTGCCCTCCTTCCCCCTTTCCCTCCGCTTCTCCCCCATCGGTTCCTCTCTCCGCCCCCTCTTCCAACTCCTCCGCCGCCCCCGTACTCCCTCCCAATGCTTCATCTCCCTTGAAAGCAGCCTCGCTACTCGCTACAGCGTCAGCAGCGTCCGCCATGGTCACTGCCTTTTCCCGAATCACGTCCGCCTGCTCTCCGCCCATGCGCATTGCGCTTTCCGCAATCCCCCCATTCCCCCCCAAATGCAACGATTCCCCGCGCTCGAGCTGCGGACCCCTGCCCCTCCCTCGCACACGACCCCCCGTTCCTGCTTCTGCGACGGCGACAGCGTCGCCAGCAGTCACACGGATGGCGCCGTGCGACGCGGCCCAGGGCACGAAGAGGAAGAGGAGCAGCGCGAGGAGGCTGACGAAGACCATCAGCGCGTACACGCGCGCCACGTGGCACTTGCAGCACAATCCACTCTTGCCCGCCGGGACGAACGGAGACGGCGGCCTCGCCGTGAGTCGCGGCGTCGCCATAATCGAGGCTCGAAGCGGTAGGCTGGAGTGGGGAGTGCGGTGAGTGCTGCGCGGATGTGCGCAGGAGGCGTCAATTCATGCTACACTAAATCCCCGTGAGAATCCGACGCGGTCATTCTACTGCAAATACAGCGAGAGCTGTACCGCGAGTTGCGCTGGCAGAAAGCAGCGATGACGAAGCGACAACTGCAGACTCGTGTTGTGGTGAGGAATGGGGCTTGCGGTGAGGTGATAGTTGAGCTACGCGCGACAGGCGCGCAAAGCAAAACCTTCAGTTCTAATTTCTACCTAGGATGAGGCGGCGCAAGTTGTTGGCAACCTCGTTATGAAGGTGCACAGTTTGTTATTATTATGGTATATTCATGTACAGTATTTGATGTACATAGACATGCGTTACGGAACAACTGACAAGATACTTATCAATATTCCCGGATTCATTTATTGGGGCATGGCATCTGATGCTTTGCCATGCCAATCTGGCATTGTCCTTCAGTAATTCGAGTCGCGACTCATGAGACCCGTACGAGCAAGCGAGCAGCCGTCACACGTCCTTCGCGTGCTTCCTCGGGCTACTCAACGCATTCAGAATGTTTTGCCGCCATCCTCTTTCACCGGATCGCCATTTCGCGCTCGATTGTCCGCCCTCTGTTGGTGTGCCGCTCGAAAGAGTCCACCCTTCCGCGGGGCTTCTTCGCGACGTGCGCCAATCCGCTCGCTTTGCTCCGGTGTTCCGCCTCTCGCCGCTGCTGTCATTGGAATCGGCAGGCGAGCAGACACTGGCGTCTCCGCCGGTGGGGCTGCATTCCGAAGGGGCGGCGGAGTCACCGCGGAGCACGGGGATGGGGGTTGGCGGCATGGAGGGGGCAGTGCGCCAAGGAGCGGCACTGGGCGAGGGCGAGGGGAGGCAGGAGGGGAGGAATGGGGGGATGACGAGCAAAGACGGGGAGCGCCTGTGCTGAGACGATGACGACGACGACGGCCGATCCTTCGCTGCTGCGACGGAACACGCAGAACGCTCAGCGCTGCTATCGCCATGCATCACCGACGCGCGTCGCGGCAGGGTCGGCGAAACCTTCTGCGACGCGCACGCGCAGGGAAGCGAGTTATGTCGCAACAGCTGGTAGCGCGCCGAACCCTCCCTGCCCGCGAGCCCTGATTCCCCCGCGCGCTGCGCCGTGTCGTTGCGCACTCCCATTTCGTTGCGATTTGCGCCGTGCGGTCGCCGCTCGTCGTCGCCAGAGGTTTCCGCCAGCCCCTCCTCCAGCCACCGCGGCTCGTACACGCTCCGCCACACGCCCCGGCTGTCCGCGCGCGACCGCCCGCGCCTCGCGCCCTTCTCGTTGCCGCGCTCCTTCGACTCTGGAAACGATTTCGCTCGCTTCGCCGGCGTTACAGAGGCCGTCGCAATTGCGACGTTCAGGTCGTCGCAGCTGCCGCGTCGCGGCATTAATTGTCGACCGAGCGACCTCATCTTCTCGCGCCACGCCCAGCTCCGCCTCGCACTGATCGCCCCCGCAGTCCCTGTGATGGGGCTTGACAGAGAAAACGGCGCGCTGTGCGGCACTTGCTCCAACGGCTCTTCCTCCTCCTCCTCGTCCGCCGCCGCCGCGTTCTCCCACAGCATTCCCCATTCCGCGGCGTCGAGATTCCGAAGCCTAGCAACGACTGCCGCCTTGCACTCGCTAATGCGTATCACATCTGCGGAGGCCATCTGTAGCGTTGAGACACTCAGCTAGCTTCTGACAATAGCAACTTGATCTGTATGGAAGAATGGGAAGGAAACTCAAGAGCGCCAGTTTCCGTTCACCAGAGATGAGGACGAAGAGTGCATCTGTTTACCCAATTTCAACACACATCTCATCCGCGCGAAGAAATTCCTTGACTAGCAACCGACACCCGCATGCTTCTGGCTGACTGTCCTGTGCCATGCTCTGCCATACTATTCGGAGGTCGTGCTCGGCGCGCTGTGCGTAGGATATACCGAGGAAGGTGCGACGCAACGAAAGGCCAATGGCGCACCACGCGCGACAAGCGACAAGCACTTCTGTAACTTCCGTCTGCCGAATGTCATTCGCCAGCGCCTCACGCGGCAAATGCAGTCAGCAATGTGAGCCGCTTGTCCGTTTTGCAGTCGGTGGCAGTCGGCATGGGCACGACAAGCGATGCCAGGGTTGGCACCCGCTGCCATGTAACCGCAACTTCTTCTGGAAGCTTGTGTGCTGCACTGTATGGCTCGTGTGTGCGGTATCATTGCTAACGAGTGACGTTTGAATGAGGATATCTCCGCCTAAGGGGGTCAGTGCTTCTCATTCGGCTATACACCTTGCAAATGTACGGCATATCATTTACCACAGCTTAGTATTCTACAGAATTGAGAAGCCGAGAATTTACGTAGCAGCAACTGTTACAGCATAGCTCCTAGGTACACCTGCACAATGTCGTCACTAGCCTCCTGCTCCACCCTAACCTGCGCAGAGGGCGATCTCAAAAGCTCTACCTGTTGCTTGCGCATGGAAAAGATCGCCCAGCCGTAGCACACCACACCTACGACCTCCAGCAGGCAGCCGAGCAGGCTGATGGGGGCCATGGGCGTGCGGAAGAGCAGCCAGGAGAAGATGAGAGTGATCACGAGCTTCAGATTGCCCGCCACGTTGAACGTCAGCGCACTGCCATGGGGCCAGGGCCATTGGTGCGGGCGCAGGCCGTGGGAGGGGGGTGAGGGATTGGGAAAAAGGTATGGATGCATATACGCCATGGAGCAGGGAAGGCAGCATGAGTTTCGGGTTGCTGGGGAATATGAGACAATGCGTGACTTGCACGGTTTGCACACGCTCGAGGTCAAGGGCATGCGGCATTCAAGTGCACACGGTGCCAAGGAGTGACGGTGGTGGTGGCATGCAAAGCTGCAGAGAGGCTGCTGGAAGGGGCGACTTACCTGGTCTTTTGAATCGTGTAAAAGAGGGAGAAGTTGAGGCAGAAAGCGAAGCAGCCACTAATGAGGATGGCGATGACAGCGGGCCAGGGGTTGGCCTGCGCCATGAACCACCCCCACAGCTGCCACCCCTCCAGCACTGCTGCTGGCGGTGCGAGAATGAGCGCCGAGTACGGCACCAGCTGGTACAGCTGACAACGATGAAAACAGGAAAGGGCGGAATGGAGGGGGTAAGGAAGCGGGAAACCAAGCGAAGAGGGGAAGGGGAGACAAAGAGGGAAGAGTGGAGGAGAGAGAGGTCGATGAGCGAGGGAAGACGCAAGGAGCTTCCCTTTTCTACGGTTGGGGGCTGACGGTGCTGATGGATTCAAGGCGGTAGTGCTTCTATATGCACAGCACCTTGGCGATTGTTAAGTCAACTAAACCATCATCAGGTGCAAGGACGAGGAGGAGACGAGAGGGAAGTCAGGGGGTGGCGAGGTGGGAGATAGGGTGGTGAGGGCTCACGGCGTTGAGGGAGTCGAGGCTGTACTGCTTGCCCTTGAGCAGCACCTCGGCACAGATGACAGTGGCACAGCCCAGCACCACACAGCACAGCGCCGACAGGAACGTGGGCAGCGCGAAGTGCACGGAGGGCGCGTAGGCCAGCATGGCCCCCGCCATCACCGGCAGCAGCGAGAGGCACAGCCGCCAGTCGTACTCCGCCTGTAGCGCCAGCGCCTGGATAGCCACTGCGCGAGCGGGGCGGGGGTGGGGGGAGGGAGGAGAGGAGAGGGAAGTTAGAGGTTGGAGGTCTGGGACGGGGAAAGGGAGGGAGGTGAAATGTGGAAGGGCAGGCTGGGACATAACCCGTGAGAATTGAGCGCGCTTGGCATGGAGTGATGCGCACAGCGCACCTGTGAGGCCGGGCGAGAGGGCCTTGGTGGAGAGGAGGGCGGGCAGCGGCACGTAGCGCAGGGAGAGCTGGCCGAGCACGACGTTGAAGCACGTGACCACCGCCATGGGCATCACCCACGCCACCATCTCCCCCGCCTCCACCTCCGCCTTGGGGCACACATGCAGGATCTGCTTCGTGTGGGGTGCCACGCGATGGTCAACGAGGTGATGGCACAGCAGGGGAGGGGTGGAGATTGGCGGTAATATTTGAGTTGAATGGACTCAGGAATCGTGTTGGGTGGCATGGCATGACCCGCGGCAAGCATGGCCTGCGCCTGGACTGCCACCCTGGGGCCCACGGGAGAGGGGCGAACGCAGGATGGACACGATGGGAGGTGGGGGCCGTGGGGGCAGGGGCACGAGGCGAGAGGCTGTGAGAGGCGAGTGATGTGTGGGGTCTAATGGGAGTGGCATAGGTCAGATGGAATGAGCGAGCGGAAGGAGGGGGCGCGGGAGGCACGACTGACCTCAATAGCCGTGAAGGCACGACTGACCTCAATAGCCGTGAAGGCACGACTGACCTCAATAGCCGTGAAGGCGCCGACAAATGAGAGCGCGAAGTGGATGGCGGTGAGCGTGAGCGGGAAGGCAAAGCCGTACCGCTGCAGGTGGGGGATCAGGCCAGGGGGGGCGGGGTTGCGGGGCGCCAGCGGGGCAGAGAGACACGGGGCAGCGGCGGGGAATGAGGGGCCGAGGGGCGGAGGGAAATGAGGCGGGGTAGACTGGAGAGGCAGACACGACAGGCATGCAAACAAGAAGTGATGGAGGGGAGGGGAGTGAGGTGAGTGGCTGGCGGGGCGGGGTGGCACCTGGAAGATCTCGTTGTTGACGAGGATCATGATAATGTTGAATGTGCACCACTGCGCCACTGACGCCACCTGCGCTGCACCGAGCGAGCGGCAGGAGGGGGAGTAACGGGGAGGGAGGGGGAGAGAGGGGGAAGGAGGGGGAGAGGGGGGAAGAGAGGGGGAGACGGCGCATGAGGAACAAGCCCCCATCCTTGCCTTGCAGCACCAAACCGTGCCAACCCGTTCCCAATGTTAGGAGGGCAATCATATGAGGGCCATGTTAGGTGGCCACGTGACCTGCCAGAAGAACTTGGGCGAGCAGATGGCGCGGCACGGCTCCACCAAACAGCACGCCGCTCCGCTGGGATCCAACGCGCTGCATATCCACCCGCTGCCTCCCCACCCGCTGCCGCCCCAGCTACTGCTCCGCGCGTGCCGTGGCGACGGCCGGGACTTGCGCGACTGTGACCACGACGATACGGCCTGCGAGTCATCGCCTCGTCCTGCGCTGGACGCGTGAGGGGTTCGGATTGTATTCGCGGTTTGAAATGTTTCAGGCGAAGGGATTGCACGTAAAGCTTCTAACACTTGAGATTTCAGCCCAAACAGCACAGCACAGCACGCCACCCATCCTAACCATGACAAGTGTCCGGCCACGTGAACAAATACGGCTGTTGAGAATCGCGGCACGCCATGTCTAACGACTCGCGAAGTGGAGGCGGCGGGATCACTCACTGCGGCGGCGACCACGCGGAGAGGAAAGCCTGCGACTCGCTTCCTTCCCGGTCACTCAAGCTGCAGCTGCCGGCCTCCAGCCGGCCATTCTCCAACCGGTCATTTTCCAAACGGTCAGGCTCCAAACCGTCAAAGACGTGGGATCTTGCGCTCGTGCTCGGCGCAGAGGCGGGCGTGGAAGCGCGGCCTCTGAGCTCCGGCGCGGAGTGGTAGTCGGCGCCCGGCGAGCACGGCGACGCGACGCTCAAGTCCTCGAGGCTTCCTCGCGGCCGTTCCATCAACGCGGCAACGCGCGTTACTTTCCCGTGCTAGAGTTCTAGGTCCTAGCGCTGGAACGAGCAGGGTTAGTTATGCAGAGAGCATGGTTGAATCATGGTAGTGGAGCAACTGACGTTGCATACAAACGTTCAGGCTTGGCACCTAGAAAGTAATAAAATCGTCTTGAGTTATCCACCATTGCGACGCAGCTGCTGCTGCTTATTTCTCTCGAAGCATTATCAGTGACCTGACCAGTCTCGCCAGAAATATTTGGATCTGCTTCAGCTCTTTATTTCCAGTCGAGCCCTTGTACTCGCCGGCAATCAGAATGGAGGATAGAATCAAGGGACGCTCCGAGATGGAACCTGGGGGGAGGGCTAAACGGACAGCTTCGATCAATTCATTTGCGGCGAATGACGTTCAACCGTTCGATTGTGGGAGCATCAGGTGGGTTGCGACTTGACGAACTATGCGACAGACTTGGGTTTGGCGAGGCTTCTGGCTTCCTCCACACATAGTTTGATCTGATCGCTTTTGTGGCGAAGCACCTTGGGTTGTAAGCATTGATACAAAAGTGGCCCTAACTTCACCTAAAATGTTCCTTACATAGAGAAACATATGTTCCCAAGACAGCTAGCAACACGTAGAGCAAACGCGCTGGATTTTCATTTATCACACCTATTGGGCCAATTCATCACGTGCTGCAGCGAGTGCTACTTGCTGCATGTGCTGCTTGAAATTGAACCTCACCACCCGAGGGCTCACCGCAGTGATAGGCACCCTTCCTCCTGATGAGGTTGGTCTTTCCCTCCCCGAAACACTCCCCCAACTTGCTTCGTCCAAGCTCTCAACCCTAACAGGGAACGCCCCCTTGTCTTCCCTCCCCATGCGAATCTCCCCCTCGCAGTCCCAAGAGGCCGACAGGTGGTGATGTCGCCCCACACGAGCCACTTCCCCGCCTGTACGCCCCCTCGCGCCCGCATCTCTCTCCGCTGTCTTGCTCCGCGCCAGTACCTGCCCCCCTAGCGCCTCCGCCCATGCCAGCTCATCACTGTGCCTTGACCGCTGGCGCCTGCCTGCCACATCCACTCGAAGCCCTTCCCCCGCCCTTCCGCCCGCGCGCGTCCCCCTTCCCGCCCTCAACCTGCCGCTTCTGTTCCCCACTCCGTCGCTGCTGGGGGGCCGGGGAACGACAGGGGATGGTAACGGTAGCGCGGGGGGCGTGTCAATGGGTGGAGGGGGGGGCGCAACAAGGGCGAGCGCGGCGCTTGACCAATCCGAGGCGGAGGCGAGAAGCGGCTCGTCGGCGAGCTGCGGCTTGAGCTCGCCCGAGGCGGCACCCGATTCGCGCAGCACGGCAGGGGCTACTGGCGCGGTCTTGCGTCGGGAAAAAATGGGATCACGCGCGTCGATGTGACGGGGGGAAGCGGCGCTCTTGCTGGGGGCTGTCTGCGGGCGCACGGGGCGAGGCAGCGCCAAAACGATTCTGTCGCGTGAGCTGTTTGATTCGGGAGGCGATGCTGAGTGCTCATTCTCAGAACACGGTCGATCTACGCCCTCTGGTACACCCGACGCATTCGTCGCACTCGTCGCGCGCGGGGACAACGAAATGAAATCGACGCCTTCCGCACGGCGCTCTGGATCCGCGCCGCCGGGTTCCGAATCCTCTCGCTCGTCCACGCTCGTCGCCTCCCGCCCAACCATTTCGTTATGACAAGAATCGACCGCCAAGTGCTGAAACGAGGCGCTTCGTCGGCCGAGGTCCGCGCCGTGCTCTCCGCCATCATCCACAACGCTCTCGGCGCTCTCCACGCGACAGCTGCCGACCCGCAAACTCAAATCTTGTCCGGCGCGCTCCTGACGGCGAGAGTTGGAGAGCAGCGACGGCAGCAGACGCTTGGACTTTCTGTCTGCGTTAGAAACCGCCGATTTGTCCGATTTGTCCGATTTGTCCGCAAACAGCATCCGCTGCACCTTGCGCGCCGTCGACCCCATCACGCTCCACTTCTTCCCTGTCGCAGCCCCTTCGTTCGTCGTCGCAGCGGTGCTCGCGACAGAGCCTTCGTGCGCCTCTGCGACGACTTCATCCATGTCGGCGGCGCGCTGCCAAAGTTCGCCCGACCCCATGATGGACGAAGCGCGCTGCAACGGACGCAACACATAAGTGTCGAGCGACGCCTTGAAATGCGGTGAGGCCGCGGTTTCTGCCATGCCTAATTGGTCAACTCTACTGGGAAGGAAAACTGTGGAAACCGGCGATGTCGGTAAGGATATGGGGTGATGATGATGATGCCCAAGACCTTCAACTCCACCACAATGCAGACGTGCGTCAGTGTGTGCACCACTGAGGGAGCACACACAGTGGAGCACCGTTTGTAGAGAATCTGGGCAGGTGTGGAGCACTGTAAACTGTGGAAGATGCATTGCGCGGAGTGAATCGACAGCAAGTGGAAGGAGTTGGCTGTCAGAACTGCTCTACATTTCATTTCACATCAGGCCGGATGGGCGCATTACGTGAAGTCAAAGGCTGTGTATGGCTTGGTGAATTCACGCACTTTGAATTCACGGTCAAACCTTGAAATTCACGAGGCCCAGAGAGATGTACCAATTCCGCATTTTTGGAACTCTTTCCACGTGGTTCGGGAGATTTGGAAAGTTGTCCAACTGTACGAGAGGATACAGTATGCGGCTGGAACCTTGAGAAACCCGCCCCGTTCAAAGAGGTGTTGCGTGGACATTCACATTCACTCGATGAATTCCATGACCGGGAGCGAGTTCTACACTGGTTTGGCGATTCTTTTCACTGGTGGAGCAGAATTCAGGAAAGGGCACACGAGAAAATCTTTGCAGCATGGTGAGCGCACACCAGCAACACCTGAACAAGGTCAGCCTTTCTCCCTGTGGTGGTGATGAGTGGCGCGTAGTGGAGTACTGTAACGATGACAGCCGCGCCGCGAACCATTTCTATTCGTTCAGTACAAGCGCCGCATCGTGTCGTTCGTTGGTCCATTGACAAACACACAGCTCCTCGACAGCTGTCCTTTGGACCACGCTCCCACTGGACCAGACCAGGAAGCTATCCTTGCCAAACCGCGGTATGATAGCGCGCTTTACGATATGTTGCTGTACACTAAATGACTGAAGCTTATGTTCTACTCTACTTTCTACTACATGTTCAAACACATGTTCTACTTTCTAGATTCTAGTAGCCACCAGCAGGCTCCAGCAAAGCCAAGGCCTTTCTAATAAAATCAACAGCGGTTGGAACGTCATTACCCGCAAGCGCACTCACGGCATATCGAGCCGCCTTGTGCGCATCCGCTATCTCGCGAGGCCCTGGGCCTTGACAGTTTGAGACGCTGGCCATGGCCGTAGACCCATTCGCTGCTGCTGCAACGTTGTGCCCTGCTCTTGCTCCCCCGCCTGACGCCGAACCCCCACCACCTCCACCGTACTCCGAATGTGGAGAAGCCTGCGATGGGTGTGCCCCATAGGTACCCCCTGCTGCACCCCCCATGCCTGCGCTGGCAGCAGCAGCACCGCCTGGCATGAAGGAAAAGGCTGGGCCAGGAGCAGTGGCACTGGCTCCAGGAGCAGTGGCACTGGCTCCAGGAGCAGTGGCACTGGCCGCAGAACCAGGGGCTGCATTGGGGGCAGGCGGGGTGGCAAACATGGGGTTTGTGAAAGCGCCTGCTGCTGCCGCCGCCGCCGCCGCTGCTCCTGCCTGTGGCTGTTGGAATGGCGGTGCGGCAGCAGCAGCAGCAGGCTGGGCCCACCCGCCTGCTGCTGGGGCTGACGGGGCTGACGGGGCTGCAGGGTTGGCAGTGGAGGGTGGCGTGGCAGAGGGGTACTGGGAGTCGGGAGCCCAATGGGTGAAGGTTGGTGGGGAGACCAGGGAGTTGGCAGGAGGCGTGGGCAAGGAGGAGGAAGGGGCAGCAGGGGCGGTGGCAAAGGAGGTGATAAATGCGCTGTCTGACGCGGCTGTGCTCTGCTGCCATGCCTGCGCCGCCTGTGCTGCCTGCCCCTGGGGTGCTTGCAAGTAATCCCCATGGCCCTGGTGATACGGATTCGCTTGGGCATGAGGGTTGGGCTGCATGGCAGCGGTGCCACCTCCCACCGGCCTCGCTACCTGCAGCCTGCCGGAACCACCCATGGCACTGACGCCACCGGGGGCAGCTGGGGCAGCGTTGGCACCATAGGTGCTGGGAGCAGGAGGGCCGGAGAACATGGCATCCAGGGAGTCGGCTGAGGGGAACGAGGGCGCTGCAGGAGGGGCCACGGCAGGGGCTGTTGCAGTGGCGGCAGCATCGGCGGGAGCAGCAGCGGTGGCATCAGCGTCGCCCCCCGGTGGGCCGGGAGTGGGCCGCCTGCCGTCCGCCAGCGCCCTGCGTATGTCCGCCGCCTTCCACACCGCGTAGCGCTGCTTCTGCTCCACCTGCGCGGAGGGATGGGGGAAGCGGCGAACAGATGACGGGGGGGAGGAGAGAGTGCGAGAGAGAGGTGGAGACGGAGAGAGGGGAAGAGGAGAGGAAATGAGGGGGAGGTGAGCGGGAGAGGTGAGGTACAGAGGAGAGGCCGTGGCAAGGAGGAAAGGGGAAGGGAGAGGGAGGGGGGAAAAGCCAGGCAGGGAGCAGGGAGGCTGACGTTTCTGCAAGGGATGAGAGCATTGACGCTGGCTGACTGAATCCCCCAGGCAAAATCACAACCTCCTAGAAGGTTCCACGACGGGCGAGAGATAGGGCAGTGCACGTGGGCGGGTACCTCGAGAGCGAGCTCCCCAAACTGGCGGCACACTTCAAAGAATATCCCCGCCGCATAGAACGTCTTGGCCGTGCCCCTGGCGGACAGGGGGGAGGGGAGGGGAGGGGGGGAAGGGAAGGCGGGAAAGGAGGAAGGTTGGGATAAGGGGTGCTGTGCATGGAGTGAAGTGACAGGGATGGCGTGTGGTGTGCGTGTGGAGGGCGGGTTGGAAGGCTTAATGCGCGGAGCTCGTAGTGGTGTGTGCTGGGAGTGGCACACGCACCAACAACGTCCCCGCCCCGCATAGCAGTGGCACGCACTCATCCCACTCATCGCCCCTACCACACACTTCCCCCCCCCCCAACCCTCCCCCATTCCCCTTCTCCCATCCAATGAGCCGCAGCGCCAGCAGCAGCACCCCACATCACCCCACGGCAAGCCATGCGAGGCAACGCACATGTCAGCGCGGCCGGCGCGGTCCTGCTTGTCCGCCTTGCTGAACACGCGCTGCGCGAATCCCTCCACGTGCAGCCCGTCGTCCGGCGACAGCTGCAGCGCCGCCTTGTCCTGCCGGGCGGAGGAACAGAGGGAGGGGTGCGAGGGGTTGGCAAGGTGCATTGACGATTGAAACAGGACGGGGAGACAAGGGAGAAATTCCCTCCCTCCACGTGCAATCTGTCGACTGGGGACAGCTGCAGCACCGCCTTTGTCCTGCCAGGCAGGAGCATGTGGCAGGCAAGGTGCATCAACGATTGAACCAGGGCGGAGGGATGGAAAGGAGACGCTGCAGCCCGCCGTCCGGCGACAGCTGCAGCGCCGCCTTGTCCTGCGGAGCAGATGATGCGGGAGGCGCACATGGCACAGGGCAGCGGCGCACATGGCACAGGGCAGCGGCGCACATGGCACAGGGCAGCGGCGCACATGGCACAGGGCAGCGGCGCACATGGCACAGGGCAGCGGCGCACATGGCACAGGGCAGCGGCGCACATGGCACAGGGCAGCGGCGCACATGGCACAGGGCAGCGGCGCACATGGCACAGGGCAGCGGCGCACATCGCACAGGGCAGCGGCGCAGAAGCAAAGAGAAGCTGTGCAGCATGAGGAGGGGCGTCCGAGGGCAGGGGAGACATGGCGCAGTGAATGTGACGGGCATTGGTGGAAACACGAGGGAGAGGGAAGGGAGAGGCGGGCGGCATGAGGCCCAGACGCTGCACGACGTGCTACGTTCCTTCCCGAGGCGGGCGTACCTTTTCGAGGCGGCTCATGATGGAGACGAGCAGCGCGTTCACGGCCGCGCTGCGGTCCTTGCTGGGCACGCGCAGCCCCTTGTCCATGGCGTACAGCCGACCTGCCACGCGCGCGCACTCGACTCGTTAGGTTAACTCTTGTTTCCTTTTGTTTGTCTGATGTTGTTTCATGATCTCTTTCATTGGGAGTTTAACGCGCGTACAGTAGTAAGCGACGAGCGGGTCGTGCTTCTGAAGCTCATCGGCGCGCTGCAGGAACGGCACCAGCGCCTTGCCGTTCGCCAGCTCGTCGCCCGACAGCGACCCCGCCATGCCTGCGACGGCCCGCCGACCAGCTGAGTCAAAAAGATTCCGATCAGGCAGCGGACCGACGCTGGAGTTAAACCCAACCGGATGGTCCTGTCCGTGAGAAACGCTGCTGCTCGTGGCTTCCTGGCAGGTGTGGAACAGCGGGTGAGTGAATTCTTACGTTGCTCAAGGTGAGTCTGTTTCTACGGTGCGTGACAACACTAATACACGCTGCGACGAAGCGAGCAAGCGCTATTGTCGCACTGCCCGCGAGTGGCGGAATGACAGTTTGCTGTGGTGCTCGGCAATTTCTAGGTTGAGTGCCTGCTTGAGTATTTACTTTTCCGCGTTATAGGGCTCGATTGGTTGCACGGGTGCTCGACCCGATACCTTTCAGTAAAAGGGAAGCGAAATCCCAGATGAAACAAGGACGTCAGCATTTTTTAAAACATGACTAAACAGATTCAGCGAATTTCCTAGGACTAACTGTACAGGCCAGATAAGAAAAGAACAGTGGCAAATTCCTACCCTTGCAGTTACCAGTAACCCACCGCTACCCATATGAATAATGTTGTAGATATTGAAGCTATACCCTTTAAAATAAGGCCTGTGTTAGTGGCGCAAAAGAGCCAATATAGGCTGCTGCACATATTCACTGCGTAGGCCACAAGTGTCCCCTCCCCAACAACGCCCTTCATCCTACCATGGGATGCTGTCGGTGCGTGGGGGAGCTGGTGCCGACTTATTAGTGAATGTTGATGAGGTACGGTGCGGTGCGGAGGAGTGTAGTATTCAGCATACTTACTGGCCACTGCCCTTGCCTCTCATGCATTCCAATCCAGCCATGCAGACTCACAGTCCTGCCCATGGCTCCATGGAATCACATCACGCCCATGAGGGCAGGTCCATGGCATCACATCACGCCCATGATACCAGCAGCACGGCTCTTCAAGCCCACGAGGGCAGGTCCATAACGTCCGCGCTGCTCCTGAAGCTCTCTGCCAGCCCTATCAGCTCCTCGTCCTCCTCACACCCCTGCTGCACCTCCCCCTCCCCCTCCCCCTCTAACTCTCCCTCGTCCACTCCCTCTCCAAAGCCCTCTTCCCCTCCTTCTCCCCCACCTGCCAGCTCCTCCCCCCCCGACCCCCCTTGCTCCTCCTCTGCAGACGTCCGGTCCGGGCCGAAGCGAGGCGCGGAAAACAGGTTTGGCAGGGCGGAGGCAGGAGAGGGGGGGTGGGAGAGAGTGGAGGGGAAGGCAGAGGGGAAGGGGGGGGAGGTGAGGCGGTGCAGAGGAGGGCTGAGAGGGGTGCTTGCAGCTGGTGTGGATGAATAAGGGGGAGGTGCTTGAGGTTCAGTCGCGACCCCTCCAACCCTTTCAGCAGCAGCAGCAGCCCCGTGTTCCTCACCTTCCCCTTCCTTGCCTCCCGCCCCTTCCCCTGTCATCCCACCTTTCTCTGCCCCCCCTCCTCCCCCTGTCCCTCCTCCTTCCCCTGAACCCCCTTCCCCCGCACTTCCCCCTTCCCCTGCCCCTCCGCCCGTCGCTGCTGCCCCCCCTGCACCCCCCCCGGCAGCGGTGGCGTGCAGCTTGAGGTGGGCCTGCGCCTCCTGCTGCTGCGCCAGCTCCCTCACGCGCGCCAGCACGGCGGGTGGGATGGACGCCGACACCTGCTTCTTGCGCTGTTCGCCCTGCTGCCCCGCGCGCCATGCCATACCAGGAAAAAGGGGGTGCGGGGGAGGGGGGGGAAGGGGAGGGCGAGGGAGAGGGAGCGGAGGGGAAGGGCAGGGGGTGGCAGGGAGACACAAGGCTGAGGTGTGGAATGTGGGTGTGAAGGAGCAGAGAGGGGAGAAACATGATACTTTGCGGTGGCAGGAAAACCTCGTATCTAGTGTGCATCATACCTCTTTGGGTGGCTGGAGCGCCATCCTGCTTGCACGCAGGAGATTGCGCCACTTGTCCTGCCAGGATTGGATCGCAGACAAAAGAGAGAGAGGAAGGCGACAAAGGTGAGGACGGGAGATGCAGGCTAAGTTTCATCAAGCACACACAGTCTTGCCGAGTCAGCGGGCAGTCAACGGGGTACCTTGAGGTCAACGGCAGTGCGGTAGCCAATGGAGGCGAAGGCGAGCTTCTTGATGTCGGCCCACTTGCCCCCACCGCACCGCGCCACGCCATCCACGAGGATCATCACCTCCCGCAGCGTCCACGGCCGGTGGTGCTTGCGCCGCAGCCCCCCATTCGCCGTGTACATGCGCGCGTCGCCCGCCCCCTCTCCCCCGCTGCCACCACTGCTCACCCCTCCAAAGTCAGAAAATGCAGCCGCTGCTGCTACTGCTGGCGCTCCTGCTAGTCCTGCTCCTGCTGCTGCTGGCCCTGTTGCTGCTGCCACCCCAGTTGCTCCCGAACCAGCTGCCTTCTTCCCCGCCCGCCCAGATGTTCCATGCCTCCGCGCCCCCCCTCCCCCCTCCGCCCGCCCTCCTCCCGCCTTCTTCGACCCCCCCCCACCACCACTTGCAGGAGCAGCAGCTGCTGCCACACTCCCCCTCTCCATCCCATGACGCTGCTGCTGCTGCAGGGAGGGAGGACTCAAGGGTGTACCCGAGGGGCTCATCGGAGCCCCCACCTCGTCCCCACTCTCCCCACTACCCCCTCCTCCCCCCCACTCCCCGCCCCCGCCTGCCATCCCCCCCAACCCCTCATCTCCCCCTCCTCTCGCCCCACCCCCTACACCCCCAGTGTCCACGAAACCCCCCCCTTGTTGCTTCCCCACGGTTCCACTTGGAAGGGCCCGGGCGGCAAGCCCACAGGAGAGGGCGGCAGGGTGGTCGGCAAGGGCGGCAGGAGGCAGGGGGGTGAGCGCTGGGACAGGGGAGAGGCCGACCATGCTGGAGAGCTCCATCCAGGAAGCTTCCTGCAGCTTGCCGTCCAGAGCACCCCCTAGCAGGCTGACTCCTGGTGGGGTGGCGCCTGGGGGTGATGCTCCTGCCGCTCCTGCCGCTCCTGCCGCTGCCCATCCTGCCAACCCTCCCACTGCTGCTCCTGCTGCCGCTGCTGCTGCTCCTGTCCCCCCCTGTGCTGCTGCTGCTACCGCCCCTTCCTCTCCCTGCGCCCCTTCTCCTCCTCCTCCGCCCGCAGGCGTCCGCGACCACCTTGCCTCGCCCTTTCTGCTGCCACCCTTCCCTCTGCCCCCACCACCCGCCACACCGCCCCCCCGCTGCTGCACCTGCACCTGCTGCTGCTGCTGAGCCAGCAGCTGCCTCTGGGGGGACGTCACGCTGGCTGTTGCTGGTACCGGTGGTGCTGCTGCTGCCGACGATGACAGTGAGGATTTCTTCTTCTGCCAAAGGGAGAGAGGGAAGCACAGCACACAGGAGGGGTTCAGCAAAACGCGTCCTTAGCAAGGTTGAAGCACTCTTTCCTGCCTTCTCAGCCCAAAAGGAACTCACTGACTGCAACCACGACACAGCGCGCCGCATGAACTAAACGAGATTCAACACTGCACCATAACAATACCGTGCGGTTATTGCACTGTCACTCACTTTTGCTGGAGGTCTCTCCTTGGCAGCAGCAACCTGTGATGCCATCACTCCTACTCCACCTACCTCCTCCACCCCCCCTGCCCAACCATCCCCACCTCCCCCCCGCTCACCCCCCTCCCCCGCCTCTTCCCCTGCACTGCCCCCAGCAGCCTCCAAGCCGCCCTCGCCCACCCTGCCCCGCTTTGCTCTTCCCCCCACAGCAGCACCACCGTCCCCTTTCCCCACTCCCCTCCCCCCTGCCCTCCCCCTGCCTGCTCCCTTCCCCCCCACCGCTCCTCTCACTTCCCCTTCTGCCCCCCAACCACCACCACCACCACCTGCAGCAGCAGCAGCAGCCACACGAGCAGCAGCAGATTCAGGCATGTTGGCAGCATCGGGCAGAGAGGAAGCGCCCTCCCCCACCTGCTGCCTTCCCCAGGCCATCACGGCTCGTGCCATGCCTGCCACGTCAGCATCCACAGTAAATCCTAATGTGGCAGCATAGTCCCCACTCTGACCTCCCACGCCCAACCCTCCTCCTCCCCCTCCTCCTCCCCTTCCAGCTGCTGCCACGTCAGCACCAGTGGGATGCCAGTCCATGTCTGGTTCAGAGGGCTGCCCCTCCTCCCCTTCGATATAGTCACCCTCGTATTGGAACCCCCCCTCATAGTACCTCGAGTTAAGCACCCTCTTCCTGCGGCTCCTCTCACTCACTCCTTTCTCTGGCACCTTCTCACTCCCTCCTCTCTCATCCCCTCCTCTCCCACTCACTCCCGCTGCTCCTGTTGCTGCTTGCGCTTCTCTGCTAGCCTCCTCCATTCTCCCCTCGCTTTTCCCACCGCCCCCACCAACACCACTTTCTAATCCACTCCCATTACCAGCTGTAACTGCTGCATCACCAGGCAGAGCATTTGCCTGTCCAGCTGTAGCAGCTGTAGCATCTGTAGCACTGCGGTCAGGTGCAGCTGTAGCAGCTGCTTTCCCAGCAGCAGGAACTGAGTCACCAGCTGTAGCGCCAGCTGCAACCGGTGCTGCTTTCTTCCCGTGTGCCCCTGCCCCTGCTTCTCGCCCTTTCCCCTTCCCTCCCTTCCCACTGCTTCCACCCGCGCCTCCTCCTCGCTTCCCCTTCCCTTTGCTGCCACCACTGCCAGCATTGGCACCAGCAGCAGCAGGAGCAATATTGGCAGTGGCAGCAGAAACAGCAACGGCAGGAGGCAGAGGGGCGGGCTGGCCGCGGAGAGGGCTGGAGAGTGGGCTGGCGCTGATGACGTGGTTGGGACTGGCGCGCGCAGCAGCAGTGGCAGTAGCAAGGGCAGCAGTAGCAGGGACAGCAGGGGCAGCAGGAGCAAGCGCAGGTGCAGGAGTGGGAGCAGGAGCAAGCGGTGGAGAAGAAAGAGGGGAGCGTGAGAAAGCAGGGGCAGATGAGAAGGCAGCAGCAGCAGGGGTTGTAAAGGGGAAGGCCACAGGTGCACGGAGAGGGCTAGTGACAGGGCTGCTCCCTTGCACTCCCACACCCGTGGGCACACCCACACCTGGTGCCATTCCCATGCCCCACCCTGCACCACTACTACTGCCTGCACCCCCCTCCAACTGCTGCTGCTGCTGCTGCTGCTGCTGAAGCTGTCGCTGGTCCCAGCCAAGTGAGAATCCATGTGACCCCACGGCACCTCCCCCTGCTACTCCTGATGCACCTACTCCTCCACCTACTCCCCCTCCTGCTCCCCCCGCCCCTGCTCCCCCTGCTGCTGCCAGTCGTTCCTCCTGCTGCCGAGCCAGAAGCTGAACCAGCAGCTGGGGTCGCTCCAGCAGCGTGGCAGCTGCCACAGCAGCACCCCGAGATTGCAGCACCTGCTGCCACACCTGCTGCAGCACCGCCTCGCTCAGCATGCTCTGCACCTGCTGAGCCCCTGCTCCCGCCTCCTCTGCCTGCTGCTGCACCTGCTGCTGTGCTTGCTGCTGCTGTTGAAGCGGCTGTTGCTGCTGATACTGTAGTTGCTGCTGTTGCTGCTGCGGTTGCTGCTGCTGTTCTTGTTGCTGTTGTTGTGACGGTTGTGGTTGTTGCAGCGGCTGTTGTGGCTGCTGCACTTGCTGTGGTTGCTGCGGTTGATGTTGTGGCAGTTGCTGCTGTTGCTGCTGTTGCTCCAGCGCCCTCTGCTGCTGCTGCAGCAGCACCTGTTGCTGCCACGCGCCTGCCAGTCCAAACTGCTGCTGCCGCTGCAGCTCTTGCTGCGCCTGCCGCTCCATCTCCTCCTCCAGCTGCTGCTGCTGCCGCCGCCGCTGCTCCAGCTGCTTTTGCTGCATCTGCTGCCGCTTCTGCTGCAGCCGCTGCTGCCTCTGCTTCTCCTTCAGCACTCGCTGCTGCTGCTGCTCCTCCTCCTCCTGCCCCTGTCCGTCACGCTGTCTGCTTCGCACTTCCTTTTGGCCCTCTTCGTTCTCCTTACCTCTCACCACCTCCCTAGCCCCCTTGTCTCGCTGCTCCACCTGCTTCCGTTCGTCCTCTTGCTGCCTTCCATACTCTTGCTGCGTCTCCTGCACCTGCTGCCTCTCTGCCCCCTGCCCTTCTGCCGCATCTTGCCTCTGCGTCCCCTCCGTCTCCTCCCCACCTTGCAGCTGTTCTCTCAGCTCGCCTACTTGCGCCTTCCCTCGTGCCTCTTCACTCCAACCAGCATCACCGCCCAAGCCTGGACTCGTTTCAGCAATCTGCTGCGCTGCAGGCAGCTGCGCGGTTGGTAACACATTACAAGTAGGGGACGGTGCAGGAGTGTGAGCCGTGGTGTGTGCAGGAGTGTGAGCCGTGGTGTGTGCAGGAGTGTGAGCCGTGGTGTGTGCAGGAGTGTGAGCCGTGGTGTGTGCAGGAGTGTGAGCCGTGGTGTGTGCAGGAGTGTGAGCCGTGGTGTGTGCAGGAGTGTGAGCCGTGGTGTGTGCAGGAGCGGGGTCACCAGCACGCGCATCTGTCAACAAGTGCTGCGGACTGCTGCCCGCCGGCCCCTTTTGCTCACCACCCCCAAATCTTCCACTGCCGCCACCAACCCTCTCAACGCCTCCGTCCTCAGCCGACCCTCTGCCGCTCCACTCACGCCCCTGCCTCCCTGCCTGCCCTTCCTTCCACCCAGGCGTCTGCCTGCTCGCCTGCTGCTCCTCATGCGCCTGCTGCCCTGCCTGTCCAGCTTTCACTCGTCGCCTCTGTCCCCCTGCGTGCTGCTGCTCGCCTGTCATCCGTCCCTTGTGTTGCCTGACCACTTCAACCCTCCCGACTCCCTCCCTCTCCACTCCCTCTCTCTCCACTCTCTCCCCCTGTAGTGCCTCTCTCTGCACTCCATTCCTCGCCAGAAGCTCAACACACGGCCCCGACTTGCCCTCGTCTTGCCTAACCCTATCTGCAGCAGCTTTAGCCACCTCGGCGTGTGCCACGTCAGCCTGTGCCACCTGTACATGTGCAACGGCACCTGCTTGTGCCTCTGCCTCACCTGCTCCACCTGCACGTGTCTGGTTCCTATCATCTGTCAGCTCCTCAGTATGCGTCAGTGCCTGTAACTGTACATGCGTTGCATCTACCGTTTCATCTACCATCTGTGAGTCTTCCACATCACCATCTCTAGTTATCCCCACTTTCTTAACCGCGTCTTCTGCCTTCGTACCAAGAGCACGCCCATGCCCATCCACCAAACGCCTCTCATCACCCACACACTCCACCTGCCGCCCTGTCATGCCCGTTCTCCTCTGCACCTGCTCTTCCTGCTCCCCTTCCCCCACATGCCTCTGTCTCGCCCCCTCAGCTGCAGCGCCACCAGCCATCCGCCTACTCCCATCGCCCCGCTCCTCCTCACCTGCCTCTGCCAAACGCATCTTCCCCTCCCCTTCCTCCTCCTCTTCCCCTGCCCTCCCCGCACTCATTGCGCTGCCCCCTGTTGCCGCCATGCTGTCCGCTCTGCCCGCCACCCCTCCTACACTCTCCGCCATCACTGCAACTTCGCCTCCCGTGATCTCGCCCACCTCCTGCATCCTTGCTCTTCCTCCTTCCACTTCTTCCACTCCTTCCTTCCCTGCTTCTCCCTCGTCTCTTCCCGCCCTGGCCGCGCCCATCTCTCCGTCCTCAGCCTTTCCCACAACAGCGGCACCAGGGACTGCCAGGGCCCCACCTTGGGACGGCATGCGCTCCTCCTCTGCCTCTCGCCACCCCTCCCGAACCGGCGCTTGCTCCCCCTGTGTTTGCCGAACCTGTTTCCGCCGAGCCTCAGCCTGCCGAACCTGCTGCTGCATGCGCTGGCGCTCCTCCCACTGCTTCTGAATCATCTGCCGTCGCTGCAGCCTCAGCTGCCTTGACACCGAAGGGGCCACAGCCCCGCTCACGCCCTCCCTTTCACCCACTCTCCCTTGCTCTACCTCACTTGCCCCTTCGCCTGCCTCACCCCTGCCCCTACTTTCCCCTTCCATCCCATTTCGCCCGGCACTGATCTCTTGCACCTCCCTCGCTCCTTCTGACTGCCCTCTCTCCTCCCCCACTCTCTCCTCCTCTGCTCCCTTCCCTTCCCTCAGGTCACTCGCCCAGCCAGATTCTTCTTCCTCTCCTGCTTCTGTTTCTCCACCCACACGGCTTTTCAACCCAGCTTCTCCAACCGCCCCTTTCTCCCTACTCCTCGCCCTTCTCCCGGGCACATCCCTTCCCAGCCGCCCCTCCACCTTCCACCTGCCCCGCCCTCTGCCTCTGCCTCTTCCTCGTCCCGCCCTCACGCCCTTTCCACGTGCGACCCTGCTCCCTGCCTCCTTCCACTCCCCTGCTCCAGCGCCGTCCACAGACGCACGCGCATCCGCAGCAGCGCTGGCAGCGGCAGCACCACCGTCTGCGTGTGCACCCACTGCAGCATCTTCGGCATAATCAGCCCCTGAAGCACCAGAGTCGTCCGCGTCATCACTCATTCGCTCTGATCTCGCCTCGTCTCCTCCACCCTCCCCTGCACCATCTGCTACTATATACTCACCCCCCTCCCGCACTCCCTCCCCAATTCCATCTGCCTCTTCAGCCTCTCCTCGTCCCTCCCCCTCCCGCTTCACTCTCCCTTCCCCCATTGCCCGCCACCCAGACTGCAATCTCCGCCTCTTTCCTCCCCCTCTCCCCCGCTCCGTAGCCTCTCCGCCCTGTTGCGCCACCTGATGCGCCTCACTCCCACTCCGCGCGCCCCTTCCCGCGGATGCCTCCGCAGCAGGAGCAGCAGACACGCCTGCAACCGCCGCTCCCCCTCCTGCTGCAGCAGCAGCGCCACTCACTGCCGCAGCCACAGTGGCAGTCTCAAAAGACACCTCCCCCGGCTCTACCTTGGCCTGCAGCGCTGCTGCCTGCCGCCCACCGCCCCGCCGCGCACTCACTCTCCTCCCCCTGCCCTCCTCCGCCGGCTGCGCCCCCCCTTGCGCCCCTCTAGCCAGTGCAACGGGGGAAGCAGGGGCGGAAACAATGGGGGAGGAGCGGAGATGGCGCGGGCTGGACGGGTGTGGGGCAGCGCCAAGGAGTGCGCTTGCTGAGGCGCGCCCACTGGCGCCATTCCCCCCCGTTGTTGACTGCCCCATAGCTGCCCGGCCCACCTCAGCAGGCGGATCAGCGGCTGTGGCAGCAGGTGGTCGTTGACTGCGTTGACTCCGTTGACCCGTCTGCCCAGCTTGACCTATTTGACCTGCATGACCTCGTCTGCTGCGAGGCCGAGTGGGCCATCCACCAGAACCTAACCACTCCCACGCTCCTCCCTCTAACCCTAACCCTAACCCTAGCCCGTGCCCCCCTAGCCCGGCTTCTTGACCATCTCGCTCCAATCCATCTGCTCCTTCCTCCGTCCCCCCTACTGCCCCGCCGTGCGCCCCTGCTTCCCCCGCTGACAGAGCATGCGCAGCCCCCCAACCCCTCCGCACCACCTCCTCGTCCGTCCCCCGTCCCCCCATCCGCATCCTGCTGCGGCGCCCCACCCTCGCCCTTCCCCCAGCGCTGGCTCCCTCCCCCTCCTCCCTCTCCTCCCCCGCCCCCTGTGCTCCGCCATCCGCCCCTTGCTCCTCCCCCGCCCCCATAACTATTGCGCCGGCTGCAGTGGGCGTCCCCAACGCGTCCCCGTCAGCAGCGCGCCGAGCCATTCCCACGCCCCTACCTCTCCCCCTCCTCCCCCGCACCCCGCCCAGAGCTCCCCTTGGCCGCCCCACCCGCCCATGAGCGGGAAAGGAGCGCGGGGCGGAGAGGAAGGGGGGATGGTGATGATCATGGGCTGGATGGTGGGATGGGGGGAGCGGAGGGGGGAGAGAGTCAGGGGCGGAGAGGTCGGCGCGGGGATGGTGTTGGGGGGTTGCACTACTCTGCCCCACTGCGAGCTCGTGGTGCGAAATCTCCGTCAGGAGAAAATCCAGAAACTCTTGACGCGCGTGCACACCTGTCCTCGTCTCATTGGCTGCCGGAGCAAGCACTCCGTTAACAGCCCCACGGGGATTCGATTGACTCGAGCGGCCGTCCCGCCCACTCTTCGCGTCATCCAGCCCGAACCCTAGTTCCGCCTTCACGCCTCTCCCTATCCGCCCTTCCCCTCGTTCCTGCCCTCTGGCCAATAGCGACCTGCCACGTGGCTGCCCAGTTCCTATCACTCCCACCTCCCCGCTCCGCCAGAGAAGTGGCGGCGACGGCAGGGGGGGCTCGTCCGCGCCGCCTTCCTCCGCCAACCCTAATCCTTCCCCCAATGGCCATTCCGCCATGTCCGCCTCCCCCGCAGCCCCCAGCGCTCCGGGCGGCAGGGGCAGGGCGAGCGCGTCGGGCGCATGGCGGAGCATCCACGCCTGGAGCTCCTCCAGCTCGCGCTCCGATATGGGCACGGCGTCAAGAAAGTCAACGGAGTCAACGGGGTCAACCGGGTCCACCCTGCACAGCCTGTACACAACCTGCTCGCCGTCGCCCTCGCCCCATTCGCCCTCCAACGCAGCCACGTGCGTGCCATCCTGCACGTGTCTGCTCGCCTCAGCAATCCCCTCCTGCTGATTCTGACAGCCTGTGCTCGACAGCCCCTGCTCCTGCTTCACTCTCCCCTCCTCTTCCCTTTCTTCCTGCACCTGCTTCTGCCTACTGTTATCTCCCGCCTCCTCCCGCTCCTCCCCTTCCTTCGCCTCTTCCCCTTCCCCCACCACCCACTCCTGTTCCTCCTCCTTTATTTCCACGCTCCTTGCTTCCCCACCGTCGCCACAACCTCTCTCCGCTACACTCATCCCCTCTAACATCACATCCCCTGCTACAGCCGGTACCATCTCCCCAGAATGCTCCTCGCGCTGCCTCCCACCCTCGCAACCCGCGGGCTCCTGACCCTGCTGCTCCGACGACTGCCTAAGCACCGCCGTACCCTCTCTCTCGGCTCTCACCGCTCTCTCAATCAACTTCGCGCCTCGGTCTCTTGACAACTTCTTTCTGATTGGCTGACGCTGGTGTTGATTCTGCAGCGCCTGCGGCGGCAGAAGCGGCTGCTGGTTGACTCCAGAGGCTACCGGGAGAGCCATCTCCATGGCGCTTGGCCTGTCTCCGTCGCTGCCACGCTGACATCAGCACACATGCCCTGACCCTGACATAACTGTCTCGTCTCGTCAAGCACTGGAGTCACAGAGCTATGCTACGCCAAGGCGATCGGCGGGCTACGGGGAAGCGGTGAGCGCGAGAAACGTGCGATGAAAGTCACGGGCTAACGATTTTTTTTACCAAGACTCGATTTCGCGCAGCGACGCACGACAGTGATTGGTTAGGAGACCGGAAGGCGTAGGGCCACGAGCGTGAGCGACGGGACGGACGGACGACGGGAGGGAGCTGACGAGACGTCCCACAGCACACAACGGTGCGATGGCGGTTCACAGGGGACTAGGGGTCCGCGGTCCAAGGAACGCAAGGCACAGTCTATGGCAAGTTAGAATTAGATGGTACGTTATAGGGCGCCTTGAGAAAACACAGAGAGTAACGCGCGCAAATTACCAACCCGTCGGCTTAACACGATGCAGGAGTAGGTGGTGTGGAACAGTGCGGGTAACGGATATGTTATTGCGCGGATAAGAAAAAGCAAGAAGCTAATAGGTACAGTAGAAATGCTATTCGCCTGCTGCTTCGACCGACAAGCGGTGTGCGCTTTACTCGGATAGACGTCGAAGCGTAAACTGCGAGTTTGCGCGTGCAGGCTTGGAAATTCCTAAACTGAAACACGGACGCTTCCTAAGACTAGGCCGAATTCCAGAGCGACGACAATAAACAGTGACACGTTGCGACCCGAAAATAGCCAGCCTGAAATATTGGCGATAGTAAGAACGAAGCATTGTCTCGTAGCGCACGAGGAGCATTTATACGGCCTAGATTCTCTTGTGAGCTCCTCTCCTGGTGCAGCGGCTTCACGTTGTGTGTTGCTGGCGTGGCCAATAACTAGCTCACCGCGGCTTGCGCTTGAGAGCTCACTACACGCTAACTATTTGTCTCTGGCGGGAAGCAGAAATGGGGACCTGGGTAGGGCGAGTGCCTGGCTTGATGCCTCGGGATTGCCGCAGTCCCATCAGCTGCACCAAATCGCCTCGAGAGTCTCCAGCCCGCTGAGCTATTTTCGGCTGGGGCCAGCGGAGGCCGACGCTAGTTCAGGAGCGTCCTTGTCCCACCCCGTTGCGCATCGCATGCAGCAAAGCAGCTGCTCGGGTCAGGTCTGGTCAGTTCAAACTTCCGAACTCAAAATTTTACAAGGAAGAAATAGGTGCGTCCTGCCCGAATGCTTGCGCAATTTTTGGGGGGGTTCAGCTTTGGAAACACCAACCTCCTAGTTGTCACATTACGTGGCTGCACCTGACGGGCTATTTACTTTATGCCAAATCCGCAACAGTGGCGGGATTCCACGTCGTCCGCCTTGCCGAAGCTGAGTCCACTCTGCCAAATCTATCGCCAGCTCCGGCGTCAGGCGACAGGTCTGCTCTGGCTTGAATGACGATAGAAGGATAATTCTCCAAAGGTAACGACATAAAATAGGACAAAACAAAATTGATCGCTAGCTCATGTTGTAGGTTAACCAGGTTGGGAAAGCTAATTGCCTAGTTTCGACATCCCCATCAACTACAGCACATGCTACTCTTATAATTGAGTCTACACTCTCGAAATCCAACGAAGGGTTTTTTGGAAGCACAGGAATTGTTCTGGCATTCCACAGCTGAACAAACAGCCCTCCCCATATCTCCGAACCTCACAATTCGGCAGCCTTGGACCCACAGCCACGTAACCAGATGGTTGTGAGAACAAATCAGAGGCACGGCAAGGACCAGGGTATGACTGACGTACCAGTATCCTTCTCAGACACTGGCAACAGTTGGTGTTTGTACAGGGTAGCAGCACATCTTTCAGCACAGGCTCAAAAAAGTATCCAGAACAACATGCTGCACTTAGCCTATGAGAGCAATGGGTAAGGTATAGGTACATGGCATTCAGTTCAGAGCCATGCAAGATGTTGCAGTGAGATATATAACACAGGGACAAACACACAACCAGGCTGAACACCAATACATCTTCTGCCACCACTGTCCACTCAGAATGTTCGATGCTCCAATTTAATCCAGGAAAAGAGATTATCATCACGAACGTGATGTACTCAAACATTTTCCTTGGTGATTATTGAGCAACAATCCACAATACATTCTAAGCTATTTACAATCAATCACAGCAAGCAATAACACTTCTATGGCAGCAAAATGATGTCATCTGCAATAAACACATGAATCATCCATCTTCAGAGGAGCATAGAGAGGTAGATCATAGAAAGAGGGGATGTGCGGGAAAAAATATCCAATGATACTTCACCTGCATGAATCAAGTTTGCATCTTGGATGTTGTTGATCTGCATAATTGCATCCACTGTTGTTCCATGCATACGCGCTATGGCATACAGAGTGTCACCCTGCACGTGCACAGTTCCATATTCACAGCTGTAGGGTCACCATGTAATGTGAGAGACACTTTTTGGCGCCATAGCTGAACTACGGCTGTGAACATCAAAGCCAAAGTATGCAGAATACAGTGTGTGAAAAGCACATACCACTTGCATTGTGCATGCGTGTGCAGAGCAAACCTTTTCAAGGGTGTGTGTGCGTTAACACACCTTGGCGATGGTGTATGTGCGCGGAACCCAGAGGCTCTGGCCGGGGTGCAAGAGGTCTGAGCGGAGTGCATTGGCCTGGTAGCACTCCATGGGAAGCATCGGTGAGCACAGTCATGGGAGTAATAAAATTGACAACAAAAGCTAACAGGGGACATGGTGAAAGAGGCAGAGAGCACAGTTTTTGCTTTGCTAGCACCCTCTCTTCTCGACCCCAACAGACCAGACCAGCACGTCGTCACCTGCATGAGGATCTCCACGGTGCTTCCCAGCTGACCGGCAATCTTTGTCAGGTTATCGCCAGGCTGCACGTCGTAGTACGACCTCCCCCCCTCGTGGCGCAGAGGCAGAGCTGCGGCGGAGCAAGAAGGAAAGGTAAAAGTGCAGTGACGAGAGGTGGGAAAACAGCTGCTCAATCTCTGCTCACTCACCAACTCATTCACCCCCTCCCACTCCCCGCTTCCTCACTCTCCACTCTCCTCACCACAAGTTCCCATCCGCCCACCTTGCTGCTTGTCGGAAGAGCCGAAGGGCCACATGATGTCGTCCCGCTGCGGCTGCTCCCCACTCCTCGACTCTCTCGTCCGCCTCCAAGACCGCTTCGACAAGCCGCTGAGCCCACGGAAATTAGAACAGAGAGGTCGATAGTATTTTATGCTAATGGTTTATCTAGATTACTGCTTGTTAGGAAGTCGAACGAACTGGGAAGGACTTTGACCGAGGAGGTGAACGTGCGAAGCGAGACGGTGCGGCGAACGGTAGGCGTGCTCTGACAGAAAATGGATTTAGACCGATTGAACAGATGAGACAGATGCGACGGACGCGACGGTTAGCCTCACGCCACAGTGTCTCCCAAGGTCTGCTCTAGTGGACTACAAGCGGCCCGCGAGGGACGTGCCAGTCAGCGGCTGATTTGCGAACAGCTGATCGAGCCCGTTTCATGAAAACATGCCGTGCAGTTACAGAGCGGCAGCTCTGGTGTCATCCCTGGTACTCGAAACAGAGTGACTGGTGGTGATGTTCACGCCTTGAAGTTGGAATTCTTGGAGGGAGGGGGAAACCACGGCCCACCGCTCTTCATTGCTCGGTATCGAGTTCGTTCTTGAAGGTTTTAGCTTTGCGGTGTTTCCAGTATTTGCACATCACAAGTTCAGATAATGCTGATTATTGTTAGAACAGCTAGTGAACAACCGTACAAGAACATGATTCCTAAGCATGATCCCCCATTCCCCTAGCTTTCAGAAACTTCCTTTTGTTATGGCAAGTCTTTATAAAACCATCTCCTGGTTCGCCCCCCACTTCCTTACTCAGCCCTTCAGCAGCATCCAGCACATACAGCACACATTCCTCGCCATCCCACCCCTCAAACCGCTGCGGGCTTCTGCATCCAGGTAACAGGTGAGACAATAATTTCCTCCCATTGTCCTGATCGGCATCTCCATTTCCAGCATCCGAATGACTGCCTTCCTCTGCCAATGTCAAACAACCTCCAGCTTCTAAGCCTATCTCACCTTGTCCTCTCGATGTGCCATCCCCTCCATGGCTCCTCGTTTCCAAGCTTTCCCCCCCATCGCGTGCTCCCAACCCACTCTCAAGAAACCCCACAGCCTCGCTCCCAATACTAGAGAAAAACATCCCTTCAAGTCACATGGCCAGAGCTCACCCGAGCGAAACACCGACAGAGGTACAGGGCCCGAGCCTACAGCGTGGAGACAACGCAGGCCGTGCCAAACACTCAGATCCAGCGACCGGAAATCCATAGGGCATCTCCACTCTAGGACCTTGACGGTCGCTATCACACCCGAGGGAAAGCATGCCACCTGCTCTGGATCCATGTCGATGCAGAGGGAGTGGAGCGAGGTGAGGTGAGGTGCATGCAATGCCCAGGGACAGGTCGGGTCTGTGGTAAGGAAGAGAGATGAGAGGTGCGTGGGGCAGGTGGGGAGCAGGAGCAGGCGGGAGTGGCGGCACTGCCATCGAAACTTAAGGGAGGAGAGGCAAGGGGCGGAGAGCGAGATAGAGCAGTTGAGACCACCGAGTCTGACATCGGTGGCCAGCGGGAGGTGAAGAGAGAAGGGCGTTCGTCCGTCCACGTCCCTCTCCCGTGGGTCCTCGCCGATTTCAGGGCCCTCTTCGCCCTCCTGTGCCGCAAACTGATCGTCAGCAGCGAGATCAAGAGAGTGAAGCTGCGAGGAGAGGCAGGCGACGAAGCGGAGGACGAGAGGCGAGCACGCGGAGAGGGAGAGGTCGAGGCGACGCAACACGGGAAACAGCGTGGCCGTGTCATCCGGGTTCTTCTCCTCCATGATTGAAACCATTTCCCACATTTCGGCCACCATCATGGGATCATTGCACTGGTGATTTGGAGCCGCGCTCTCGCTGTCCGCTGCACCGCAATGCTGAATAAAAAGCGACTCGAGGCGCGGCGCTTGCGAGAGGGAGAAGAGGAGGCGCGGATGGGAGGGGAGGCTTCGGGGGAGGTAGAGATCAAGGGAGGTGATGGAGGAGATGGAAGGGAAGAGCCAGGTGCGCATGAAGGAGGAGACGAGGCGGGGAGGCGCTTCATTGATAGCGATAATGAAATCCAAAGGGCTTTTGTGCTGCTTGGTCAGCCATGCGAATCTGCGGATTCACTGAGCGAGGGAGACGGCGGGGGGCGGACACTGACAGTCTTCTTCGAAGCAAAGAGGCTCGTTGCTCGCTGATAATGCGCGTCGCACGCACGGCATGGCGATGGCGCACGGCAGGAGCGGCCACGAGCAGACGCACTCTTCTCTCTCCGCCGCTGCATTTGCGATGCGCACCCACACGTCGGCGGGTACGGCGCTCAGGTCTGCGGAACAAGTTTCCGACACGGGCGAAGGGGTGATGGAAGATGGCACTTTACTCGTTCCTCCTCCTCCCCTTGCTTACCCTCCACCGTCACCCCTTCTACTTCTTCCTGCTCACACAAATTAGTCTTCCTCATCCTGCTCTGTGCCTTTCTCCAGCGAGCGGTAAACTCGCCATCAGCCGCGTCGCACCAGCGAAGTATATCGCCTATGGTTACTACCGTTCAAGGGGTGAAATATCCCAACCTTAGGGCGTGTTACATTTTTTATTTTTTCGTCCGGACAGCCAACCGTCCGGACAGATGTGTGGTTACAGAACTCGTTAAATCTCAGCAGGGAGTTCGTCAGGGTCTAAACGACGTCGTATGCTTCGTACCGCTTCCTTACGACATCTCATCGGTCGCATAACGACCGTGCGACGTCGCAATCTTCGCACGCGTCCGGACAACCGTCTGGACTTTCAGTGACTTCGAAAAATGTAACACGCCCTTATCTTCCTGTGCTGGATAGGAGAGGACCCTCGTCATATACACGTGCTGCGGACTTCAAGCAGAAGGACGGACGTGTGCCCGACTCGTCCGACTCGTCAAAAGTTCAGATGTTGATTATTGTGCGAACCGCTACAATAAAGACAGTTCAGTTCATATCCCATAAAACATAAATAAAAAACGCATGTTCATACCAAAACAATTTGCCATACATTCCCATTGCAGATTAAAAGAGTTCCACCAAGAATGGTTGCTAAGCTGAAACCACCATTCCTCTAGCTCTTGAAAACTTCCGTTTGTAATGACAAGTTTTCGTAAAACCATCTTCTGGTTCGCCCCCCACTTTCTTCAGCCCTTTAGCAGCATCCAACACGTACAGCACACACCCCCCATCGTCCCACCCCTCAAACCGCTGCAGGCTCTTGCATTTAGGTAGCAGTCGAGCCAATAATCTCTTCCCATTCTTCTGATCCATATGCCCGTTTCCAGCATCCACATGCCTGCCTTTCTCCGCCACTGTCGAACAACCTCCTGCTTCCAAGCCCATCTCACCTCGGCCTCTCGACGTGCCCTTTCCTCCATGGCTCCTCGTTCCGAAGCTTTCCCCACTATCGCCCCTTCTCAAACCTCTCTCAAAGAACCCCACGAGTTCACGCCCAACACTAGAGAACACGGTCAGAGCTCACCCGAGCGAAAGACCGACAGAGGTACAGGGCCCCAGCCTACAGCGTGGAGACAGCGCAGGCCGAGCCAAGCACTCAGATCCAGCGACCGGAAATCCATAGGATATCTCCACTCTAGAACCTTTACGGTTGCTATCTCACCAGGCGGGAGGCATGCCGCCTGCTCTGGATGCATGTTGGTGCAAAGGGACTCAAGCGACGTGGGGTGAGGCACGTGCAACCCCCAGGGGCAGGCCCACTTGGTATTAAGGAAGAGAGCTGTCAGGTGCACAGGGCAGGTGGGGAGCAGGAGCAGGCGGGAGTGGCGGGTATGCCAGTAAAACCCGAGGTCGGAGAGACGAGGGGCGGAGAGCGAGATGGAGCAGTTGATCTTGTCCAATATGACATCAGTGGCTAGTGGGAGGTCTAAAGAATAAGTAATTCCTCCGTGCATGTCCCTCTCACGCCCCCTCCACCCGTCCGCGTTCCCCGTACCGTTTTCAGCGCCCTCTTCGCCCTCCTGAGCGGCAAAGTGATTTGCAGAGGCGACGAGGTAGAGGGTGTGAAGCTGGGCAGATAGGCAGGAGATGAAGCGGAGGACGAGAGGCGAGCAGACGGGGAGCGAAATATCGAGGCGAGAAAACACAGGAAATGGCCTATCCGTGTCATCCTGACTTTTGTCCTCCATGACTGAAATCAGCTCCCACATCTGCGCCACCAGCACTGTGTCATTTCCGCCATGCCGCACCACCTCATGCATTCCGCCTGCCGTCCATTCGATGGCATGGATAAGAGTAAGCGACTCGAGGCGCGGCGCTTGAGAGAGGGAGAAAAGAAGGCGCGGCGGGGAGGGGAGGCGTCGGGAGAAGTCGAGATCGACAGAAGCGAGGGCAAGGGATAAGGCAGGAGTGTAAGAGGGAGCAAAAGAGTCGGGGAGGTGCAGTTTCGAGAGATATGTAGAGCTCGGACGGGCGAGGGTGATGCTTCGTCAGCCATGCGAAGCTGCGTATTCGTTGCGCGAGGGAGATGGGGGGAGTTGAGCACGGGCATTCCTCGAAAAAATTGAGAGCCATGTCGTCCGATAGTGCGCGCGAATGCACAGCATGGCGATGGCGCACGACACGAGCGGCCACGAGCAGAAGCAATTTCCTCTGTTTGAGTTCGCGACCGCGTTTGCAATGCGTCGCCACACGTCCATGGGTAGCGCGTTGAGGTCACCGTACCGACTCTCCGCCTCGGCCTGGCTGTCGAGGGGTCGCTGCGGCACTGCTGCATGCACCCCGCGTTTCGATCGCTTCGCGCGGGAAGAGGGAACAATGGACGGCTCCTCCGCTACTCGCTCCTCCTCCTCCCCTTTCTCAGCCGCCTCTCCCTCCTCTTCTACTCTTTCGACCAACTGCTCACAGACACTAGCACTCTCCCTCGTGGTCATTCCGTTCCGGCTGTTTTTCCCGCCGCACCACCAGCCGCGTCACACCAGCGATGCTAATTGTCAATAACTATCGTTTATAAGGGGTCGATTTTCCTGATTCTTCTTCGTCTGCTGGAAAAAAAGTTCCCCTCCCGCTTGAATGGTACGACAGCTGAATCACTTCAAACAGTTGGAACATGGTGAGAAAATGGTTTGTCAGAAATGGTGAGGAAGTGCGTCCTGTCCTCTAGCCCCCTGGTCTGGCTGAGATCACGGTTTCAAAGTTTACCTGCCTTCCTGTGCTACGATGATGTTAGTGCAATTGCGAGGGAACCTTGTTGGGTTGCTGTGTCAGTGCGATGCGACTCGTGGTGGCTTTTCACCAGGTGGGTGTGATTGCACGTACACCATTCACTGTAGTGACACAATAAACGGATATACGAATTTTCATGCTAGTAACATACCTACTATGACTTCAAATATATTCTTCACAAACCAGTACACAACTCTATTTATTGCATTATTCCACAATCTACATGCAGATTCCAGCACATCTAATCCACGACGATCCCTCTCGCTTTTAGAAACCTACTTTTGTTCGCCCAACACACTCCTCCTGCACTTCCATACACTTTCCTAAGCAGTCCTTCAGCAACATCCAGCCTATACAGCACACGATCACCATTGCCCCACCCCTCAAACCGCTGTAATCCATTGCATTCAGGTATCAGTCGAGCCAATAGATTCCTCCATTAGCCTGAACCAAATCCCTGCTGCCGTCCTCCTCAGGCCCACCTTCCACTGTCCCAAGGCCTATGTCATCTTGGCTGCTCGACGTGCCCTCCCTTCCATGCCTCAAACCTTCACTCAGCTCACTCCTGAGAATTTCCCCAACGTCGCTCCCAATGTGATCGAAGAACAGTCCCTCCACGCCACAAGGCCAGAGCTCGCCAAAGCGAAGCATCCACAGAGACACAGGGTCCCATCCCATGGCATGGAAGCAACGCAGGCCGTGCCAAGCAGGCAAGACCAGCGGCCGCGAAACTTTGACATATCTCCACTCAAGCGCCTTGACTGTCGCTATAACACCGGGAGGGAAACAAGCAGCCTGCTCAGGCTGCATGTTGGTGCAGAGAGATTCAAGTGACATGAGGTGAGGCGCTTGCAACGGCCACTCGCAGGGTCCGTACGAGCTAAGGAAGAGAGACGGCAGGTGCGCGGGACATGTGGGGAGCAGGAGCAGGCGGAAATGGGGAGACTTCCAGAGCACGCAGAGGGCGGAAAGACGAGGGGCGGAGAGGGAAATGGAGCAGCTGATCCCGTGGAATCGGGCATTCGTGGCTTGCGGGAGGTGAAGAGTTAAGGAGTCTCGCCCGTCAACGTCCCTCTCACGCCCCCTTGGCCCTTCCGCGTTCTCACCCCTCTCAGCCTCCTCTTCGCCCTCGTGAGCCACGAACTGATTTTTACCGCCAAGAGACGGATAGTCCAGCTGTGAAGAGATGCACGAGACGAAGCGCAGGACGAGAGGCGAGCAGGCGGGGAGAAAGAACTTGAAGTGGCGCAGCACAGGAAACGACCTGTCCTTGTCACTCGCCTTCTTTTCTTCCATAATCGATATTATTTCCCACATTTCCGCCACCATCACGGGATCGCTGCCGTGGTGTTGTTGAATGTCACTCTCGCTGTCCAACGCAACGTCATGCGTAATGTCCAGCGACTTGAGGCGCGGCGCTTGCGAGAGGGAGAAGAGAAGGCGCGGATGGGAGGGAAGGCTCTGGGAAAAGTAGAGATCGAGGGAGGTGATGGAGGAGATGGAAGGGAAGAGGCAGGAGCGCATGAGGGAGGAAAGGAGGCGGGGAGGCGCTTCATTGATAGAGATGATGAACTGCGAAGGGCTTTGGTGCTGCTTTGTCAGCCATGCGAAGCTGCGAATTCGTTGAGCGAGGGAGACGGCGGCGGGCACGCACTCGCATTTTTCGTAGAACACGAGATGCTCGTCGCCCGACAGTGCGCGTCGCACGCACGGCAAGGCGATGGCGCACGACACGAGCGGCCACGAGCAGCAGCAGTCGTCTCTTTCCACTACCTCGTTCGCGATGCGCAGCCACACGTCTGCGGGTAGCGCGTCTAGGTCTCCGTATCGACTCTCCGTCACGGTGTCGACGGCTTAGCGCGCCGCTGCTGGGTGCTCTACATGTTTCGATCGCTTCGCACTCGGAGGAACGGCCATGGACGATCCCTGCCCTGCTCCTTCCTCCTCCCCTTGCGCAGCCTCCTCTTCCTCCTCTTGTACTTCCTCCTCCAACTGCTCACCTGTAGTGGTAACTTCTTCCCTCACCTTCATCTCGTTCCGCGTGTTTCTCTTGCGAGCCGTATCCTGGTCACGAGCAGCGTCACGCTCGCAATGTATGTTGCCAAATAGGTTCAATATGGCTCGAGTTTTCTGGTCTGTGCTGGAAAAATTCAGCTGCTGATTAATGCGACAGACAGAGCAGTGAAGTAAAAGCACAGACAGTTGCTTTTGAATTGAACTCCAACGAATGTTATATTATTCTTCGCGCCAAAACCGGAGCGTGCACGATTCTGGTCGTGCGCTGCTTTCGCGGACGCTGTTGGAACTTGTGCAATGGGGTAACAAGCTCACCGTCAGCGGGAAGATCTTGGTTGTAGGAGCCATGTTCAGCACTTAATTCGCCAACATGTATGGTGACGAATAAATATTTCGCGCAAATCGGTTGCTGCGTTCTGTTGCTTGCTTTGTGTTTGCATTTGTTCGTCATACAAGCTTCATGTGTTGTGCTAAACTGTATTGGAAACAATGGTACAATGGCCCTGTTCTGTAGGCACCTGACGATTGGGGGAGGAGGGAGGGAGAAGGGAAATGAGGAGGGTTCCGAGGTGGGTTCCGAGGTCGATTCCCCCTCCCCCGGCAAACACGCGTGATGAGAAATTTCGGATTTTGGGGAGGTAGTTTCCGAGGGAAAATGACGAACTTCTCGCGGAATTTCTCGCGCCCAATGGAGGGACCATTGAATGCAGGACCAGGGTAGTTATTTGGGGCCGGGAGTTTTCAACATAGAAATCCCCAACATACCGTACAGGAGTGGTGAGCAGGCCGCCAGGGTTTTCACTTTGGTGGTTGGTGTGAGTTTTTAATTTTCGATTGGAGATTTGCGCCCGGTTTGGGTTAGTGCCTGTAGAGGGAGCTTGTTTCTTGGGTGGGAGCCTGGTGTTCCCACGCCCAGCTCCTCCCTCCCGTCACCGTCGCACTTCCCCGTGAAGGGTGGGTGGCCTATCCGGGGCGGAGGCAAATAAATTTGCCCGAAGAGGAAGGTGGTGAGGGGAAATAGGAACCTTCTTGTGGGTGCATTTCCCTCGAGGGAAATGACTGTTCTGTAGGCATATTTCCCTTCGATTAGGTTCGGAAGGGAAATGACTGCCACGTCGGCATTTTCTGGGCTGACCGCCCTTTCGAACCTACAATTGCAGAGGCAGGCAGCTTCCTATTTTCCCTCCCCCTCCCTCCGTGATGCCTACAGAACAACACCAATATTGCAGTCATTATCTACTCCTACACACAACAGATGACCTTACACTGCATAACACAACATACATCAGAGATTTAACTACTTTCGTCTGTCAGAGGGAAGTTAGAACGTCCTTAAAGTTTACACACTATAGTAACAAAAGTCGCATTACCTCCGCCCAAATGGGCTTGGCTTGGCGGCAGGGGAGGCAGTGCTAAGTCTTCTACCTCCTGCCATCATGGGACTGCCAGCACCGCTCATGGGGCTGCCACTGACTGCTCTGCCCTTCATCTGAGGCGACCTCTCTGCCTCATTCCCCAATACAGAAGCTGTGGCTGGCTTGGTGGGGCTGGCTGGAATCGGTGCAGCAGCAGCAGCTTCAGTGGATTGAGTGTCGACTCCATTCCCCGTCCCACCCAAGGCCCTGGGTAGTTCAGAACGGAGCAGGCGAAGAAAAGAAACGAGAATTTTGTCAAAGCCTGCTCTCTGGACACCTCAAAACCGGAGGAGCCTGACACCTAATAGAGCATTTGCACACACCCAGACTTTTGAGTCGACTCAAAAGTCATTTGCACACACCCAGACTTTTGAGTCGACTCAAAAGTCATTTGCACACACCCAGACTTTTGAGTCGACTCAAAAGTCATTTGCACACACCCAGACTTTTGAGTCGACTCAAAAGTCATTTGCACACACGCAGACTCCACCCACAAGGGACTCCAACGATGCACCACTTGGAACAAAAACCATTCAACAAACCATTAAATCTCTCGCCACGTACGCACCGCTTGAGCTGGTCCTTGTACTTGTGGTTGGACTCTATGGCCTCCGCCAGCTCTGCCTCCAGCAGCGCCATGCGCTCCACCATGCCACTGCCGCCTGCTGTGCTGCCTCCCCCCCGCATGCGCTGCGACAGCTTCTTCTGCAGCCGCCCCACCTCCTGTGATCGTGAGGGGTAGGTGAGGGAGGGTAGTGGGGGAAGAATGGGTAGAAAGGGATGTTGAACAGTGAGTTGTAGAATGGTGGTGTATGGCATATGAAACCAAGGGCTCTGCCATACCACTGCACAACATCACCCCATGGCTTAAAGGGCAGAGGCAACAAGAGAGCCTTCTTTTCAGGCGCCTCATGCACTGATCACTGACCGCACAAAGCACTGCTACGCAACGCACCTCCTTGCACTTCAAAATGGTGGCGTCGTGCACCGCTAGAGCACCAAGTAGGTGTCATGGTGTCATTTTGTGGCTGCAACTTGTGTGCACACATCAAGCACTGCTACGCACCTCCTTGAGCTCCAGAATGGTGGCGTCGTGCACCGCTGCTGCTGCCCTCAGCTCTGCCTCCCTCTCCTTTACCTGGCCCACCTGCTGCTGCGCCTTCAAAAGCTGCATTGCCGGGGATGGGAAGTGCACAGGGGAAACAAACGTGAGATGACTCTTCGGTCACCTCAAAAGACAGGGGAGACAGACGTGGGATACGGAGTGGGATCAGCGCAGCCGTGGCACTGCAATCACTGACGTGCGATGCTGCCAGGTCCAGCATGCGCGTGAGGGGTGCAGTGCGGGTCCCCCTCGCACGATAACACACAAGAGAGAGTATGATGAGAGCATATGCAGAGGATCAACGTGATCAATATGCATGGTGCCGCACTCACCGCTTGGTTGAGCTGCATGGTAGCGGCATCAGTGCCAGCAGCGAGAGAGTCATTGGTGGCGGTGAGCAGCGCCACGTACTCCCCCATGCTGCCCTCCCTCGCCTCCGCCACCGCCCTCTGCTGCTCCACCTGCTGCTGTAACCCCTCCACCTGCGCCTGTAGGGATGACAGCAGGTGCAGGAGAGAGCGAGAAGCAACGAGTAAGAATTGCATTGGAGTTAACAGCGGGGTGTGTGGGTAACACGAGCGAGCAAGTGATCAGCGCAGAAGCAACACTCAGCCGAGAAGCAGCATCAACGGGGGCACGCCTCACCTCAAGAGTCTTGATGCGCTCCTCCGCAGCCACATCCATGTCCCCCACCCGCGCCCCTGCACCCCCACCACCGCTCCCCCCACTCCCCTCCAGCTCCAACAACCGCCTCTCAGCAGCAGCGAGCGCCTCTGCCTTGCGCCCCACCTCACCCTCTAGAGCCACCGTGCGTCGCCTCAGCTCCTCCACCTGCTTCTCCAATGCCGCCTCTCCGCCTCCTCCCCGCGACGCCATGATCCCCCCCATCCGCCCGCGGGCGAACGCCCCGCCTGCTCCCCCCCCTCCGCCCATTCCCCCCAAGCCCCCCGCCCCTCCGCCCAGAGACCTGCTGCCCTTCCCTTGGGGTGAAGGCTCCATCCCACCACCACCGGCACCGCCACTGCTGCTACCCTCGGTGAGTGCTCGCTTGAGCTCCGCGTTTTGCTGCTTCAGCTGCCGCACCTCCTCCACTAGCGCCTCTGCTTTCGCCGCTGCCGCCGCCGCCGCTGCCTCTGCAGCCACTGTCGCTTCTGCCGCAGCCGCTGTCGCAGCCGCCGCCGCTGCATCACCATCCCCCTCACTCTCACCCCCACCCGCCACCGCCGCAGCCGCCGCAGCAGCAGCCTCCATCTCGCCCACCCGAGCCTCCAGCTCCGCGGCCTGACCCTCCAGCTCCCTCACCCTCCCCTGCAGCTTCTCCCGTTCCTCCATCAACCCCGGCACCTGCTCAGCCTGCTTCGCAAGGTGCCCCATTTCGCCCTCCACAGACGCACTCCGCGCCCGCAAATCCTCCAGCTCCTCCATACTCTCCTCTATCCGCGCCAGCTTCATCGCCAGAGCCAGCCTTCTCTCCTCCAGCACCTGTCTCTCCGTCCTGGCCTGGGCCAGCTCCCCCTTGACTCGCTCCAGCTCCTTCACCTTGCCCTGCAGCACCACGCTCTGCTGCACCAGCCCCTTGCGCTCCTGCTCCAGCTCCTCCCGCGCCACCTGCAGCTCCTTCACGGAAGCTTCCGCCTTGACGAGCTGTGTTACTACCTGCTCGTGCTGCTCCCTCACGCGAGTCAACTCCGCCGCTGCCTCTGCTGCCACCGCCACTTGTCTCTTGAGCTCCTCTACCTCTCCCAAGAGGGACCCCTCCTTGACCTTCGATTCTGCCGCTGATTCTTTCGCCGCCCGCACTTCCCCTTCCAGCTTCACCTTCTCCCTCACCGTTTCCCTCAAATCCCCTTCCGCACGGCGAAGCTTGTCCTCTAGCTCGCCCTTCGCCGCCCGGAGCTCCGCGGCCTCGACCGCGGACAGCCTGTCGCCGCCCTCCCCTCCACTCCCCCCCTCAGATAAAGCCGACAGCTGCTGAGTCAGCAGCGCCACCTCATTGGTCAACCGCTCAACCGCCGCTTCCCTCTCGGCCTTCTCCCGCCTCTGCCCCTCCTCCGCCCTCACAGCCCTTGCCACCGCACTCTCCCTCTCCGCCTCCCCCACCTCCAATCGCGCCTCCATCTCCTCTACCATTCGCCTCGCCTCCCCCACCTCCCTCTCCGCCTCCTCCCTCGCCCTCCCCACCGCCGCCTCACTCTCCCCGACCCTCTTCTCCACCTCCCGCCTCTTCTCCTCCTCCTCCCTCACCCGCCCCTCCAACCGCTCCCTCTCCCGCTCCGCCTCCTTCACCTTCCCCTCAACCACAGCCACGTACTGCTCCAACGCCTCCTCCCGTGCAGCGCCCTTACTCACCTTCGCCTCCAGCTCCCCCACCAGCCCCCTCTGCGTCTCCGCCCTGTCCACCGCCACTGCCAGCTGCGCCTCCACCTCCGCCTGCCTCTCCTCCGCGCGCCGCCGCCCCACATTCGCCTCCTGAAGCTCACTCTCCAGCTTGCCGCACGCCCCCTCCAGCCGCAGCACCTTCATTTCAAGCTCTCGCCGGCTCACACCAGCCAGCGCCAGCTCCCCAGACATGCGCTTAATCTCCTCCTCCAACCCCTCCACCCTCCTCCGCGCGTCCTCCAACTCCCTCTCCGCCCTCCCCGCGCCTCCCGCTCCTGCCCCCGCTCCTGCTCCCCCGCCCGCCCCTGCCCTCCCCACTGCTTCCGCCGCCGCCGCCGCTGCAGCTGAGTCCGCCGCAGCAGAAACCGCCGCCAGCGCCACCTCTAGCTCCGCCTCCTTCTCCCTCGCCCGCTCTTCCAGCCCCCTCACCTGCCCCTCCAGCTCATGAATCCGCCTCCTCGCCTTCTGATTCGCCGCCTGCAGCGCCTCCACGTCAGCAAGAGTCACTCCACCCAAACTGCCCCCAGCAGCAGCCGCCCCCGCTTCCGCCTTGGCCTCCTCCAGCATCTCCTGCATGGCTGATAGCTGCAACTCCACCTCCTGAACCCTCGACTCCGCCAACCGCCTCTGCTCATCTAACCGCCTCACCTGCTTCTCTAGCGCCCCTCTATCCGACCGCCACGCCCCGGAGGTGGACTCTACCTCGTGCACGCGGGCATCGCTCTCCCTCACCTGCTCCTCTAGCGCCTCTCTCTCCCGCTCCAGCTCCCCCACGCGCTGCTGCCACTGCGCCGCCGCCCCCACCACCACCCCCACCTTCCCCGCCACATCCTTCCCCTCCGCCTGCTCCCCCAGCGTCTCCCCCTCCTCCCCCGTCCCCTTCTCCCCCCCCCAGGCAGCAAAGAACGCACGCAGAGTCTCCCCCACCTGCTCCACCTGCGTCACCGCGCCCTCCCCCTGCCGCTCCAGCCGCCGAACCTCCTCCCCGTACCTCGTCACGCGGTTCTCCGCGTCGCGCTTCCCCTCCCGCAGCTGCTCCACCTCCCCCACATGCCTTCTCTCCTGCTCCTCCCTCAACCTCCTCTGCGCCGCCAGCGTCTTCCGCGTCTCCTCCAACTCCCCCTCCATCTGCTTCGCCCGCCGCTCATACTCCTCCAGAATACTCAGCCTATCCATAGCCCGCGCAGTGGCCATCTCACTAACGCGCATCTTGCTCCGCAGCTGCACCGCCTCCTCCCGCGCCTCCTCCGCCTCTCTACTCTGCTCCTTCAACGCCTGCAGCAGCTCCACGATCCTTCCATGCAGCTTCCCAACGTCCCTCTCATTCGCCGCCGGCCCGGAATTAATCAGACTCTCCACGCTCTTCCCCTCCGCCTTCCCCTTGCTGAAAAACGCAGCAAACCCGGACGCAGCAGCGGCTGTAGCAATGGAGTCCTTCTTCCCTGCAGCGATCAGTTCGTGCTGCAGCTGCTCTATCAGCGCGTCCTTCACCTCGCCCTCCTTATTCGCCACGTTCAGCCCGGCTGCCAGCTCCAGGCTCTCTGCTGTTAACTCCTGCGCCTCCCGCTCTAGCTCCTCCACCTTGCGCCTCAGCTGCGCCACCACGCTCACGTCTCCCGCTGCCCCCCGCTCGCCCTCTCCGCCCGCCTCGCCGTCCCCGCCTGATCCCCCCCGGCTCTTCCTGCTGCTTCCGCTCATCCCCACCGTTTCTGACAGCATCAGACCGTCCTCCACCCCTTCCTGCCCTTCTCCCTTCCCCCTCGGTCCCAGGGGGCTCGGCCGCGCGGACCCTCCCCCGCCCCATCCTTCCGCGCCCTGCAGCTCCGCCAGCTGCTCCTCCAGCGCCGCCTGCGCCTCCGCCATGGCGCGCGCGCGCTCCTGCCACTCCGCCTCGCGCTCGTCCGCCTGCTTCTGCGCGCGCTTGAGCGCGGCCTCCGTTTCCTGGCGCGCCTCGAACAGCTCCTCCGCGTCCCGCCGGTACTTCCCCGCCTCCGCCTCCGCCTGCTCCGCCTGCGCCATCAGCGCCTCGTTCTCCCGCTGCAGCATCTCCACCTGCGCGGACAGCGCGCCCACCGTCCCGCGCAGGAACTCCGCCTCCTCCAGCAGCCCCGCCACGCGCCTCATCCCCTCCGCGCCCCCGCCCCCGCCGCCCCCCACGCTCCACTCACTCTCCGTCCCGTCCGCCACATACGAGTTCGTATCCATCCCCTCCTCCTCCCCCGCACCCCCGGACAACCCCCCGCCACCCCCCCGTCCCCCCAAACCTGCCCGCAGCATATTCACCTCCTCCTGCAGCCTATCGCGCTCGTCTTTCAGCTGTCCGATCGCCATGTCCGCGCGCTGGTCCTGCACGAAGGCTTCCGCGAGCTGCCCGCGCAGGCTCTCGACCTCGCGGGAGAGGTTGCGCGCGGTGGTCTGGTACTTGACGCAGTCGCGCTGCAGCTCCTCTATCGCCGCCTCCGCCGCCGCCAACTCCCCCGCGCTGTCCCTGTGCACGCGCATCTCCGCGCCCTGCCCCCCGCCCGCTCCGCCTCCTCCCCCGCGCCCAGCAGGTTCCTCTGCGCCAAAGTACCCCCTCCGCGCGCCTCTGCTGCCCGAGTAGCCCCCAGCGCGGGGAGAGTCGTCCGGACTGGCAGCGTCGGGCAGCGCAAGCGAGTCAGGAGGGGCTCCCGGTTGAAACGGATAAGCGCTGCTGCCACCCCCACCGCCATAGCTGTCGCGCTCCTCTCCGCCTCCCCCTCCGCCCTCCCCGAATGGGTACCCCGCGCCCATCATCCCGGGGGAAGGGTCAGGGCTGCGGTAATTGCCAGGGCTGTCTCTGCCCACTCCGCCCATCCGCGCGCTGGGGGAACCATACCTGTACGGGGAGCTCTCCCCGCCCCCGCCCATCCCCATCCCGCCGCCTTCCGCCCCTGCCACGTCATCGTACTGCCTCGCTGGCCGGTGGGTGGGCGTGCCAGCTGGCGAGGGGGTCCGGGCACCTCTGGGGGAGGCGGCAGCTGCGCCGGGAGCGGGGGGCAGCACAGCAGGCGCTGCTGCTGGGGGAAGGCGATGCGCGCCACTCCCCGCGGCGGAAGCATCAGGGCCCCCCGCGCCCTGCTCCTGCGCGTCCTTGCTGCTTGCGCGCTTGCTCCACCCGCCCAGCAGCTTCCCCGGAGACACCGCCCCCACAGGCGCGGCCCCCGCAGGCGGGGGAATCCCTGGCGACCGCGCTGGCTCCCGCTCTCCCCCGCCCGCCCTGCCCTCCCCGCGCCCGTCCCCTGCGCCACTACCCCAAGTATCCCAGCCACCCGCCCTGCCTTGCAGCGCGGGGCTTTGCGCGGGCGTGACGTCCGCTGATGCTCCTCCCATGCCGCCCCCCTGCTGCTGCTGCTGGCGCCGCATCTCCTCCTTCCTCTGCCGCTGCTTCTCCCGCTCCATCCTCACCCTCCTCGCCTCCTCCTCCAATGCCTCCTCCTGCCGCCGCAACTCTTCCTCCTCGCTCTGCTGCCCACCCCACTCCGCACCCCCATCCCTCCCTCCCGCATCCTCCTCCTCTCGCTTCCTCTCTGCCAACTGCTGCTGCCTCTGCATCTCCTCCTGCTGCTTCCGCATTTCCTCCTGCTGCCTCTGCATCTCCTCTTGCTGTTTCTGCATCTCCTGCTGCCGCAGCCATTCCAAGTCCTGGTCAATTCCGGACTCTTTCTTCCTCCCTTGCCGCCTCTCCCCCTCGCTTCCCATCCAGTCCTCCTCCTCCCTCTCCTTCTCCCCACCTCGCCCCGCACCCTCCTGCCTCTCCTCCGCTCTCTCCCGCGCCCCCTTCTCGCCCTTCTCCGCCGCTTTTTCCTTCTCCTTCCCTTTCCCACGTGTCGCGTCCCTACTGGGCGACGTGTCACGCGAGCGCACCACGGAAGACGACGGCTCCTTCTTAGACCGGAATCGCGGGGACGCGGGAATTATACTCCCCTTATCCTTTTCCTTACCCTTCTCCCTGTCCTTATCCTTGTCTTTGCTGCTGCTGGAACGCCAAAAAAACATCCCGCCGCCCCCGCCACCCCCTTCCTTTCCCGTCACTCGCGGGGAGGCAGCAGACGGCTTACTGTCACCGCGCCCCCCGCGACCGCCCGCAGTGCTGCTCGCACTTGTCCCTGCCCCTGCACCTACCCCTGTCCCTGCACCTGCTCCTGCTCCTGCTCCTCCTCCCGCATTTGCGCCTGAACCAGCAGCAGCAGCAACAGTAGGGGCAGTGCTAGCAGCGGCAGCAGCGGCAGCAGCAGCTGCAGCAGGGGCAGCGGTGGCGGCGGCGGAAGGTGCGGCGGAGGGAGCGGCGGAGCTGGGCGTGGCGCTGGTGGTGCTGGCGGTGGTGCGCGGCGTGGTGTCGCACGAGGAGGACTCCTCTGACGACGAGTCTTCGTCCTGCCATCCACACACAAGGGGTGGAGGGGAAGGGGGAGGGGAGGTTGGGAGCGGCAGTGCTGGTGCGCGGCGTGGTGTCGCACGAGGACGACTCCTCTGACGATGAGTCTTCGTCCTGCCATCCACGTGGCCGGGGTGCAGTGGGGGCAATGGCAGCAGTGGCAGCAATGGCGAGGGGAGAGAGCAAAGGGTGGAGAGGGGAGTGAGGGGATTGGTGGGGTAGTGGGATGTGAGCAACAGGAAGACACAAGGGGGTAAGGGACACTATCCGGCCGTGATAAAGAGGCAGTTAATACCTGCACTGCACAGCCGTTCATTCCCTCTTTCTAGTTCCACCAACCATCCCACCAACCATTCCACCAACCGTTTCTGCCCCCGCCAGCACAAGACGCACACACAAAAACAGGTGCATGTACGTTTCCCCGAGCCCACTTGGTAGCACCTCTGTTCTTCAGAATTTCCCGTGACTGCACCCTGTGTGTCACCCTATGCGTTCACCCTATGCGTTCAACGGGTGTGTCACCCCTGTATGTCCCCGTGTGCGTTCAATTGGCATTCAAACGGCTTTGAAACGTCGCCCAAACGGCACCCACATGGCACCCACATGGCACCCAGAAGGCACCCAAAAGGCACACTGACCTGGGAGGGTGCAGGAGGGACGTCTGGGATGGGACGAGCAACGGGCTGACTGGCTGCTTCCGTCTCCTGCCTCCGCGCCTCCTGCCGCTGCGCCTCCTGCCGCTGCGCCTCCTGCCGCTGTGCCTCCTTCCTCTGCGCCTCCTGCCGCTGCGCCTCCTGCTTTTGCGCCTGCTTCACCCCCTCGCTCTGCTGCTTTGCGGCCTGAAGGTGCTGCTTCTGCGCAAGCACGTGGTGGGCGGGGAGGGGAAGTGACCGTGGAGTGGCGATGACTGGAGAGAATGCAGCGGAACGCCTACAGCAATAAGGCAACGAGACGACGCACGAACGTGTTCGCCTACCTGCGCATCTCCCGCCCGTCCCTTGCCGCCACCTGCAGCAGCGGCGGCGGCAGCAGCAGCCGCAGCAGTGGCGGCTTCCGCCTTGCCCGCAGCGGCGCCGTGGCGACCACTAGCGGCCCCCGGTGCCACCCTCCTCGCCGGCACCTCCTCGTGCTCGCTCTCGTCGTCGTCCCTGCACGCGCACGACGCCCCCGCGCACACGGAGAATAGATCAGCTACCAGCTCGTCAAAAGGGCAACGGAGGAAAGCCTACAATACAAGACTATTTACTTCACGTGGCGGCCGGGAAAAGAGTGGGCAAACGTCTGCGCTAGCATTCGGGGTTGCGAGGAGGGAGGGAGGGAGGGAGGGGGGGGGGGGGGGGGGGGGGTGTAGGGGAGAGGTGTTGACGCAGCGTGGTTGTAGATGGCGAACAGTTTTGCGGGTCATACCTTGGGTCGAGCGCCGTGCATTGAACCGTGGCCTGCAAGGCACAAGCAGTGGGACACAATGCCGAGTGAGTTAGCAAAGGAGCTCGTCACGAGCAACCACAGCGACTCCTCTCATCCTCACTTCCTTCTTAGCCTACAAATTGATTGCTGAAGGAGCATAACCACGCGCGTATGAACCACCGAGATTAGTAAACGCCTTATTGATTGCTATGTCGATTGTATTTCTTTTATTTTCCTTGCTTGCTTTCTTTCCCCAATTCGTTCTGTTCCATTCTCCCACCTACTTGGAGCAGCCGCCTTACATGAAGGATGGTTCCAGCGTTGCAGTTCTTCAAGGAAAGCGTTCGCTGATCCAGCCCTCCGAATCCCCCAAATTCCGCTAGGTTCAGCGTCGCTTCACCCAGCACGCCCGATCGCAACGAGTTCTGTGAAAGAGGAGGGGGTTTCATACATCGAAGGAGACGGGGACTCAGAATGCCAGGATAACTGAGTCACGGACATAACGCCTCGTGGTGAAAGACAAAAGACACAGCACGATGTACCAGGGAGAAAGGAAACGTCTCACGATTGTAACTAGAACTTACGGACGAGACGACGAAGCGGTACGGCCTGGGCTCGTACGCCTTGGCCTTGGCGTGGCGAGTGAGCTTCGTGGTAATGGTGACCGACCCGCTCCACGCGCACGAGCCATTCTTGACCGTTGCCTTGGGGGTTTGCCCCTCGGGCTTGCCGGAATCCGCGGGAACAACGAACACCACGAGGTTGTCGAAACCAGACGCCGGCACCTGAATACACGAGAGGGGTGGACAAACATTGTTGTTCGGAGGATGAAAACAACATGCGCCATCAATAGTTAGAGTAGCGGACGCTAGTGTTTTCACTTACCCGCGTCGCGTGAAACCGGAACCTAAAATCGAACCTCTCTTTTTTCGTCCTTAGTCCCTTGAACATGGTTGCAGGTTTGTTTGCCTAGACGCTGCTCGTTCAGACGTCACTAATGAATGTGGTAAGAGGGGAACAAGCGTCTGCTGGCAGTTTATGACGGAACAACGTCATAGTTTTCACGAAACGCGCGATGCCGCCATATCCTCAATAGGTCCTCAACGAGCAAAATCTCACTGAAGTGCAACACAAGCTTCTCCTTTGAGATCACTCGCTTTGTGTCAGGTGTCGATGTCTGGAGTGCTTCAAGTCAAACGGATGGGTCATGCCATGATGTGAAAACGGACGAATGAAAGCGGGACGATCTAGCCAATCGACACTGAGCTTAGGGGGGAACCTGTCGGTATGCATGCCGAAGCTAAGACGTGACTGTGGATTTCCCGCCAACATGCCCCTGCCTGAGCAGCAATCCACGTGGCATGTGGAGTGAGCTCTGGCAAAAAACGTGAAGGCCGAGGAAGGCGCTTCGAGCACTCATGATTCAGTACAAGCAATTTCCTAATAAAAGACGCGTCAGTCCTACTACCTTGGTTTAACAAGTAAAGAAATCCATAACCCATCCCGATTCTTTAAGGATGATCAAACAATTTGTGATTTTTGAACAACAATTACAACGAATAATATGTTATCGTCTGAATTTATCTCCGTATCAGTTATCAATTGCATCATGACCGAACTTTGCAAGGTACTCTATTCAATCTCTTTGGAATGCATGTGGTGTGGAACATCTGTGCCAGTTCTCAGTGCCATTGTGTATAACAGGTCAATGTGTGTAACTCAACTGTCACATCTCCGAAGCATGTGCGAATTTCGCCAAACGACCAGATTGAACCCACCACAGCAACATCCTTCGCATAGAAGAGGGGCGTGTTCGCAGAGTGTGTCGGCGATCGTAATTCAATCAGGCCATGATGCCAACGAAGCAGGAAGGAAAGCAAACACGCTGGTCACTGCCTCGCGAGACCTGAGCCGTTCGATGAAGGGCTAATCGGAAGTCTTTCCGCAATTAGCGTTTGACATCTTGGTTCACATGGTCAATCCTCACCATATTTCGGCCAATAGGTGAGGCCAAGAAGGGCGATCCCCCTTCCCTGTTCAGTTTCTGGAAACTCCAATGTCCCTGCCGCTGATCGTTAGGGTTTCATCCGCTTTCCCGCTTTCACAGTGCAAGATCGGCCAGCTTGTTCCTTCTCTTCCTTATGGTAACCCGCAAACATCCAGTCTCCCGGCAGGTTTGTTTTTCGTAACAGCCAGTCCGCAACCCTTCCTAATCCTATCTTGTACTCCGCTTAGTCTTGGTGACGAGTGCACCCTAGTCTGAGCCAACTCTTCAACTGCCTGGACGATGTCAGAAAAGGAACCTGCCGAAGGGGCAGGAAAAGAAGGGTCGTCTGAGGATGACGATGTTGTGGAAGTGCCGCAAGCAGGGAATGCAGAAGTGACACCGCTCGGCACGGCGGATGTCGCGGAGCCCAGTGCTCACGTGGAAAATGTCTCCGCCGCGTGCGAGGCGCCTGATGCGGAACCGGGTGGTGAATCTCCAAAGGATTCGACAGCAGAGACAGCACGCGAAGTTGCGGCGAAGGAGGACACAGAAGGAGGGAGTGCGAGCCGAGAGGGAGCAGGCGAGGGAGCAGGCGGCGGAGCAGCGGATCCGGAAGGTGGAGCAGAGTCGGAGAAAGTGCAAGCTGGTGAGGTTCCGAAGGATTTCAAAACAGAGGCAGCGGGAGACGGTGCGACGAAGGAGGACGCAGAAACAGCAACGGCGAGCCGAGAGGGAGCGGATGGCGTAGACGCAGAGGGAGCTGAAGCGGATTCGAAGGCACAGACAGCAGGTGACGATGCGACGAAGGAGGACGCAGGAACAGCGACAGCGAACCCAGAGGTACCGACAGATGCAGGAGCAGAGGGAGCCGATGTGAGTGCCAAGGCACCGGCGGCAGATGACGGTGCGACGAATGAGGACGCAGAGAAAGCGATGGCGAAACCAGAAGTACCGGTCGATGGAGAAGCAGAGGGAATTGAGGCGGATATCAAGGCACCGGCAGCAGATGACGGTGCGACGAAAGAGGACACAGAACCAGCAACTGAGTTGTCGAAAGGAACAAGGAAGGGAGGAGCAGACCCGGAAAGCGGGGCAGAGGCTGAGAAGGCGCAAGCTGCGGCGGCAGATAAAGAACAAACAGAGGCAGATGCGACGGAAACGATGCAGCCCAGTGAGGTGGAAAAGAAGACGGCGAATGCGGACCCGCCTTCCGCCGTTGCGCAGGCGGATCCTGCTGTTGCTCTCGCCACTGCCCCCGAAGTCGTTCCCGCTGTCACTTCCGCCGCTGCTCCCGCTGCTGCTCCCGCTGCTGATCCTGCGGCACCACTCGCTTCCCCGGCGGAAGCTGTTCCGCCAGCAACCCCTGCCCCTCCTGCGGAAGCGGGGGCTGCTCCCTCCGCCACCCCCGTTGCTCCGCCAGCTCCCGGTGCGCCTCAGCAGGCACCACCATCTGCTCCCGCCGTTGCCGCCTCTTACGCAACGATAGACGCGGAGATCAAAGCGGTGCGGGACATGCCGAATCCTTTGGGCCCGGGACCTTCCGGAAGCGCATCCGCACCAACGCCCGCAACCGACGCTGCGCAAGCATCTCCTGCGCCGCCAGCAGCGGCAGGCGCAGCGGCAGCAGCGCCAGCATCCGCGGCAGGAGGACAGGCAGCGCCAGTAATAGAAACAATAGAGCTGGACGACGACGAGGACGACGAAACGGACAACAACGCGCTGAACGCGATCCTCTCCGTGCCACCGAAAGAGCTCGAGACAGCGGTGGAGAAGCTCCTATACATTCACATGAGGCCGCGCCTGCCGGGCGCGGAGGACGACGATCAGGTCGCGCCGCACACGATGGCGGCGCTCGAGACGGGCGTGAAGTGGGTGCTGAAGCGGCAGGGCTCGGCGGTGCCCGCGGAGCAGTGCGTGCGGCTGGCGAAGGCGCTGCTGCTGGACTCGCAGCACGGGAAGCGCGGGCGCCCGCGCAAGTACTTCGCGGAGGCGGAGGTGAACGTGGCGCTCGCCGCCGTGAGCGCGTGGCTGGAGAGGCGCAGGCAGCAGGAGGCAGGGGAAGGGGCAGGGGCAGGGGGAGCAGGAGGAGGGGCAAAACCAGGCGACGCAGCAGTTGCTGCGAAGGCGGCAGCAGCAGCGACTGCAGGAGCTGCAGGGGGGGCGGGTTTCCCTGGGCCGGCAATGCAGCTGCTGGCGCAGCAGTATCAGCAGGTGCCGCAGCAGCAGCAAGCGAGCTGGTTGCGGCCTCCTGTTGCTGCAGCAGGCGGACTTCCGCCAGCAACGCAGCTGGCGCAGCAGCAGGGGCATGGGCAGCAGCAGCAGCAGCAGGCGAATCTACTGACCATGCCGTCCCTGAACCCGCGGTTAGATCGCTCAGTGGAACTGCCTGGTTACTACCCCAGCCGTGTTCCCCCAGGCCTGACGTTCAACTTACGCCCCGGCGCCATACTCGCCGGCACCGTACCTCGCACCGTACCTGCCGGCTCCGCACCTGCCGGCACCATACCTCGCACCGTACCTGCCGGCACCGCACCTCCCACCATGTTTGCCAGCACCATATCTGCTACCACAGTTGCGGCGTCGCCTGCAGGGAATCAGACGGACGGGGTGGGTCTGTGGCAGGGCAGAACACGGTTGGGAGGGCTGGGTTCTAAGGTGCGGCAGGGGAGGCAAGCGTGGGAGGGGTTTGGGGGCCTGAATTCAGTGCCCTCACAGCAAAGTGAAGAGGCTGGCAGGAGGCTTGTGATGCCGGCGGGAGAAGCACAGCGGGTGACACAGGGGCGAGAGCAGGGAGTACAGGGGGGAACGCAAGGGCGAACAGAGGGGGTAACTCAGGCGCGCGGGCAGGGATTGGCGAACGCACCACCGGTGAGGGAGTATGTTTTGGGGCTGAAGGCGCCTGATAGGAGCACGCAGAGGCCGGGAGCAGGGCTGGTGGAAGTGCCTGTAGGGGGGGCTGCCCCGGGAGCGATTCCGGGGTCGGGGCGGGGAGCGAGGCGAGGAGAACGGCAACCTGCTAGCGCTCTGCAGCAGCAGCTGCAGCATCATCATCAGCAGCATCAACAGCGGCGGCAGGAGCAGCAGCAGCAGCAGCAGCAGCAGCAGCAGCAGCAGCAGCAGCAGCAGCAGCAGCAGCAGCAGCAGCAGCAGCAGCAGCAGCAGCAGCAGCAGCAGCAGCAGCGGGTGCAGCAGCAGGCACAGAAGCAGCAGGAGAAGCCGCCAGAGGTGCAGCCGCCAACAGAAAATCTCCCAGCGCCAGGGCTGGGCAAGGACGTATGCGTGCATAAATACTACCTGCCGGGAATAGAGGGCAGTGGAGAGGCGGGCAGGCAGAAGCAGGAGCGCGAGCACGCCACCTTGCTGGCGTTTCTCCACTGGCTCTACCCCCACCTGTGCGGGATATGCAAGGCGGTGGTGCAGCATGGGCCGTTTGTGGAGGGCGCGCAGGGACGGTTTGGGGGGTACGAGGTGGGGGATGTGGCCAAGGGGAAGGAGCGCGGGGTGCTGGTGCGCGCGCCCAGCAACTGGCGGAACGTGGGGGACTCCTCATGGGCCACGGAGATGAACCAGGTGAGTGGAGTGGGGATGGTGGCGTGTCGGTTGGGTTTGGGTGTGCTCGGAGAGGTACCTGTCAAGTCTCCTTAGCAACTGGCGGAACGTGGGGGACTCCTCGTGGGCCACGGACCTGAACCACGTGCGTGGAGTGGGCAATGGCACCTCTCCACTGGCCCTTCTTTTCCCATCCCGCTCCCTCGTCACGCTCATTTCCACCTCCCCTTCCTTCCTCTCTTTCCCTGACCACCACCACCTGTGCGAGCAGCAAGGGCCAAAGAAGCGGCGGCTGGTGTTTGTGGGCTGGCAGGCGTTTGCACAGACAGAGCGCGGTGCAGTGGACGTGGGCATTCACATCGAAGACACGGACGCCATCAGGTGCACGCGCAGGGGGCTGGCTGTGTGTGGGTTTTGACACCACAAGGTGATGGATGGGAGCGGGGGGCAGTGGACGTGGGCATTCATATCGAAGACACAAACACCATCAGGTGCATGGGCAGGGGATGGAGGGAGTGGGAAGAGAAGGTCATCTCATGGGCACCACTAGCACCAACACGGCCTTTTGGCCCTTCCCTTCTGCTCTTTATTTCCACCCATTCCTCCCTCTCTGCGCCCTCATTCCGTCCCGTTTGCCGCCTCATTCTACCTGTTTCGCCTCTTTCCATCCGCCCATCAGGTCTCTCCTCGCCAAGAAGCGCCGCCTGCAGCAGTTTGCCCGAAACCGAGTCTCTGACATCCAAACCTTAAAAGGCAGGCTCTCCGAAGCTCGCGTGCAAGTTCGGTCGCTCAAGGACCAGGTTCGGGATCTCCAAAGCCAGCTGAAGGCTGCCAAGGAGAAGGAGAAAGCACGGGGGCGTGGCCGAGGGGAGAGATCAGCAGAGGACGAGCAGAAGCAGCTGCAGCGGCGGCTCAAGAAGCTCAAAGCCCGGGCCGGTAACCGTCCAATCACCGCTGATGATGTGGCGATGCTGGATCTGATGTCAGACGACGACGACGATGACGAGGACGAGGATGCGGAGGGTGACGGGGCGGCAGCAGGGGCAGAGGGAGCAGCAGCAGAGGGGGTGCGGGAGGAGGCAGCAGATGCGGCGATAGGAGTGGAGTTGTGGATTCAGGAGTTGGATGAGCCAGATGATGAGATGGTGAATGAATTGCTGGAAGACATTGAAGTCATGCCCAATGTGGTTATCCCTAGTGGGACCAGTACACCCGGTGTGTTTGGGGAGTCTCCGCAACTACCCGCTGTTGATGTCCCAGCGCCGTCCCCTGCCGCGTTCTCGCCTGCTAACGCATCCCCCTTTCAGATTCCTCAAACTCCTAATGCTGCTGCTCTCGCTGCTGCGGCGGCTGCTGCTGCCGGTTCTCCTGCTGGTGCGGGAGCTGCGGCGTCCCCAGCAGCAGGCAGGACCATCTCGCCTCTCCTGCAGCAGCTGCTGCAGCGCTCCTCCCGCCCCATTGCCCCCAGAACCACCAAACCCCAGCGCTCTTCTGCCGCCCCCGCACCTCCAACCTCTCTCAACCGCGCTCCCATCCTCCCCACTGTCCCCCGCCACGCCTCCAACTCGTTCCTGCTTGCAGCAGCATCAGGACAGATCCCCACCCCTGCCGCACCTCCCGCTCCGTCCCCTGGAAACCCTCCCCGCACCCCTGGCTCTGCCGCCGCTGCTCCTCCCCGTGAGCGTTCCGGGGGGCCGTCCCTGGGCGTGTGGGATAGGATCCAGCTGAGGCGGAAGAGGGCAAGGGAGGGGCTGACAGGGGACCCGGAGGAGCCGGGGGCACAGCAGAGAGACGGGAGGGACGGGAGAGCGGGACGAGAGGGGCTGCAGCAGCAGCAGGAGGCGGGCGGGCGGGAGGGCATGCTCACTCGCCCTTCCCTGGGGTCAGGCCGGCCGCTGGCTGGGTTACGGAAGCGGAGGCGGGAGGGGCAGGTTGACCCGGTGTTTGGATCCGCTGGGCTGCGACCGCGCGGGCGCGAGCGCGACATTCTGTTCTGGTTCCAGTCCACTGAGCGGCGCAAGATGAACCGGTTCCAGTCACGGCTGGAGAAACGCCTGCACAAGGTGAACCTGCAGCGGAGGGCGTGGCGGCGAGGCGAGGAGGGAGGGGTGGAGGAGGAGGGTGGTGGGGAGGGGCAGGATGGGGAGGAGGGGGAGGATGGGGAGGAGGGCACGGATGGGGGTGGGGATGAGGAGGGAGGGGAGGGGGATGTTGTGGAGGTGGGAGGGGGTGCGGGGGGAGGTGGTGGAGAGGTATATGTGACTCTGTTGTCTACTGACGACGAGGGCAATGAGGGGGAAGATGATGGTGGGGAGTGAGCAGCAGCGGGTGGTGGTATGTGATTGCATTGGGATTAGGTTCTAACTTGTATGCACGAGTCAGTGCATATGTACCCACTGATAGTAAGAGAGCTACCGTATACTCCCGGACAAAACACCCCCCCATAATTGTACACCCCCGGGTAGCTTGTGCGGGGTGGGTGTTATGGGGAGCCTCGTTTCTACTATACCCCCCTTTTTGCCTGATTCTCTATAAGACCCGGGGGGGTGTTATGGGCGGCAAAAATACTGAATTTGCTTTCATTGCATACAGGGTACTTTACAGGTACTACAGAAGTAATGTGCCAGCACATAGTCATCGACAATGTCACCTAGACTGCAGAAACATCACCACAAGAGCACCTCACATCCACAATTTCACCTAACAAAACTCTACACAAAGTGCCTTCTACTCAGAATCGTCTCCTGCATGCCATTCTTCACAGTCTTCCCCGTCAAAGCGGCCAGGGCGCCACCATTTGTCATCGCTGGGCTCTTCTGCCTCCCCGCCTTCCTCAAGCACGCCCCCCTCCTCCTCTGCCGCCGCCGCTTCCGCATCCTCCTCAGCGGCGTCAGCCTCCTCTGCCGCCGCCTGCAGCTCCTCGGCCGGCATGGGGACTTCGACGTAGAAGGGGTTGACGACGAGCTCGTCGTCAACCAGGTCGTTGACGTCGTCAAGGACTTCCACCTCACCCTTGTCCCGCATGTGGGCAAGGATGAGGTGGTCCTCGCTGCCATCGATGGGGGTGGAGATCCCACACGTGACGAACGCCTTCTTCACGAGCTCCTGTGGGATTGCTTCCCTGGACTCATCGATCCAGCGGAGCACCAACTCCGCTGGCGGCTTCTTGAGATTGCCTGAGGGACGGGGAAGGGTAGAGAAGGACAAATGTGAATTTCCAGAGCGTAAGCCGACATTGATTCAAAGTTACACATGCGGATGTCATGGTTCAACTCACCGGACTTGGTGATGGTGTTGATGCCCTCTTCTTCGAACCAGCCACTGTAGCGATGACGCACACCGCACTTGAACGTACGGTTGATTGACACATCCAGAGGCTGCACTAGCAGAGTGCAGCCCCCTGGGATGACAGCCCGTGACAGCCGAAACATCCTCATGGTCTGCCCGACCGCCTCAGTCAAGTGGCCGCGGTAGGAGTCGAGCACAACCAAGGCCTCCCTGCGGCGTCCAATTGATTCACGCAAGGGCTTCAGAAACGGCACCATCACCTGGGTGATCCACTCCTGCACAAGTGATTCGTCCATCCACCCTTTGTCTTGTGCACGGACCACCACACCTGCCAAAGAATACCGGTACGTTAGGGTCAAATTCGGTTGCGACTGTTGACAGGCTACAGTAGTGACATCATCCTAAACGTGCTACGCTTACCGGCAGGGATGGGCACCTTCGGTATGGACTTGCGCTTGAACACCACGTACGGCGGCAGCTTGAGCCCGCTCGCAGTTACTGCCAGCATGACAGTAACACGCTCCTTCTCATAGCCCGCACTCCGTACGTGAACCGTCCGCGCTCCCTTCATTTCGAGCGTGCGCTCCGTCGGCATCTCCAGGAAAAGCGGGGTTTGGTCCGCGTTCAAGATGAGGTCAAGCGGGTAGTCGTGCAGAGAGCGCAATCTGCAAGCAAAGCCACGAGACACATTAGCTCAGCACTGAGATGGCGATCAAGGAGCACGACGGCGCAACACTTACCCGCTGCCAACTTCTGTCCCATCTTCGTCTTCACCCACCTCGCCAAATGCCAGCGCGTGCGGAAACGAGTCGCCCAGCGGAACGATGCGCGCCAGTTGACCCCGGGCATCCGGTGCTTCATGTACTTGGCGCTCCACTTCTGGAGCATGCTGACCGAAACGGCGAGCCCCCTCTCCCTGTGCTTGAGGAACTGGCGGTAGACCGCCCTTTCCATGAAAGGAAACTTGGACTTGCGGCCAGCTCCCATGAGGCGACGACGGCAGCTAGAAGAGACCTCCAGCCGCTCCCTCATCTTCTTCCAATCGCGGATCTGGCATGGCTGCACCTTCGCGAGCTTCGCCAGGGCGCGATTCGACAGGTCGGGCTGCGAGTCCTACATCTTCAACCAGTGGAGCTTCTCCTTTGCGGTGATTCCCTTGCGCTGGCGTTTCGTCATGCGATGGCGAGGGGATGGCGGGTCAGCATCGGCGTTGCGCTTCTGCTCCCTGCGGGCGGTTCTGCTCCGGGAACGTGGGGACAACCACTCGAGGAAGGGTAGGGCGAGGACGGTCCAAGCTACTGCTCGGTTCATCCCTGGTAGAAGCACTACGGGATCATCTGGCTGAGGAAAGATCGGGCGAGGAGACATCCGTGCGCGTGCAGAAGCGCTAGTCTGATTGGTGGAAATAGGCCGCTGCCGCCTATCTACCGTACTGCTAGAATCTGGAGATGAAGCCATGCTTGGGAACTAAGGCAGGTCGATGTCACTCGCCATGGGAGAAATGACTTTTAAAGACGATACCCTCGTGCACAGGAAGGAGATGCTCTCACAGCCTGCCGAGCATTTGTTAAAGACGTGCACTGGAACCGCTTGACGAAGAGAAGAGCAAGCTTGGGTGAGGAAGCTTGGACGTGACTACCGTACACGGGAGTCAAGGGGTCACAGGTATAGTGACAACACAGCATCGTGCGCGATTCCGGCCTCGTACTGCATGAACCCGAGCTGCTCGAGGTTGGCAGTGATGTCAACCAATCAGGTGGCACAGTGGGCCCACTGGAATTTGCCATGTGGCAGATTCCAGTGGAGGATGACGTTATCCTCGTAGACGCGGTTTGGCGACCCTGATCAAAAAAATAATAATAAGGCCAGACCCCTGTTTTTGTTTCCATTCATTTTTGCTTATAAAAAAATGTGCAATATAATAAGACCCGGGTATTATGTATTTTTTTCCTATGAGGAGACCCCCCCCATTTTTTCCTTGTATTTTAGCTATACCCTAGGGTGTTATGTCCGGGAGAATACGGTACGTACATGGCCATGTGTGAAGGGAAGGGGGGGGTGGGAAGAAGGGTGAGGGGGAGCAGGTGTGGTTTCTGTGAAGTGCAGAAGCGATTGTTGCACATGCTCCTAGAGTGTGGTTGATTTTTCTGGTGTTGATTTTTTATGGTTACGGTAATCTTATATTGATCAGCTAATCGAGTGCAGGAAGTTCAGTTATCCAGAGAGTCACCTTGCGTGAATGGACAACTCTGCGCGTAACGGGAGCCACTCAAAGCGGATTCCGCTTCACCCCGACCCTGAACCCTAATTCGCAACTCGCATAAACCCCTCCAACTCTCACACCATCCCCTGAACTTCCCCACCTCGAGAAAAATCAACTCCAATTCCTTAGTCGGCGCGAATAGCATCCAGAGTCACTTCAGACGGACTGTATTAAATCTTCTTTCACGAGGCGGAGCACTTGGCGCGGGGTAGAACAGGCGGATCGTTCCAAGGAGCGCGGGTTTGAGCACAGCGCGCCGATGTCAGGCAGGAGAGGGGGCCCGGGTGGCAGGGGTGGTGGGCGGAGCGGGCAAAGGGGGAGTTGGGGCGGAGATGGTGAGCGCGCGCAAGGGGGAGGTTGGGGCGGGGCTTTCCAGAGAGCGGCGGAAAAAAGTGCTTCCGGCGGAGATTCCGGCGGGGCTTTCCGGGGAGGGAGGGGTGGAAGGGCAGCGGTGGGGGGATTTGCGGGGAGGCAGCGGGGGAGGGGCGCGGGGAGAGGATTCTCAGCGGTCCGCCAAAACGGGGGAAGAACGGGCGGTGCAGCGTGGGGTGGGCAGAAGGGGCAGGGGCAGAAGCTACTAGGCTCCGCGCAAGATGAGCGGGAAAATGGCGGACACCAGGAGAGCTGGAGAGAGGTCAAAGTTCCAGGGTACGCGGGGGACGGGGGACGCAGCGAGGCGGAAGGGGGAACGGCGGAGCAGAAGGTCGCGGAGGCGGAGGGGGGTATGGGCGTTGTGTTTTCGTCGGGGAAATTCGCGGATCTTGGGCTTTGCGAGACGCTCGCGACGCACATTGAAGGTAACTCCCTGCAATGGCAGATAATCTCTGCGCCTTTCAAACCCTGCGCCAGGTAAAACCTTTCCGCCCTCCCTAAACCTCGCCAATCCCCTCTGCCCTTCCCTCCGCCCACTCCGTTACCCTTCCCTCTACCCCCCTGGCAGAGAAGCTGGGGTTCGCAGCGCCAACGCACGTGCAGCAGGCCGCCATCCCGCACGTCCTCGCTGGCAGAGACCTGTGAGTCCCCCCTGTCCTCCCTGCCTTCTCGCCCTCCCTGTCCTCACTGCCCTCCCTACCTTCCTTTCCCTCCCTCATCGCCTTCCCACCCTCTTTGCACCTGCTGGACCTGTTGCTTTTGCTGCTGCTGCCTCACACGCTTCTCCCTCCCCCTTTTCCTCCCCTCCCACACCCTCGCAGGCTCATTCGAGCGGACACGGGGTCGGGCAAGACGCTGCTGTATCTGGCGCCCATTCTGTATCGGCTGCTATCGCTGCTGCTGCCTCACATGCTTCTCCCTCTCTCCCTGCCTCCCCTCCCACACCCTCGCAGGCTCATTCGAGCGGACACAGGGTCGGGCAAGACGCTGCTGTATCTAGCGCCCATTCTGCACGCTCTGCAGGCCTGCAGGCAGCGCGTGGACCGCAAGCACGGCACGTATGGTGAGTGCTACAGAACACGTATGGTGGGTCCTGTCGCGTATGATATGATGGGTCTTTTTATCAGGCAATATGTGCCCATTCTGGCAGCCCTGCACGCCCTGCAGACCTGCAGGCAGCGCGTGGACCGCAAGCACGGCACTTATGGAGAGTGTTTCCTCATTGGGTAAGGCTTGCCGCATATGGTAAATCTTACCAACCAGCTGAGCTGGCGATTTTGTGTGGATTGAGTTATGAAACGTCTCAAAACCCTCCCATTTTCCTTCTTGCCTCACCCCGGCACTGCAGCCGTCATCTTGGCCCCAACACGAGAGCTCTGCGTGCAAATAGAGGAGGTGGCGCAGCAGCTGTGCCGGCGATTCGTGTGGATCGTGCCGGGGCGGTGCATTGGAGGGGAGAGCCGCGGGAAGGAGAAGGCGCGCCTGCGCAAGGGGCTGGCCATTGTGATCGCGACACCTGGCAGGCTGCTGGACCATCTGCGCAACACCTGCTCGTTCGGGCTCGCTCGCCTGCGATGGCTTGTTCTGGACGAGGCTGACAGGTGAGGGCGGAAATACATATAAGTGTGGATGCGAGCTAAAGAGGAAAGAGATACAGGCTGATTCTGGGCTATGTGCTCATTGGGCTTTTGAGTCGACTCAGAAGGTAGCTCGTTTGCGTGCGGTGACTCGTGCTGGATGAGGCTGACAGGTGTGGGATTGCTGGTGGTGCACTTGGTGCCGGAGGTGGTGCTTGTCAGCCTGGGGTCTGGGCGCGACATTAAGGAGATTCTAACCTCTCACCACCCCTCTCCACCAATTCCCCTGCCTATCCCACAGGTAGCTGGACCTGGGATTCGAGCGAGATGTTAATGGAATCCAAACCATTCACCATCCCTCTCCACCCCTCTCCCCACTCACCAGGCTGCTGGATTTGGGCTTTGAGCGGGACATAAAGGAAATCATATCTCTGCTGCGAGAGAGGCTCAGCCACGACGGTCTGATACAGGGAGGGGGTGCTCAGGGTGCTTCCAGGAAGCTTCAGACTATGCTGCTGTCCGCCACGCTTGGCCCGCGGGTTGAGCAGCTGGCTGACGTCAGCCTGGTGTCACCGGTGGCTGTGAGCGTGACAGGTGGCAGTGTGCGAGTGGAGGAGAGGGTTTCTGGGCGGCCGGTGACGAGGGTTGGGGGTGGCGTGGGACAGAGAGAGGAGAAAGGGGTTGGGATGGGTGAGAGAGGATTGGAGGAGCTGGGAGGGGTGGAGAGAGGGGAAGAGGAGGAGGAAGAGGCGGAAGAGGAAGTGGAGGAGGAGGAACAGGAGGAGGAAGACGAGGAAGAAGTGGAGGAGGAGGAGGAGGAGGAGGAGGAGGAGGAGGAGGAGGAGGAGGAGGAGGAGGAGGAGGAGGAGGAGGAGGAGGAGGAAGAGGAGGAGGAAGAGGAGGAAGCAAAGGAAGAGGAGGAGGAGCAGGAAGCGGAGGAGGGGGAGGTGGAGGAAGATGAGGATGAGGAGGAAGATGAGGATGAGGAGGAGGAGTTGGAGGAGGGAGAGGAGGTGGGGGAGGAGAACGACGAGGACGACGACGACGACCTGCCTCTCTTCATGCAGGCCCTCCGTGCCGTTAAGAAGGCGGGGCGGGCGGAGCGCAAGGAGAAGAAAGAGGAGAGGAAGGAGGAGTGGAAGGAGGAGAGGAAGGAGGAGAGAAGAGAGCAGAAGGAACAGGAGGAGGAGAAGGGCAAGAGGTCGGGAGGTGAAGATGGGGCATTGGAGAGTGGTGGCAGTAAAGGCGGGGTGGGGAAGACGGAGAGCAGGAAAGGGGGAGCAGCAGGCATGGCGGTGGCACAAGCAGCCACGCAGGGGGCTTTGCAGGGGGGGTCAAGTGAGGGTGTGGGAGAGGAAGGGAGGGGGGAGGAAGAGAGGGGAAGAGTGGAGGATAGTGGAAGAGAGGAGGAGAGGGGAGGAGGGCATGGAAGGGTGGAGGAGAGGCGGGAGGGGGGGGTGTTGCAGGAGGGGCCGAGTGGCGGAGGGTCGTTTGTGTTCCCGGAGCAGCTCAAGCAGTTTGTGCTCACTGGTAAGTGCTCACAGGTAAGTGCTCACAGGTAAGTGCTCACAGGTAAGTGCTCACAGGTAAGTGCTCACAGGTAAGTGCTCACAGGTAAGTGCTCACAGGTAAGTGCTCACAGGTAAGTGCTCACAGGTAAGTGCTCACAGGTAAGTGCTCACAGGTAAGTGCTCACAGGTAAGTGCTCACAGGTAAGTGCTCACAGGTAAGTGGCAATCGACTTTTGAGTCGACTCAAAAGTCACCTCGATTGGGCTCACCAGGTGCGTGTACCTAAATGCAGGCACTGCAAATCAGGTGGATGTCTTGGTTAGGCTCGAGTACTAAGCTGACAGCGCACAGGCACGTGTAACTTCACAGCAGCTTGCTGGTTTTGACCTTCTCTGCTGGCTCTTGCTCTTCATTGGTGAGATCCTCTTGCTCCTGCAGTATTCACTCCTGCATCCCCTCTTCCCCCCCCATTTCTCCCTCAAACTAACTTCCTCGCTCCCTTTCCAAACCTCTTTTACCTTCCGCCTCATTTTTTCCCTCCCACCCCCCCCTGTCACCAGTCCCGTGCCGCTGTCGTCTCATCACGCTCATCGCTCTGCTGCGCTCCAAGCTTGCCACGTCAGCATCATCCAAGGTACTGGGGCCTCGTCAGCTATTTCCAAGGCTATCATTCTGCCTCAGCTTGCCTATCGCTCTCTCGCTCCTTTGCCCGTGCCCCACCCTCTTACCCTTCTCTCCTCCGTATCCCCTCATCTCCTGCAGCGCTCTCCCATCCCAACCGCTTCTCATGTCGAACCAACCCCTGCCTGTCTCTCTTTGTCAGGCAGTGCTGTTCCCATCCACATGTGACTCTCTCAAGGTACTGGAATTGCCGCAGTGATCTTCCGAGGCTGTAATCGTGCCACCCCACTCCCCCTCCCTCCCCTCACCCCTTCCTGCCCCTCCCCATCAGGTGGTGGTGTTCCTATCAACGTGTGACTCTGTCGAATTCCACGCCACCCTCCTCTCCTCCGCCCCCTCCTCTCCCCTCACCACCGGTTCCCCCCACCACCACCAACAAGAGCAACACCACCAGGAACAACAGCAGCACGACCAGCAGCAGCAGCAGCAGCAGGGTTTGCTGCCAGCGCCGGTGTTCAAGCTGCACGGCAACATGGAGCAGAAGGACCGCTCCAAGGCCTTCCTGGCCTATCGCAGCGCGCCACGTGGCGTGCTGCTGTGCACTGACGTGGCAGCGCGTGGCCTTGACTTCCCTGCTGTGGAGACCATTGTTCAGTTTGACTCGCCTGGCGATGCTGCTGACTACGTGCACCGGTACGAACCGCATTGCACCCATTCCAACTCTCAGTACCCTATTCCATTGCCCCATCCTGCTGCTGTTTATGTGCTTTTCTGACTTCATGCTTTCCAGTACGAACCTCGTTGAACCCAGTCCTATTCCTCGCATCCGCTCTAACCTACTCCTCTTGTCTCCTTTAACCTATGCTCTTCCTCCCCCAACTCCCAGAGTGGGGTGCACGGCTCGCATTGGCTGCAGCGGAGAGGCGGTCTTCCTCCTGCGGCCCAACAACACAGGAAGAAGTACCTGGACCTCAGGGGGGAGACGGTCCTCTTCCCATTCTTCCCTCCACATAACCAACGCTCCCCTCTTCCCTCTCTCCGGAACCAACCCCGCCCTCCGCCTCACACCCTCCCCCCCCCTCCCTCAACCCACCAGAGTGGGGCGCACGGCTCGCATTGGGCGCCGTGGCGAGGCGCCCAATGAAGCAGAGTAGCTGGTCCAGCTGCGCTCCATTCCCATCCCACCAAGCCCCCTCTCTTCCTCTTTCTCTCTTACCCTCCCTTCTTCCTCCAGAGTGGGGCGCACGGCTCGCATCGGCCGCAAGGGAGAGGCAGTGCTCTTCCTGCTCCCCAACGAAACAGAGTATCTGGACCAGCTGCGCTCCTGCAACGTGCACCTCCTCTCCATGCCTCTCCTCCCCCTCCTCGACTCGCTCCTGCCCGGAATCTCCGCCGAACCTGCACGGACCAATCGCAGGCGGCCCTCCTGGAAGGAGGTGAGTCCGGAGGAGGCTCTGGCCAATCACAGCGCGGTAGAGACGTGGCAGGAGGAGTTGGAATTGACGGTGGCGAGGCGGGCGGCGTTGAGGGAGCTCGCCACTGGGGCTTTTCGGTCGTTTGTGCGGGCGTATGGCGCGCATAAGGGCAGCTTGAAAAAGATTTTCCACCCCAAAAGGCTGCATCTGGGGCATGTTGCACGGAGCTTTGGGTTGTCGGAAACGCCGTCAGTGATTGGGAAATCGGCGACTAAGGCTGCTGCTGCTTTGAAGAGGAAGCAAAAGATACTGGGGCAACAACACAAGAAGCGGATGCGAGCTGCTACTGAGGGGGAATGAAAGACATTGACATCTATATATTGCCATTGATAAATGCGTGTGTTGTTTGTCCGATGCATGTAATATTGGAATATTGCTTTATTTTCTGAGATTGTATTTGCACCAAGCAATTGAGATATCTATCACCACAAACTGCACTGGTATTTCTAGGACGTTCGTTTTCTTGACGCTGTTTGTAACGCATACGGCAGCAGCCTCGCTTCTCGCACCTTCTCACACCTCGCTTCCCACTTCTCACACCGAAACCCAGGTCCGTGGATGCACGGCTCTCCGCATCCACCGGCGAGGTCTTTTCGTTTCCCTTCGTTTCCATATCACTCCGCCTGTTTCTTTCAGCCGTTGCGCGGACATTCTACTCAAATCGGACGCGATCTGATCTGATCCGTGATCTCCGATCGTGTCCGTTCGTCGTTCCGATGAGGCGCTGCATTGTGCGGCTCGAGCCGCATCTCCGCCGTCAGATCGGCCAACCGATCTCGACGGGACCATCTCCGCCGTTCGTCAGCAGCCCTGCCGGTCCTTTCGCCCCTCCGATTCCCCTTACTGGCCTATCCCTCTCCGAGCCGCCCTCTGCAGCCTTCGCTACTGCCGCCTTACCCCCCAGTGACGCCGCCAGTGGCGCCGCCAGTAGCGGCACTAATGCCGGCGGTAATGCCGGCGGCAGCGACGGCGATGGCGGCTGGGGCAGAGGTCGTGGCGGCCGCGGCTTCCCAGACGGGGGGAGAGGCGGCGGCATGTGGGGGAGGGGGAGAGGCAGGGGGGGATGGGGACCTGGCGCAGGTCCCCCCGCCCCCGGTTACGGGCGGTCATGGGGAGCGCCCGGATTTCATGCTCCTGGGAGATTTCCTCCAAGCGCGCCGATCCAGCAGCCCGTGGCTTCTTCCGCTGGCCAATCCCCCCCACTGACGCAACATGAGGTACAGCGCCCAGATGGCGCTTCCCCGCCGCATCCTCCGCCTCTCACCGCTCCCCCCGCTCCCTCCGTTCCCCCCGCCAGTGCCCCCACGGGACTGTCCCCCGCTGCCCTCTCCCGCATGCTCGTTGCGTACGAGCGCGCGGGGAGGGATGCTGACGTGGCGCGCGTGCTGGCCGACGCGCGAGCCGGCGGCGTTGCATTGGACAGCGGCGCGCAGGAGGCGGCGATCCGGAGCGTGGCGCGGAGGCGGGACCTGGGGGAGGCGGATCGGATGCTGGGGGAGGCGCGGGCGGCGGGTTTTGTCTTATCCGCGCCGACGTGGAACGGGTTGGTGGAGATGTACGCTGAGATGGGCGAGATCGAGCGGATGGAAGATGCTGCCGCCCAGGCCGCCCGCGCTGCCGCCCAGACTGCTACTCCTGCCGCCCATGCCGCCCCGGCTGCTCCTGCTCCTGCTGCTGGGGGCCCTGCTGCCACTTGGTCTCCCCCTCCCCCTCCCCCTCCTCCCCTTGCCGCTGCTCCTCCTCCACCCTCCGCGCCCGCTGCTGCTGCAGTCGGCAGTGAGAGCGGCGGCAGTGAGAGCAGTGGCAGCAGCGAGCAGCTGAGTGAGAGGGAGAGGGAGGAGATGCGCCTGAGGATGAAGCTCAGACGCCGGGCGGCAGATGCTGACTCACACGCTGACCTTGCTGCTCCGCTCGTTGCTGCTCCGCTCGTTGCTGCTCCTCTTGCCAGCCTTGATGCTGCTGCTGCTCCCTCCTCTCCTGCTGCTGCCACTACCCCATCCCCCCCATCTCCCCCATTCCCCCCATCTCCTCCGCCTCCGCGCTTTGCTCCGCCGCCCCCACCTGGCGTCCCGCCAGCCGCAGCGCCCACCGCCCCGCACGCCCCCCACCCGCCCCCCTCCCCACCCCTTATCTCGCGCCCCTCCTTCCCCCCGCCGCCCCCCCTGACATCCCCATCCGCCCCCGCGCCTCGCATGCGCCCTGGCGTCTCCGCAGCTGCGCCTGTGGACGCGCCGTCAGACACGTCAGCTCCGGCTGCAGCTGACGTGGTAGCTGCTGACGTGGGCGCTGCGGCTCCGTCTGCAGGTTTGGGCCGAGGTGGTCTGATGCCGGCAGGGCGCGGGGCAGGCTTGGTAAGGCCGAGCCTGGGAGGTCCGGCAGCAGGCGCGGGGAGGGGAAGGCTGAGTTTCGAACGGCAGATGGAAGGCTGGAGGGGCGCTGAGGGGGCGCGGGAGAGGGGGAGGGAGGGGGGGAGGGAGTTGGGGAGGGAGGGGAGCAGGGAGGGGGAAAGGGAGAGGGTGATGGAGAGAGGGAGGGAGGGGGAGAGAGAGGAACAGAAGCAGGGGCAGGGGGGAGTGGGAGGGGTGGAGGCAGGGAGGGGTGCAGCTGCTGACATCCCCCCACAGCAGCACCCTCCCCCCTTGAACCTCTCTCGAGAAGACGCCACCGAACGTGCCCTCGGCATCCTTACCGCAGCTATGGCCAAGGCTCGGGACTCCTCCCGAGCCTCCTCCCGCCGCGACTCCGTCAGCCAGTTTGCCTCCGAGGCTCTCGGCTCGGTTATGTCCCGCCGCAGGCTCGGCGCAGGTCCGGGAGTTCCGGGGGGAGGAGGCCCGGGAGGGGGGGGAAGGGGGGGGCGCGAGGAGGGGAGGCGCATGGGGGGGCCGGGACCTGGGGGGCAGAGGAGAGGGGGGATAAGGGAGGGGGAGCAGAGGAGGGGGATGAGAGAGGGGGGGCAGAGGGGTGGGGGAATGGGGATGGGTTTGGTAATGGACAGACAGGCGGAGGGGCAGGGCGGGCAGCAGAGGCCGCGGGTGGGCGGAGGGGGCAGGCGGGGGAGGGGGGAGCTGGTGACGGGGGAGAGTGTGGTGCAGAGGTTTATAGAGGAGTCAACGTGGAGTGAGGAGGACGAGCGGCAGGTGGGGGAGTTTCTGGACTTCCTTGAAGCTGCTGACGTGGCTAATGCAGCACTGCACCAGCGGTTCATGGTGGGTGGACGTGGGTGTGTGGTGGATTGATGTGGATGCACTTGTGTGGCTGTCTCACTGATGGCCTCTCCCCCATCCTCCCTTCTCATCCTTCCCTCACCCCAGCTGGACTTCGAGCCAGAGTAAATCACACCGGACGAACTCCCCCCAATCAACCCCCTGCTGGAAGAGAAGGAGCAGCAGCAGCAGCAGCAGCAGCAGGCGGGTGCAGGAAGGGGCTGGCAGCCAGTGCAGTGAATTGAGTGAGTGAGGCATCTCACATCATGCCCACGTGCCCCTCTCTCCCCCATGCACCCCCCTCGTCCCCCCTTAGGTTGATTTCGAGCCAGAGTACATCACCCCAGACGACTTCTCGCCCATCAACCCCCTGCTGGCGGAGGAGGAGGAGCAGCAGCAGGCGGGTGAGGGGCCGTCGCTGGAGGAGGTGATGGTGGCGGCCAAGGCCGAGCTTATGGCGCTGACGGGCATGCAGAGCGAGGAGGAGTTCCAGGTGGGTGAAGGTGAAGGCCCTTCTCTATGTGCGTACAGCGTGTCTATTTGTGTGTCTCTTTGTGTGCGTGAATGGGGTTGTGGAGGGGCATCAGGCCCCTCCCTCTGGTCTACAGCAGCCCCTTGCGCTGCCCCCATCCTTTCCCCTTGCTCCCTCTGCCCCTCCCGCACTTCCTCCTGCGCTCACTACTCCTCACCTCCCCCAGTCCGCCCTGCAGAGCTGCCTATCCCGTGCCGACGAGCTCGAGGCCCTAGTGGAGCTGTATGCAGGGCCGCAGCGCATCACCCCCTTCGTTCTCCCTGTCTCTCTCCATCTATCTGTTTCTCCCACCATCCCAGTCTGCCCTGCAGAGCTGCCTCTCCCGAGCAGATGAGCTCGAGGCCCTGGTGGAGCTGTATGCGGGGCCGCAGCGAATGACTGCTCTGCAGGAGAACAAGGCGCTGCAGGAAGCCGCTGAGAAGCTTCCTCCCAGCGTGTCCCCGCAGGCCGTGGCATTCACCAAGCGCGCTCTGCTCACCCTGCAGGTGGGGCTGGTTAGGGCTTTAAGTTTAACATTTGGGGTTGAAACTTTTTGTTTCGACCACACATATCGGTAGGTGCAGTGGGTAATGGCTCACCATGCGGGTGGGTGTGACTGTAGGCATGACGGCAGGTGGGTGTGACTGTAGGCATGACGGCAGGTGGGTGTGACTGTAGGCATGACGGCAGGTGGGTGTGACTGTAGGCATGACGGCAGGTGGGTGTGACTGTAGGCATGACGGCAGGTGGGTGTGACTGTAGGCATGACGGCAGGTGGGTGTGACTGTAGGCATGACGGCAGGTGGGTGTGCTGTGTCCCTCCTGAACAGCCTTTCTCCCATGGTGGATGTTTTTTCCGCCTGCTGCTCTCCACATCCTCATTCATGTGGGCCTCTCTTCTCTCCCTGTTCCTCGCTGCCTTCCTTCCTGTGTGGCAGAACAACCCATCGTGGACGTTTGCACAGAAGCAGAAGATGATCGGCAGCATTGTGAGAGGGTTCTCGGCGTCGGCTTGATGGGAGCTGAGCTGACTATGACGGCAGGTATGCATGAGGAGGCAGGATGGGATGGTCTTTCGGGCTACCACGCAGAAGCAGAAGATGATCGGCAGCATTGTGAGGGGGTTCTCATCCTCGCCTGGATGGCGGTTAACATACCGAGCGGTTGGCATGCCGATAAGGGTTTTTTAGGTCTGCTGTCCAAGGTTAAAGCAGAAGATAGTCAGCAGCATTCTCAGAGAGTCGTTCCTTGTCGCCCGCATTACATATGGTGGACGTGAGAGGCGATGGCAGCCAGAGAGGATATCTCTTTTTTTATATGTATATGCTGTTAGCAGCAGTGTGATGGAATCCTGACAGCTTGGTGCTGCGTCGAGTAGTTTACATGCTTAGACGCAGTATTGCATACTGGTTCAATGCGGTTAACGCAAAATACACACTACAATTCCATTTTACGAATGTAATCACATTGTTTTCTAGCCTGTACAAGGCAACATATATTTTTGGCTCCTTCATACTTCTTTACACGCCTTACCTATTTGCAAATAACAACTCACTGCTGAAAACAATCTGCTGGCTTCGCATCCACAAACGGGTTCGCTGGTACCACACTTTTTTCCGCGGGAATCGCACAAGGCACGTCGGGTCACCATGGGTCACCCAATTGGGGCTCGCGAAGGCTGCTAATCGCCTAAGCATGTAAACTACTCGACGCAGCACCAAGCTGTCAGGATTCCATCACACTACAATTCCATTTTACGAATGTAATCACATTGTTTCTAGCCTGTACAAGGCAACATATATTTTTGGCTCCTTCATACTTCTTTACACGCCTTACCTATTTGCAAATAACAACTCGCTGCTGAAAACAATCTGCTGGCTTCGCATCCACAAACGGGTTCGCTGGTACCATCACTTTTTTCCGGCGAAATCGCGCACATCGGCGAAAATCGTGTTTGTCTCAATTGAATCGACCTAAATTGCTCCCCGCTCGCCACGTGGGCGTTTTTCTAAATTGGATGGACCTCCCTTCCCCCCGCCCCCCCCAGCCCCCTTTTCCCGCCCTTTCCCCACCGTCATTCGGGCAGCCGCATGCTCTCGCGTGAACTTCGGAATTGCCACAAGCAGTCACGAAAAGCAACCAACCAACCCCATGCCACGTGTAATTGAACGTGCAGGAAGCCACATCATTTGTCCCAGCAAAATTTCGGAATTTTCTGGGCCATGTATTATAACTCGAGAGGCTTATATACAGGTTGATTGTACTGCGTCCTTCGGGATCTGGCCATGTCATTTCCGGCCTTCACGGTTTCATGATCGAAGCATTCGTGATCCTCAACGGTTCATGAACCCTTCCGTTAGCATCATGAACATGATGAGTCTCCCGTTCACAGGAACATGATGCTAACGGAAGGGTTCATGAACCGTTGAGGATTAGGCGAGTCTCCCGTTTTACAATACCGGGTAGACACTCAACGCAGTCATTACTTTAGGCAACTCATATCCGGGCCCGCATTAGTACTCCACTCATTAGTCATAGCTTATCTCTGACAAAACTGGTCACCATGTAGCGTCTAACGCGTGCGTATGGCCTCTAATCCCTTAGCGCAGGCCTTGCGACAGCTTAATGCGGCTCCCGAGTTCAACCCTAGGTACGACAGGCCTAATGATTACGCGCCATTGGAGCTGGGGGGCCTGTACTCTAGCCGTGATAAATGCAAGGAGGCCGTTTATGCGTACGCTCTAGAGCATCGGTTTGGTGTAAAAGTCCTTTTAGTGAAGCATAACTACGCAGTGGTTGGATGCAAGGCTTCATCGGACGGATGGTTACCCGCGTGCCTATGGAGCTGCACATATGGGCAAATCGGCCACGGTGGTTTATGGCGTATTACGCGACTCGTTTCTCCGGAGATGCATACGTGTCCGTTGCATTGGAGGCAGGGTTACGCCGAGGGGTTAGCCAACACTATTCCCATCCTCGCTCGGCGATACGGCAATTTGGTCCGTGCAAATCCATTCATCTCACCCGTGGAGCTCAAAAGAATGCTCGAGGGTCATGGAAGGGTAGTGATCCACTACTGGCAGGCTTGGCGGCTTCGAGAGTACATCTTAAAGGAGCGATATGGAGATTGGAAGGAGTCCTTTCGCCAGGTTCCGTGGCTTCTCACTCGTTTCACAGTCATCGATCCGGAAGTTCAAGTGCGGTTGGATACATTAGATCGGTGTTTCCACCGATTCTACGTGCGTCCCTCTGCAGCACGGCATGCGTTAAATTATTGCCGCCCGGATGTTGCGCTCGACGGTACACATCTCATTAGTGCGCAGAAGTCTGTGCTGCTCATCGCCGTCACCATTGACGGGAACCAGGAGATTTTGTTACTTGCATGGGCCTTGGTGGAGTCGGAGAACAAGGACGCGTGGACCTGGTTTCTGAAGCTGTTCCTTGAGGGGTTCCCAGAGTGGGCGCATAGGGACGATGCCTCCATCATCAGCGATCGCGATAAGGGGTTGGTGCCGGCAGCAAGGGAGGTGATGCCAATCCACATCCCCCATTATTTCTGTGCCTGGCATCTGGAGCAGAACCTTAAGCGGTTCGGCAAAGCGGCAACAGCGTTCTTCTGGCGCTTGGTGAAGTGTCGGTCTGAAACGAAATGGGTTGCGCTTGTCGGGGCCGCACGACGAGATTTTCCTGACATGGCCGCATATCTGTTCGGGCCTGTCCGGCAGCAGCCACAGCCACAACCCCAGCCGGCTCCTCAGGTCCCCCCTCCTGGAGCCCGGGCAACATTTGAGGGGGCCAGGGATTTCGTGTTCGCGGATGCTCGCGAAGGGAGGAGGGCACAGCGAGGGCAGGAGCGTGGTGGCAACGCGGGAAATGGTGGCGTCGACACCGCGTCCCAACCCGAAGGGAGTGGGTTCCCGGAGGGCAACACGTCCGCGTACAACAGGCGTGGCGGCAGTCTGGCTGGCAGGGGGGGGATGAACGCACCTGGAAGACGGGCCAGAGCGCACGAGGGTATTGGAGTCCCATCAGGGATACCAGACGAAGGGGATGGCGGAGCGGCTGCTTTTGGCATCGGCCGTGGAGGGCGAGGACGAGCTTCATCTGGACGTGGTCGCAGAGGGAGAGGCGGTGGCGTTGCAGGGGCGGGCCTTGGCAGGGGAGGTAGAGGAGTGCCCCCCGCGGGCGATTGCGGAGGGCAGGGGGGTGCCGGATCAGACTTCACGGGGGTTGGTGGTGGAGTACGGGGAGTGCCGCTCGGTGGGGCCGCCGGGGAGCAGGGGGATGCCGGCGCGGGATGGTCCGGCATTGCAGGTGGAGGGAGGGGAGTCCCGCTTGGTGGGGCTCCTGGAGGGCAGGGGGGTGCAGGAGCAGGATGGTCCGGCATTGGAGGTGGAGGGAGGGGAGTCCCGCTTGGTGGGACTCCTGGAGGGCAGGGGGGTGCAGGAGCAGGATGGTCCGGCATTGGAGGTGGAGGGAGGGGAGTCCCGCTTGGTGGGACTCCTGGAGGGCAGGGGGGTGCAGGAGCAAGATGGTCCGGCATTGGAGGTGGAGGGAGGGGAGTCCCGCTTGGTGGGACTCCTGGAGGGCAGATGGGTGCCGGAGCAGGATGGTCCGGCATTGGAGGTGGAGGGAGGGGAGTCCCGCTTGGTGGGGCTCCTGGAGGGCAGGGGGGTGCCGGAGCAGGATGGTCCGGCATTGGAGGTGGAGGGAGGGGAGTCCCGCTTGGTGGGACTCCTGGAGGGCAGATGGGTGCCGGAGCAGGATGGTCCGGCATTGGAGGTGGAGGGAGGGGAGTCCCGCTTGGTGGGGCTCCTGGAGGGCAGGGGGGTGCCGGAGCAGGATGGTCCGGCATTGGAGGTGGAGGGAGGGGAGTCCCGCTTGGTGGGACTCCTGGAGGGCAGATGGGGGCCGGAGCAGGATGGTCAGGCATTGGAGGTGGAGGGAGAGGAGTCCCGCTTGGTGATGCTTCTGGAGGGCGAGGACGCGCCGGAGCAAGATGGTCAGGCATCGGGAGTGCGGATGGGGGGGAGCCGTTGTTCGGCCCTGGAGCAAGAGATAGTGTATATGCTGCGAGCGGTGAATTGGTAGGGTCTTGGTCCAGTCCTCAGACTGCGTGCCAGGCGACACCAAAGCGGGCCACGCGGTGATGTTACGTTTGGGGTTGGCCTGGGCGCGAATTTCATGGGTGGTGTGGGGTCCGTTGGAAGGGGGGCCTCACCAGTGCCCTCTGGGGGCGACGTGCAGCGAGCTCCAGCATCTGTGAGTGATAATGGTTTGGCATCATGCTCCACGGGTGATGGGATAGGCGCTCTCACCACTGTGGGGAACCCGGGTGCACGAGCATTTGACGTCAACACGGTCCTGCGACGTGCCCGGGAGTGGTACCGGGCAGAGGACATTGACACGGGGAGGACCACGGGCACTCAGGGATCAGAGATGGGTGGGTTTACTGAGCACTTCCACCCAGCATCGGCTCTGGCTCTGCCATGGCCAGACTGCGGGCAGCGGGGGAACATTCCTGCGCAAGGGCCGGACGAGCCAGCATGTGAGGATGATCCGGTGCCAGTGGATGCTAGGGAGGATGGGGATGAGGCGGCCGATGGTGAGGGAGAACCCGGAATACATGTGCGCACCGGGTTCTATCGTAACAGGCGCGGATCATCTTATCGCATTGGGGGAATCATGCTGCTGCACTGGGCCCGTCTTTTTGCGGTGACACTGCGTTTTGGCATCTACACAAGCAACGCCGCCGAGTCCATCAACAGCGCTGTCCGCGGCATCCGCATGCTGCCACCAACATGGCTCCTGGCATCCCTTTGGGATTGGTCTCGCGACAAGTGGTACGAGAGGAAGGAGAAGGCGCGCTGCAGGGATGAGTATCTCACGGCTGCCGCATCGAAACGTCTGGACCAAAAGAAGCAGAGGTGCCAGGGGTATTGGTTCATCGGTGGGGACAACACTGTGGGAACCATCCAGACCAGGGGGGGGGAAAACGAGTTCCAGTGGCGGAGCTTCAACGTGAACCTCGATGCCCGGACGTGCGAGTGCGGGAACTGGGAGGAGTACCAGTTCCCTTGTGCCCACGCCGTGGCAATGTGCATTCTGAAGCAGCGGAGTGTGGAGATCCTTGTGTCTGAGTACTACACCACTCGCAATCTTCGCCAGACATACAACCGGGATGTGATGGGTACCTGTGTGGACCGGCTGATTATGGAGGCTCCACTGGCAGAAGTGGGCGAGTGCGATGCACCAGCGCTGATTGAGACGAGGGTTGGGAGGCCAGAGAATCACACCCGGTTTGAGGCACCGCCGCACGCTTATCGGTGTGGGCGATGCCGACAGTATGGGCACAACCGCAAAAGGTGCAAGTACAAGTACGGTGGGTACGGTCAGGCGCAGGCTGCGGTGGGGGAGGAGGTGGAGGAGGAGGAGGAGGAGGAGGAGGAGGAGGGGGAGGATGGAACTGCTACAGGAGAGCATGGAGGGGGGCACCAAGCTGCCCCTGAATGAATGGCGAGTTAAACTGGCTTTCCCATGCGAGTATTGGGCCTTGTTTTGTGTCCTTGGATCCCTCCCGAAGCATACTTTTCAGTGACGAGAGTACTGAATGATTTAATTCACGAAACATAATTGTTCATTTGAGTGGTGCTGGTGTGCAATACTTATTCAAGAAGACCCAAACAAATCAGGCCAGGAAGATAGGCGATTCACGTGTGTAAAGTGTGCACTTGACTCCGTCTTCTTTGTCCATCACCTATGCATATAGCGTCATGATCGACCCTTGTACATGCATGATTCGAGGGCCTGGAAATCGCGGGGCGATGCCGCGCAGCTGTTCATGACGAATCATGTACTCTCCATAGTGCGTGAACGCATCTCGACCTGTCATGATTCGAACAGCTAACAAGCGCGGGGCCTGGAAGTCGCGCGTGAATGCCTACACTATGAATCATGAACAAACTCGTGGGAGTGGCTTGGAAGTTGACTACCTGCATGGACGAACATGAACTCTTATGGACGTGATGCCTGCCACATGATTCGTCGTCGGGGTTGACCCTAATTTGCGCGAAGGAATATGAGCCCTAATTCAAGGAGTCGCATTCGTGTACTTGCACGACGGCTGCACGACAAAGGTTTCGATCGCTGGACCCAGCTTCATGTTCAAGCGGTCGATGGGTTCACTACTACCGTAGCTAGTTTCTGCTCCTGAATACTATTTTTCAGCCTAGCATTGAAAAGCTCAGAACCTAGACATTTTCTGCCTAGGCGCGTCGATTATGTTTTTAACTTGGATGCCTAATTATTAGTAGAATATCGAATTGTTTTCCGCATATTGCGAAATTGTCACATTCCCTATCGCAATCGGCCTCGTTCTGACGTCACTGCGTCACTCTTTGCAACGTCGCCATCACGATCGCAACGAAACGCCCTCCCATCGCCCTCCTCTCTCACGTCGCCTTTCCTCTCTCCCGTCTCCTTTCCTCTCTCCAGTCGCTCTCCTCTCTCTCACCGCCCTTCCACTCTCCCGCCGCCCTTCCACTCTCCCATCGCCTTCCTCTGTCCCGTCCTTTCCTCTCTCTCGTTGCCTTTCCTCTCTCCCGTCGCCTTCCTCTCTCTTGTCGCCTTTCCTCTCTCTCGTCGCCTTTCCTCTCTCGTTGCCCTTCCTCTCTCCCATTGCCGGTCCTCACCCCCCTCCCCCTTCTTCTTCCGCCTCCCGCCGCCCTCGCGTTCCATCACAATCGACTTCTTAACGCACTCCACCCTCCGTGTCCGCCTCCCATTGCTCGTACTGTCGCTCGTCCCGTCAGCCCGTCCAATCGCACGTACCATCGCATGTCCCGTCGATCCCTCTTCAGGTCCTTGTTCCCGTTCCCTCGCTCTCTCCCCCCCCTTCCCGTCGCCCTCGCTCTCTCCCCTCCCTTTCCGTCGCCCTCGCTCTCTCCCCTCCCTTCCTGTCGCCCTCTTTCTCTCCCCTCCCTTTCCGTTGCCCTCGCTCTCTCCCCTCCCTTTCCGCCGCCCTCGCTCTCTCACCTCCCTTTCCGTCGCCCTCGCTCTCTCACCTCCCTTTCCGTGGCCCTCGCTCTCTCCCCTCCCTTCCCGTCGCCCTCTTTCTCTCCCCTCCCTTTCCGTCGCCCTCGCTCTCTCCCCTCCCTTTCCGTCGCCCTCACGCTCTCCTCTCATTCCACCAACACCAATGACCCTCCTATCTCCCTACCATTCTGCGGATTTTGCTCACGCATCTCTCCTTTCGCGTCCTCGTTTCTGTTGCACTATCTTTCTCTTTGCTCGTCCCCTGATATTATCTGTTTTCCGCTTCTTGTTTTTCTCATGTTGTCATTGCCGCCCTAGCAGGGACATGCTCGAAGGCATTTGCTTTGCGTGAGTTGGACTTGCTTTGCATGAGTTTTTCATTGCTTCGCAATGCGAATTTGGCCCTGGTCGTAAATCACGTCGCAAACTTGGAGCGACGCTTTTGCACATGCTTGCGACGATTTATGTTTGAGAAATGTGGAGAGTCGACCAGTATCATATGCGCCAGTTAAAAAAAGCAAAACAACACTTCAACTTTCAAATGGACCCAACTAGAAGGGGGGGGTCACTATTTTAGCTGTGGGCTTTAATGCTACAGTCCTACAAACCCCGCAAAGAGCAACAAAGGCCATAGAGCGAAAAACAACATAGTGTTCATGAAAATCAGCTCCAAGGAAAAGAGATTACACGACGATATGACGCATTGGATCATCGTCACACGTTCGTCAGCTGTTGGGCTCTGACACACTGAAGACGAGAACAGCAGGTTAATGTCTAAACCCTGGCTAGTGCGCACTCTGATGCATAACAACACCCCGATGCAACTAATCAATACCTGGCGGGTGGGTTGTCGCGTTGTTGCCCACATCCCCCTCGTCGCTCTCTGGCAACGACAGCGAGGAAAACGCCACCACATCAGCCTGCACAGGGGGGTTGGTCAATGTGGCTTGCGTAGAATGGGCTGGTGGGGCGGGAGTAACCCCCGCAGGCACAGGAGTTGTTCCGACGTGCACAGCAGTAGCTCCACCGGGAGGGGTGGGCTGTGCAGGTGCAAGAGCCATGGCAGGAGGGGCGATGCCTGCATTCGCCGGGGCAAGTGTGGTTAGAGCAGCTGCGGGTGCGGTTGGCGCTGCTGCCACGACAGCGGGGGGTGCAGGGGCGGGGTTGGCACCACCGAGGGAAGCAAGCTCGACGCGCCACCTTTCCCACCGCCCCCAGACGCGTGCGGTAGTGAGCTGCCGCACGATGTCGGCCGTGCAGCCATCCAGCAGGTCCATCTCCTCGCCGGTGAGCTGCCACACACGACCCCGGGGAGGCTTGCTCCGCCTGATCACGGCTGCAGCTGCAGCGAACGCGCGGGCCGCTTGCTGCTGGTCTTGGAAGTGGCCAAGAATCAGCGTCCTTGATGACCCGGGCTCAGGGACAATCTTCGCTTGCCAAGTTCCGTCTGGGAGGAGCCTAACACCCGCGTACTCCCCCGATCCACCCACTCCCCCGACAGAGTGTGATGGCGGTGGCGGCGGGCCCATACACCCAGAGTGATCCTCCGAAGGGGCAGGCAGAGCTCCACCGCACGCACCGCGACGAGACGAGGTCAATGCATCGCCGGTCGTACCGTGCAGCAGCCCGTTGATAACGCCGTGGGCCGCTTGAATCTGATGAGAATCCCCTTGCTGCTCGAGTTGCGCAGTCGGCGCCAGGGTTTGCTGGGTGGCAGGGTCGTCGGTTCTCGCGCTGGGTCCGCCCGCTCCTCCAATACGCCCCTGCTGCGGCGGTGCTGGGAAGGCTGCAACTTGCGCAGACAACGCGGTGAGCTCGTCGCGGGTGGTGGACAAGTCGTTGGTGAGACTCTCCACCAGGAGCTCGAGCTTGGTGATGTCTTTCTCACAGTACCCCACGCGGCAGGTGATGTTGTGGATGTCGCCGACAGCATCACGCAACTTCGCGTCGATTTCGGCCAGCTCCGGAGACACTGGCTTGTTCACGCGCTTGCTGAGCGGCGGATCTTGGTGGGGCACCATAACTCCAGACCTCTCCAGGGTTGGGATCAACCGCTTGAGTGCATGTTCGACTATGTCCCCACGCATCCCCCTCCGGAAAAGGCCACCACCATAGGGCAAGGCTGGCAGCCCATCGTCCAGATTAGCGAAGCCACGGGCAACCAGCTCAGATGCGTAGATGCAAACGTAGACACCACAGTCTACTTGGTTGGCCTGCATCGGGCACTGATAGTACTGCACACGCAAAAAAAAACAAGGTGAGCAACATTGATGGACGTTCCATGGATGAGGTCTGTTAAAAAAAAGTTGCGCGAAAGATTTGAGTGCTTACCCCAAGCGGGACGCAAGGCATCGGATCAAGCCGCTGCTTGATTTCGGTGGCAGAGAGGCCGGGCTCCTCGGCTTGTAGCGCCAGACCGAGCAGCCTGGACACAGCAACGATGCATACATTAGTGCATTACAAGCGGCGAAGCAACCATGCGATCATAAGCACGACGAAACTTAGGAGGCTATGCATGCCCGACAAACTTACGTTTGGATCTCGGCGAACACCGACGGAGCCATGTTCCGATGATCACCAGTCGAGTCGAACAGGTAGGCCACCGGAAGCTCCGTGTTCCCCGATTTTATAGCAGTTGTTCTTGCCCTGCCAGGCTCCTTGACAACAACAAGGCTGAAATGCCTTGGCTCACTGCCACAATTCCAACGTAAATGTAAGTACACAGCATGGCGATGCCGCGGTACGCGCGTACATCGAGATTGTGCATGCATGTCTTACAGTGTAGTAACAACTACAAGGACGTAGTTGTAGTCAAGGATGGAGCCGCCCTCGTAGCCAGTGAAGAGAACCTGTTGATTCGCCGCCATCAGATACGCTCCAGTGTCAAGCGCAACCCATGTCTCCCCGCTTGGTGTTTTGGAATGCCTGATGCTCAGCAAACTGCGCGGGGTGAATACACAGACACGGAGAGCCGGTGTTAGGCGCCGGCAGTATAGTGTGAGTGTGCTTACCCGCGGGAACAACGCACTCACATGTTGTGGAAGTCGATTAACGCCGTGCTGAGCTCGTATCCATCCTGAATGCGCATCGCGTCGAGAGGGCTCACGAAGGCGTTTTGGCCGAGGGCGTTGTACAACGGCTTCGTTGGGAAGTGCTGACTCTTGATGGTAGGGCCGCGACAGCCTTTAGTTTGAGCTGGCGGCCCACGACCTTTGGTGAAGGCGGTGATGATGTCATCGACGGGCGGCAACACCTCCTTGTTCACTATGTTGGTTTTGAAGTTGAAGCCACCGGTGCTAGGCTGCTTCTCCGGTCCTTTCCGTTGCTTCCCCTTTCTCCTGCCTTTCCCGTGCTCGTCGGTGACGAGCTTGACGTCCGAATCGTGCGATTCACCGCCGTCGGATTCCTCGTGGCCCGACTCATCCTGCCGTTTACCGAGGACCATTTTTCTACGAAGATCCATCACACGCCCAGAACGCTAAACGCCACCGAATAGCTGGCAATTTGCAATGACTAAGGTATCGCGAGTACAAGAAACAAACCACAAAGAGCACAAAGGTTGGATGATTGTTGATAGCTATCACGGAGGGAAAGGGTACGAGAGAGGGGAGCTGTGACGGTCGTGATGTGGCATGAAAGCTCATGTTCAGAGGTTGGCGGTGAGGATAAGTTTCATGAACGCAGGATTAGGTTCATGTACGCTGTCAAATCCGCCCTTGGCAATTGGTCAGAAATCATGCTCGAGCATGACCGTCGATTGGTCGCCTGGTTGTACATTACCGTACATGATCGGTATCGAGGTACCACTCCATGTCGTTGTTACACTACCTATAACGTTGGTGCGTCCAAACGGAGCCAGTGCATGTTACTCTGGCGCGCTGAACAAATCACCAATTTTTCGACCAATAAGAACAACCACCCGTGGCGAAAGTGTGGAGGCTGGCTGGAATTTGGAAATGGTGACTCTTTGTGAGTTTTACGCGAGAGCATGCGGCTGCCCGAATGACGGTGGGGAAAGGGCGGGAAAAGGGGGCTGGGGGGGCGGGGGGAAGGGAGGTCCATCCAATTTAGAAAAACGCCCACGTGGCGAGCGGGGAGCAATTTAGGTCGATTCAATTGAGACAAACACGATTTTCGCCGATGCGCGCGATTTCGCCCTTTTTTCCGCGGGAAGCGCACAAGGCACTGAGGGTCACCATGGGTCACCCAATTGGGGCTCGCGAAGGCTGCTAATCGCAAATCGAGATACGCAGTATTGAGGCTTGTGATTGTGCGCCCTGTGTCGCCGTCCTTTTCGCAAGTACTTGTTACATGGGAGAATCTGGCGGGAACGGGTTCGAGAAGAAATAGCGGTTGAGTGCGGTGTCACTGACAGGCCCAAGGGTTTCTCGTTGAGAGAGAATGCACTCCCTGATCCCCACAGGAACATATTCCCTTGCAGGCTCTTTCAGACTTGCAGGCTCTTTCAGGCTCTTTCCTCCTTCCCCTTGCAGACTCACAACAACCTTTGCTGATCGATGATTATTAGGAGTCACGTACCTGATTAGTAGCAGAATCAATAAGCTGATCAGATAATAATTTATTACTTTGTCCTCCGTTCACAATGCCAGTCGGTTCGCCGATCCAGCGGTTACCTGAGGATGTTCTTTCTCGGATCCTGCGGTTTCTGGTTCGACCTGAGGGCCTGTTGGAGCACGCATTTGTTAGCAAGCAATGGCATCGGATTGCGTACCGCGCACAATACCAGCTCCGCTTGCCCAATAACCTCCGTATGGATCCGCGTCGCGTCGTTCAGCTTTTGTCGCCGTTCCCTAACCTCGAAGAGCTCATCCTTTCCTATGACAGCCTCGCCTCCACCCCTAATTTTTTATTCTCCCACCTCGCTAGCACGTATCACCATTTGACCCAGCTTCATGTCGAATCGATGTCACGTGGATCTAGACCCGGAGGTGTATCTGAGAAGAGCCTCGTTGTGCTGTTCGAGGGGTGTACGCGGCTGGAAGATCTTAAATTTCATTGTTCGGAGCATTCTGCCATTCCCACGTCGATCGACCGGCTTACACGGCTCAGAAGCTTAACAATCAGGGGAAGCGTTACGAGCCTTCCTGGCTCCCTTACTTCGTTACAACATCTCAGGACCCTCGTGCTGAACACTTACATGATCGAAGCTTTGCCTGAAGATTTCGGCAATTTGGTTTCCTTGACGTCTCTGGAGCTGAACACGCGCAGCTTGACGTCACTTCCGGACTGCTTCGGACAGCTTACCGCTCTAAACCGTCTTTCCTTGAATCATTCCAGGACGTTGCAGCTGTCGGCCTCTTTCACCGAGCTCTCTTCTCTCGCCGTCTTGGAGTGTCGACGATGCAGGATACTTCCTCCGTCGCCGGTCGATTTCGGTCAACTGAAGGCACTCGAAACCATCATTTTGGTTGAAGTGAGGGGAATGCGCGACTTGGTTGCGGATCTGGAGCATTTTCAGCGAGTGAAGACCCTGATTATTAAAGACTGCTTCGATGTCACGTCTCTGCCCGCGTCTCTTCCCCGCCTGCCTGCACTCACCAAGCTCACCCTTGATATCGACAGACTCTCATTGCTGCCCGAAGATTTCGGACAGTTGTCGGTGCTTCGGACACTCGTCCTGGAGCTAAGCAGTCTCACAGCCTTACCTGATTCCATCGCCTTGATTACTTCACTGCGAGAGCTGTCCCTCAATGACTCTCAGGATCTGAGATATCTTCCCCAGGAGTTCGGGCAGCTGGTTTATTTGGAGAAGCTGTATCTGAAGAGCCTTCACCAGCTCAAATGTCTGACTGAATCTTTTGGGCAGCTGACAGCTCTCCGGGAGCTGAAAATACTGGAGTGTTGGCACCTCGAGGAACTTTCGGGCTCCCTATCCCAGCTATCTTCTCTCGAGCATATGGAGATTAAGAGTTGTCCGCGCCTCACGGTGCTGCCAGACGACATGGGGAACGGACTGCAGTCCTTGGGCCATCTGCTTCTACTGGAGTGCATGGCTCTCACCCACCTCCCCCCAACTTTCTCCGGCCTGACGTCTCTCGAAACTCTCAAGATTGAACACGCGAAACGCTTCAGGGGCGCGTTGCTAGACAGCTTTGGCAGCTTGAAGAGCCTCAAGGAGCTGTCGCTCGATACTATGCCGCGCCTATCCGCCCTTCCTGCCTCCTTCTTTGGCGTTTCTTCCCTCACCAGCCTGGAAGTGGGAAATTGCCCGAAAGTGACGGTCCTGCCTGAGGGGATCGGACGGTTGGAGGCGCTCGAGGAGGTCAGGATCTTTGGAATGGACGGCCTGATATGTCTCCCGCCGTCGCTTCTTGAGCTGCCCTGTCTGCGAGCGTTGGACGTGCGGGCTTGTGACTCAATAAGCGGGGTGTTAGGCGATGAGATGGTGCTTAGACGCACTGCCACGGGCTTTGTGACCAGCATCGGCAGCAGGAGCAGCAGTCACCCTCTGCTTCCTTCCATTCAGAGCCTCAAGTTTAAAGCGCTTAATGTGGAGTCATTTGGTCCATCCCTTGGTCGGCTGTCCTCTCTGACGCAGTTGAAGCTCCTGGAGATGTACAAACTTGACCTTCTCCCCGACTCCATCTCCCAGCTCTCGCAGCTGCAAAGGCTCAAGATTGATACGGCCTACCATCTGAAAGCACTGCCCGAGACCCTTGGGGGGCTGGCAGGGTTGCGTGTCTTGCGGCTGGTTAACCTCCTCTCAATGCGGCAGCTGCCAGAGTCTCTTGGGCAGCTGAAGATGCTCGAGACCCTGGAGATTATTGACTGCTACAAGCTGATGCAGCTTCCAGAGTCCTTCGTAAAGTTATCCAATCTACGATCCTGCTCTCTCATCATGATTGGAATCCCAAGCATTCCGGATGACATCTGGAAACTTACTTCGCTCCAGAAGTTGCTGATTCTGGGACTGAAGCACTTACGAAGCTTGCTAGATTCGTTCACTCGGCTGCCTAAGCTTGAGCAGCTGGAGGTGATCATATGCAAGAAGCTGACTCGGCTGCCTGCGTCTCTCCGGAGAATGCCAACATTGCGTGAGTGCCAGATCAGTGAATGCCCTTTGCTGTCAAGTCGAGACACAAGAGGGGTTCCTGCAAGAGAGGAGGGAGAGGGGGAGGAGGATGGAGAGGGAGGGGATGCGGAAGAGGAAGAAAGGGAGGAGGGAGGCGATGTGGCTGGGGAAAGGGAAGAGGCGGGCGGGGAGGTATCGGAGGACGAAGAGAGTGGGGCTGAAGATGAAGATATTGATCATGAGTATGCCATGGACAGTGACCATGAAATGCGTTTCAGCAGAGGCATGGGGGGGATTGATGATGATGAGTAGAATAAATCAGATGGCAGAAATGGTGCGGACCCTAAACTGTAAACCCTAAACCCTGCGGAGTGCTGGAAGCTGGGAATTGGGAAAGCATGCCTTAGGATGTGATTGCCTATGGAAAGGTGATGCGCTGTGTAGGTAACGCTCTTTAGGGTGCGTCAGATCCGTTGTCGGAAAATCCGGCCGGCCGGATCTAGCGAAGGTTACACATTCTCGACATTCGTAAGGTATTTCGTTTATTTCGCACAATCTGGCCACTTGCTAAAAAATTGATGGCCGGTTTGATGGCCGGTTTAGCAAATGGTCATTCGACACCTTTCCGACGTGCAAACGAATCGAGAGTCGACCACTTTGTCGACTCGTCAGCGCTACAAAACCTATGCGACTTGGCCAACATACCCAAGCGACTCAACGTGTCACAAGGACGACTCGCACGGCGCTTTCAGTGCCGTTGAACATGACCACTTTTCGGGGTCACACTGTTGTAAATGGACAGCCTTACTCGCCGAGCCGGGTTGTAAATGGAGCCGCAGCTCACATCTTGACCCCCTGATCGTAGTGTGCACAATACGGTAGCGGTTGTGTCACTTCAGTAACATCCGTGCGGCTCCGTCGCACAATCCGGCCAACTGTGCGACCTGCAAATCTGACACTTTTGCAAACCGGCCTGTAAATCGGCCACCAAATCTGTCAGATTTCAACACCTTGTAAATGGGGCTGGATGGTGGTCGGTTTAGCATTCGACCATTCGGTCGACTTTGGCGAAAAAAGGAGTCGACCAAAAGGGCGACAAATTTGCAGCCAAATCACATTGTAGCGGATCTGACGCACCCTTAGCAGATACCGCATTGCTGTGCAGTGCAAATTGGTGGATGTGATTCAGCTTTGTGCAATGTACCGTCATCGCCCGGATAGAAGACATATATGTCTTATCTTATACATTAGAAAAAATGCTTGTTGTGTCTTATATTTGGGACGATTTGGGGTGTCTTATAATTCTTATAAATAGGCAAAATATATAAGAACCATGTAACATTCGGAAAGACTGTAGAAACCACCCAAGGGGCGGATTAATTGAAAACAGCCACATTTTGATGCGATTCATGCGCCGCCACCTCGTGGCACGTGATGAGAAGCATCAATGCTGCTTGTGCTGGCAGAATCCCGCCCTGCTGGCAGCATCTCATGATGCTTCTAGTGTCGTTTTGCTGCCAGCAGGGAACAGAGCCTTCTAGAACGCTGCCAGCAGCACGATGGCAGCATCCTGCCATCCTGAGTTGTCCTCTACGAGCAAATTTGCCGTAGAGGAGCGGCTCGTCTTCCAAGGGGGGGGGGGCACTCTGGAATGGGGGGTAGTCGAGGTTGAGCTTCATTTTTTGCTCATGAAACTCGAAAGTGGCTCAATCTTAGCTCTAAGCAGGCTCTATCATGCGTAGTAAGCATCCTGCAAGCGCGCCGTCTCCTCTCCCTAACGTCCATGTTACCAACTATGGGCGCATCAACTCGCCCGGTGACGACATCCGGGTAGACATGGCGAAAGAGAAGCGCCAACCGGCGGGGTGCTCCAACGCCGGCTCTGGCGCAAGTTGTGACGAGGAAGAGGGCAACGAAGACACCGGCGACGAAGATCATGGCGACGAGGACGAAGAGGACTGGCCGGAAAACGGCCACGACGACAGCGCATCTGGTGACGAGGTGCCTGCCGGAGGCATCGACGATGACAACTGGTGGATGCAGCCGATAGGCTCCGGCGACGATGTGGAGGAGTGGCACGCCGGCGACGATGACGATGACGGAGGCGCGGATGCGGTTGCTGATGCGGCGGCGGATGCGACGGTAGAAGCTCAGGCGGCGGGTGCAGATGCGGAGGGGGATGCAGATGCGGATGCGGAGGCGGATGCAGATGCGGATGGATGCGGAGGCGGATGCAGATGCGGATGCGGAGGCGGATGCAGATGCGGAGGCCGAAACAGGCGCAAATACGGCTGCTGTTGTGGTGGCGGAGGCGGGTGATGGCCGTGATGCTGTCTTCTTCGAAGGTGAGGACGACGCGGACGACCCATGGCGCGTCTCGTCAGATGATGACGTGCCTCTGTTGAAGAGGCGGCTGCGTCACAGCCTAGGCGTGTCCCGGAAAAAAACCCGGGTGCTGCTCTCGGACGACGACAGCCCGGATGAGGAGCGGCGACCCCGCGTCCCTGCTGCTGACAAGGGGAAGGCTAAGGTGGTTGAGGTTCCTGCTAAGGTCGCCCCTCGCGTCGGACAGAGCAAGAAGAAGTGGAAGGACGATGGCGACCCGGGTTCAAGCAAAGGCGCGAAGAGGCAGAAGAAGAAGGTTGTCAAGAACAAGGACGACATCTTGGCAAACGAGGCGCAGGGCAGTGACGACGACTACGCGGAGGCTGCAGGCCCCATGCCTTCATTCCCTGAGAAGGCGAAGCCAAAAGACCCCACCATCTGTAATGCTAACTCCCGCCCCCCTTCCCCACGCAGTCGCGGGATTAAACGGACCAGGCGGAGCTGGTCCGTGCGCGAAAAGGTGAAGTGGGCGCGTCGCTACGCGGAGCTCGGCTCCCTCAAGAAGACCTCGGCCGAGTCTTCGGCGAGCATCGCGTGCATCAGACGCTGGAGCGCGCAGGCTGCAGCGGGCATGTACAAGGGCGCTGCGAATTCTCGCAAGCGCATGCATGGGGCGGGCCGCCACTCACACCACCCCGACATGGAGATGGCGCTGTACCGATACATCTGCCTGCATCGCGCGAATGGGGTGGCGATCTCGGTCAAGGACACGCAGAAGTGGAGCCGGGAGTGGATGAAGAAGCACCACCCGGGGAAGAACTGGAACGCGAGCTCCCACTGGAGCCAACGTTTTTGCGACCGCTGGAATCTCGTCATGCAGGTGAAGACAAAGGTTGGCCAGCGGTTGTCGGCTGGTGAGTGGTTCTAGGCTGTGAATTCATTGCGCATTGTCAACTCCTTGTCCTTACCACGATATAAACTTGCATATCCCGACTCATCCCATCCTTGTGTGTGTTCTTTTGCCTTGGCAGAATGCGCAAAAGACTGCGAGTCTTTTTGGAAGTTCGTCAGGATCAACAGGGCGCGGCACAACATCGACCCAAGCCGCATCATCAATGCGGATCAAACGCCCCTCTTCGTTGAAATGCCGGCCGAGAGGACCCTTGACCACCGTGGTGCGCGCTCGGTCCCGATCCGCACGGCCGGCTACGAGAAGACGCGGCTGACAGTGATGCTCGCGTGCACGGCATCCGGGGAGAAGCTGCGGCCGTGGGTTTGGTTCAAAATGAAGAACGTGCCGAGGTGTGACGTCCCCGCTGGTGAGTTAAACGAATTTGGGTTTAGGGAGACCACCGTGGCCCTGTTTGGCTCACTCCCCTATCTCCCTATGTGCCTGGCAGGAGTGGTGGTCCAAGCACAGAACAACGGTTGGATGGACGAGACCGCTGTGCAGACTTGGCTGACGAAGGAGGTGCTGCCTCATCTCAACCCCCAGCGGGGCCAGTGCGCACGGCGTGCGATGCTGGTTCTGGATTCGTACCGCGGCCACATCACCCAGGGCATGCTTCGCGCCTATCGCACGCACAGCATCACTCCGGCTGTAATCCCTGCAGGTTGCACCAGTCAAATTCAACCACTTGACGTTTCCATCAACCGGTGTTTCAAGGCCGGGGTGCGAGCTCGCTACGCTAGGTGGTTCATGCGTGAAGGCCTTTACCTGAAGACGAAGAACGGTGAGTCCACTGTCGGTGATCAGTAAATGCCTGCCAGTGTAGCTCTTGATGTACGGTATCTGACAGCACGCTTGCTCTGAATGTGACCCACCCGCAGGGAACCTGAGGAGACCCCCGCATCCCGTGGTGCTGCAGTGGATAGCGGAGGCGTGGGATCAAGTCCCTAGGCAGGTGATCATTGACGCGTTCCGTCACTGCGGCATCTCAAGCAAGTTGGATGGGACCGAGAACCATCTGGTGATGTCCCACCTGCGCGCCAGGAGCACCACCGATGTCACCGAAGACATGTGCCTCGGGGGCACCACGGGCGACAACACGCGCCTGCTTGGGAAGGCTCCCGAGGAGGAGGAGGAGGAGGAGATGCAGGCGGAGGGCGTGAAAGAGGTGGCCGTGGCCACCGGCCTGGAGGTGCTGTACCAGGAGACCCCTCACTACCGGGGAGCGGCGGCCGAGGCTGACCGCATGATCGAGCCCGTGCAGACAGCCAGGCACGCCTGGCGAGTGCCAGACTTGGGGATGCAGGAGCCACCATCTACTAGTGCAGATGAGGAGGGCGTAACAGAGGGGGGCTAGGTAGAAATAGTAAGATAGGATAAATGCATGCATGTACCCCCCCCACCCCTGAATGCAAGAACCGATTATAAGACACCCACCCCCTTTAAAAGGAAACCCTAAACCCTAGCACTGTTTAGTAGGCACTGTCTTAAGTCGTACACGCTCGTAAGTGGCTTATAATCGGAAGCACCCAACTATAAGAAACACCCGTATTAAAGACACCCCCTGTCTTTAATTCGACACTGTCTTCTATCCGGGCGATGACGGTATGTGTCTGCCTTTTACTTTTATGGTTGAAGGCAGATAACAGTTTCCATTTATGAATATCTCCCCAGAACGGGCATCATATGGTAGTGTTGTTATTTATGCCATCAAGTGTAGTTTGACTTCAAACCAGGATCCACATGTGTCCTTGGTTCATTGACATGTGATAAGGTACATGTGCCAACAGATGTTTCATCTGGTAGGACAATTGCGGAGTTGTGCTAGCTGGGTGTCATTTTGTTGCTTGCAGATCTTGCAAGAGATCAATTGGTGTGAACTCACACATTCACTGGGATTATTCTTTACATGCCAATATACAGCAGTTATTGTTGCTACTTCTGCACACCTGACCCGCGATATACAAAGGTGCTTTCGAACAAGGAGGTCAGCTACAGGTAACAGCTGCTACTGCTGCTGGCACAGGAATCATTCACAGGACTCAGAGTGGACAGCTGACTTGGAATGTTTCACTCTGGCAGCTGGGCAGTGATTTGATCCTGCAGTGTGGCATCAGGCAGAATTGCAACAGGTGAGGAGGGAGCAAGTTTGCACATTTTTAAGGGCATGAATGTGAAAAGGTTGAGTCTGTGTGCGCTTGATGCTTGACCTGGATGAATGGGAGTCAAAGACTTCATGGCATGGATTCATTGCATGGCACCAGGCACTGTGCAGCATGGTTGTCATGCATCAAGGTGCAGGAGCATAATAGTTAAGACACCTCAGCTTACTCCTTACACCGTGCGCCATGCCCCTTGCCCCATGCCCCATGCCCCATGCCCCATGCCCCATGCCCCATGCGGCATATGGTACCTCTGAAACATAGATGCCATGGAAGCCATACGGCACTCGCTGGGGCAGGTGGATGGTGGCTTGATGAACACATCATGCACCAGTCAAACCATTCATACCATGCAAACACCATGCACGTTCACCAAACACCGTACAGCATGCAGCATTCTTCGGAGACAAAGATGCCGTAGAAGCCGTATGGCACGCGCTGGGGCAGGTTGACTGATGGCTGTGATGGCATCATGGTGCATATGCTTCAGCACCACCCCCCGTGCACCCCATGCACCACCCCCCGTGCACCCCATGCACCACCCCCCGTGCACCCCATGCACCACCCCCCGTGCACCCCATGCACCACCCCCCGTGCACCCCATGCACCACCCCCCGTGCACCCCATGCACCACCCCCCGTGCACCCCATGCACCACCCCCCGTGCACCCCATGCACCACCCCCCGTGCACCCCATGCACCATCCCCCGTGCACCCCATGCACCACCCCCCGTGCACCCCATGCACCACCCCCCGTGCACCCCATGCACCACACACAAAGCAGCGTACCTCGGAGACAAAGATGCCGTGGAAGCCGTATGGCACGCGTTGGGGCAGGCGGATGGTAGCAACGGGGTCTGCAGCCATGGTCTTGGCGTCCAGCACCACCACCTCGGAGATGCTGTTATGGGGGGAATGGGGATGGAAGAGAGGGTGGGAGGAGAGTGTAAATGGCTGGGGGGAAGGGTGCAGGCGGATGGTAGCAACGGGGCATGCAGCCATGGTCTTGGCGTCCAGCACCACCACCTCGGAGATGCTGTTGAGGGGCCAGGGGAGGTGGAGGCGAGGGGAAAGATGGCGAGGGAGTGTGCATGACTGAGGGAAAGGGTGCAGTGGGGGTAGAGGCGACAGGGGTAGAGGCCATGGTCTTACCGTCCAGCACCACCACCTCGCAAATGCTGGTTGGGGGGAGGGGGCGGTGAAGGGGGAGAGAGGGAGGGGAGAAAGGTGGTGAGGGGGTGTGAATGATTGGGGAGGAAGGGTGCAAGCGGATAGTGGCAATGGGGGCAGAGATCATGGTCTTGGCGTCGAGCACCACCACCTCTGAGATGCTGGTTGGGACGAATGGGGGGGGGGGGGTGAAGAGGGGTGAGGGAGTTTGAAGGACTGAGGGGAAAGGGGCGGGCGGATGGTGGCGACGGGGGTAGAGGCGATGGTCTTTGCATCCTGCACCGCCACTTCGGAGATGCTGGTTGGTTCGAATGGGTGGGGGGGGGTGAAGAGGGGTGAGGGAGTGGGAATGGCTGAGGGCAAGGGGGCAGGCGGGTTTAGGGAATGGGGAGAGAGGTCATGGTGTTGGCGTCCAGCACCACCACCTCTGAGGTGCTGGATGGGGGGGGCGTGGGGGGGGGATGGGCAGGGGGTTGAGGAGGTGTGAATGACTGGGGGAAAGGGAGCAGTGGAGGTAGTGGCAACAAGGGGTGAGGTAGTAGCATCCAAAAACACCACTTCGGGAGAGGGTGCAGGACAGGCAGCAAGGCAATGGGAAGGTGCACTGCAAGGCAATGGGAAGGTGCACTGCAAGGCAATGGGAAGGTGCACTGCAAGGCAATGGGAAGGTGCACTGCAAGGCAATGGGAAGGTGCACTGCAAAGCAATGGGAAGGTGCACTGCAAGGCAATGGGAAGGTGCACTGCAAGGCAGAGAGAGAGTGGCGTCACTCACTCTGTGTTGGTGTCGTGTACAAAGGTCAGCACGTATCCATCGTCCTCCTCCAGGCGGAGAAGAGGGTGATGACAAGGTGGGAGACAGGAAGGAGGAGCAATGCAGAGAGAGCGCGGGAAAGCGGTGTGGAACAAAGGAGATTCACACTCGCCACTCACACTCGCCACTCACACTCGCCACTCACACTCGCCACTCACTCTGTGTTGGTATCATGCACGAAGGTGAGCACGTATCCATCGTCCTCCTCCAGGCGGAGAAGAGGGTGATGACAAGGTGGGAGACAGGAAGGAGGAGCAATGCAGAGAGAGCGCGGGAAAGCGGTGTGGAACAAAGGAGATTCACACTCGCCACTCACACTCACCACTCACACTCGCCACTCACACTCGCCACTCACTCTGTGTTGGTATCATGCACGAAGGTGAGCACGTATCCATCGTCCTCCTCCAGGCCAGGCTCGTTGCTCCGAGGCACAAACACAGGCTCGGACCCGAACCTGCCCGGCCCGTGGTCGAAGAACCCTGAGACGCAGCCGCCGACGGTGTAGTACGGTGCAGAGAGGTCCGGGGCACTTTGGAGGTCTATCTTGGCAATGCCGCAGATGCGTGTGATGCCCTCGAAGGAAGCACAGTACACATAGCGCTGCTTGCTGTTGAGACGAGGGAGAGGGGAAAGCAGAAAGCTTTTGAGTCGAGGGAGAGGGGAAAGCAGAAAGGGGAAAAGGGGCGCTGCGTGCAATGACGCAGATGCGGGTAATGCCTTGAGGAAGGGCCACAGCACGCACGGCAAAGCTTGTCGTGTGGGAGGAGAGGAAATAGGGGAAAAGGGGCGGAGGAGGCGAGAGATGGTTGGAGTAGAGTAGAAGAAAGGGCCATGTGCCGCCTGGAAAAGAAAGAGATATTTCCCATAAAGCATTGTCCTTATTCTGCTCGAAATGTTACCAACAGGTTATTGCAGCCGGGTTCAGTCAGTCTCAGGCTTTACTCACCGCCCCATGTCGCCTTTTGAGGCGCCTCAAAAGCAGGCTTTACTCACCGCCCCATGTCGCCACCATAATCAACAAAGACACCACACAACACACGTGACAACACCCAGCACCCTTCTCGCGCAGCACGCCCATCCCACTCACCGCCCATCCCACTCACCGCCCCATGTAGCCGTTGAAATGCGGGGGAAGTCGCACAACACAGCCCGGGGCACACACGCGGCACACCTATGGAACACACACACCACCCACAGCACACAGCCCGCCCATCCCACTCACCGCCCCATGTAGCCGTCGTGGATGCGCGGGAAGTCACATCCGAACGTGGTGAGCTGGTGCTGCGATGCTGTTGCCGTTTGAGAGGTTGCCACACAGCGTGCACACTTGCAGCACACACACAGCCCACAGCGCCCTCCCATCAATCTACTCACCGCCCCATGTAGCCATCGTGGATGCGCGGGAAGTCGCATCCGAACGTGGTGAGCTGGCGCTGCGATGCCTTGCCCGTCGCCATGTTGAACCGGAACTCGTAGCTGCGAAGGGGGAGGAGGGAGGGGCGCATGGGGGCGTGGGGGGGAATGGGACACGGGGCATAGAAAAACTTTGACTTTTGAGTCGACTCAAAAGTCAACGTGGGGGGGAATGGGACACGGGGCATAGAAAAACTTTGAGTCAACTCGGCACAAGTCACCACTGGCACTGCAACGCCTTGCCCGTCGCCATGTTGAACCGGAACTCGTAGCTGGGGGAAAGGAGGAGAATGAGGGAATAGGCAAAAGTGGAGTCGACACCTCTATTGACCCACGCATGACACTGAACAGAACACTCACCCCTCTCACACATTCAATGAAAGCCACTTGCAACCACGCAAACCCACCCATCGCACAATTCACAGTCTGGCAGCTTTGTCCTCTTCCATCTGCTCCAGTACCAGGTTCATCTCATCAAACCAGCACGCAATGAGCAGGTCCTTTCGCCTCTCCCACACTCCCTCAGCCACAATACAAGCACCACCCAGCCATCGCACAACTCACAGTCTGGCAGCCTTGTCCTCTTCCATCTGCTCCAACTCAAGATTCATCTCATCGAACCGGCATGCAATCAGTACCACCTCCGTCTCGCCCTTCTCCGTCTGCTCCTCCCACGCGTTCCCCGTGTGGAAGATGAACAGCGCCGGCAGCTCGAACCACCGAAGCTCCGCCTCGCTCTCCGCGTACCGAGGCAGGATCCCGAACCTGGCCGGCCGGTCCGGGTTCCACAGGAACGGCATCTTGCCCTTGACAATCTCTTTCGGAGCAAACTCCAAGGGAAGATCTAAAAAGATCGCGTAGTTCTGTGTGATGGCGAAATCATGCATCATGCCAGGCGTGGGGATGGTGATGTTGACAGGAGGACCCATCTCCCCCGCTTTAGTCACCACGCGGTAAGTCACGAACGGCGCCTTGGCCTGGTAACCAAACGTAAACATTTCGCCCGTTTCAGGATCCACTTTCGGATGCGCCGTAAACGGGTGGTTCAGCCGGCCACCGTACGTCAACCTCCCCTGAGTTTCCAACTCGCCGTCTTGGAGCACTTGTATCGCGTACGGCGCGTCGCCCTCGTGCAGCGCGAGCAGCCGCCGCGCGTGGAAGATGAGCGCGGTATTCCCGGTGCCGTTGCCCTGGGAGAGGTCCAGCACGCCCAGCCACTTGCGCAGCTGCTCTAAGAATATCTTCCCCAGGCCCACGTATCCGAGCATATCCCCGAATTTCAGGAACTTGGCGCGCTGGTACGCCGACTCCTGCTCGAGGCGGCTCGTGCGCACCCAGCGGTTCACGTAGCTCGCTTTGCCGTCCTTGATGCGCACGCCGTGCAGCATGCTGGCGGGGAAGAATGTGCGCGGAGGGGGGGTTCGGGTGGAGGAGGGAGGGGGCTGTTAGCTAACGCGCACACACTCGCAAAGCGAGTAGTTTCGATATAGAGAATGCGGGTAGAGAGACGACCGTTGAGGCGACTCGAAAGCTACGCGCACTCACGAAGAGGTGGTAGCTGAAGGTGGGCGCGAACTTGGGGTTGCAGAAGCAGCAGGTGGTACCATCGCCGGAACCATTGCTTGCCTGTTACGCGCACACTCGCAACCCAAAGTTCCACTCACCCGTCGCCGTCGAAGAGGTGGTAGCTGAAGGTGGGCGCGAACTTGGGGTTGGGCCCGTTGCGCACGAACTCGCCGTTCAAACACTCCTGCGCCGGGGGAATGCAGGCGAGAGGGGGTGTGGGGAAGACGTGGAGGGCGCGCGGGGAGAGGGGGGAGACGCAGGTGGTACGTAGGGGTAAGCGGGGGCGCTGGACGGTCAATGATGGGGCAACCTGGTCGCGCGGGGCCAGCGCGACGCGTAACAGGGATTAAGTAGAAGTAAATGGGGGAGCTGGGGGAACAAAAGCGTGGCTTGAGACGTACGGCTGACGGGTACTAGATCCGGGATTCGAAGGTCCACGTGGCGCGAACGTACTGGGAGTTGGCCGGTGACGGGGAGGTCGGCGACGGGGCCGATTTCCTTATCCACGGGAGCGAACACGCCCGTGAGATACGTCGTGCTGGGAGGCGTTGTGATCCTCGCATTCAGAAATCGCTCGATGGCGTCGCACAGCCAGTTCGCGTAGCTCTGCGACGGCTGCACTTTCGGCTGCACTGGCACTAACAGCTTCTGCTGCTCGCTGGCGTCGCGTCGCACCATGATTACGTCGCGATTGGCGCTAGGAGGATCGAGCACGTCGCGGGCTGCGTCGACGGAGAAGCGACTCAACGTGTGAGTTTCAAGTCGAAGGACGACAGTGGGTGGACCCTTTATGGCTGACTGGAATGCGAGCACGGTTTCCCACTAATGTGCACCTGACATAACAGCAATGTTGGGGATCCGCGCTACATAAAAGGTCAGGGAAAGTAGCAGCAGTTGCCGGGTGGAATGCGAATGGCGCATTGTGGTGGTCGGTTCACTCACTCACCACACCACTCATCAGTCCGTAGTGAATCTCTAGCGAAGCGAGGGGATGGAGGTGTGGAGTGCACTTACGGTCCAGATTCGTAGTGGTTGTTGATGGAGGCATCTGCACGCTCCATCCGGAATGAAGAGACGCGGTTCGGAGTGGTCGGCAGTTTGTTTTATGCTGCCCGCGGGCCAATTGGTGGGAGGTCGAGCTTGTTTTGTTACTGCGTGCAACATTTTGCGACTGACTCCGGCATTATCGAGTCCTCCAAAGTTGCCTTGGGCAACGAACAAATCTCGAGTTTGGGGGAGATTCTGGCGTCCACGTCATGGACAATCTGGCATCGTGGAATCGAAACAAGCGAGGCGAGGGAAGGTTCTGACGTGGCGAGGCATTCACCTTCCACGTCCTGTACTCCATACGGAAATGCTCCAATACAGTTCCATTCCATCAGCAGCTCCCCTTCATGTTGCCACTTATGCTTGTTGTTCAAAATCTCATCTATGTACACAGAGAAGTGAAACAAAAGGGTGATCGTTAAACTTAACAACTTAGCACTTCGGTCGAGTCGAGGTGGTCTTCCTGCAGGAGGCTGATGCCAATTTCATGTGCGGCAGGGAGGTTGAACATTACACGGTGAATGAGAAGAAGTTAACGCTTGGTTGGCTGCATCCGGAAAATAAGGAGTACCTGAGAGAGCGTGCGGCTCATCCTGAGGTGATTGAAGTCCTACTGAAAGGGGTCCCGGCGGTGATCTCACCGGCGATGGTCAAGAAGAACCTGGTGACTGCGGTGCTGTTGAAGAGGGGTCGTACTGCTTTCCTGTATGGGTCGGCGTTTCACTGGGTGCTGGATCCGGTTTCGGAATCAGACACGGACAAGATTAAGGGTCTGGTGTTCAGGCATCCGGGGGATAAGTATAAGTGGTGGCACAAGGTCACCGACCGCGTCCTCGGAGTGGAGCTGATGGTGTCGTTTCCTGCTCTCACCTGTGGTTTCTGCAACGGGATGCATATGTCATGCTTTCATGATGATTATGTGAAGGAGCGGCAGAACAACATTGGGAACTGGAATCTGACGCTGATGCGTGCGCATGAGATCAATGGTAACTCACCTCGCTATCACCTTCTTTTGCAGGCGGTCGCAGCGGCAGATCCCACGTCTCACCTTTGTACCGTCTCCCCTCCGAGCAGCTGCTTCCATGAAGCTCACTCCGGCGATGAAGACTCTGCTTGCGGACCCGGCGATCACTTTCGTCTCCACAGGAGGTGTTCGGGAGGAGTGGCTGTGCGTGCAGGAGGAGTGTGGGAAGACCCATGGTACCAGTTTCGAAAAGGCGGTCGAGCACGTGCAGTCAGTTCGTCACGGCACTGGGTTGCTCAAGGCTGGCGCAGCGACCCGCCTGAGCATGGGGAAGCCGGCCCTGGGCCAAGTCAAGAAGGATTTCAAAATGTGACGGGTAGGCTGGTGGTGGTGCTGACGCTGGCGAGGACGCTCCAAACAGGGGAGATGGCAGTTTCAGTTTCAGAACCTGCACGGCAGGAAGAAGCAGAAGTAGCATAAGAGGGAATCAGGCTTTGTTGTATCATTCTTAATAAAGGCCGTGGATGCGAAGGGCCTCCTTTCAAGCGGATTAATGGGTAAAGCACCAAACCTCACCATCTGCGGGGTCAATGTTAACGGCCTCGGCGATAGCGGCAAAAGAACCAAGAATAGGAGATGGCTGCGCACATCAGCAGACATCATGGTGCTCTCAGACACACGAATCAAGGAAGACCACAATTTCTGGAGTGAGATTAAACCAAAGGCGTGGGCTGCGGTGGGGCCGAGTCAGACTTGTGAAAATGAACGAGAATGGCAAGTACAAATAGGTAAACAGCAACACAAGGAGGTGCACCACCAAACATGATGCAATATCTACACTACAACTGCAAACGATTATATAAAATATGTAAACATATTTTGACACGCCCCCATGATTGATTGTAGGAGTAAGTGTAAAACGCCCACGCTGGTCACCCACTCCATCCCCTCACCCTCCCCCTCCCCCTCCCCCTCCCCCTCCACACTGTTGCAGGAGCAACTGAGGGGGGGGCGAAAGGAGGAGGATGGGAAGGGGAGACCACACACCCGCCACCCCAATACCACTCCCCTGGCTCCCCCACACCCTCACACCCTCCCCCCCTGCGGCAGCTGCAGTAGTGGGAACGAAAGGAGGAGGAGGGGAAGGGGAGACTACACACCCGCCACCCCCACACCCGCCACCGTAGCAGCGGCCTCCCAGGGCGCCAAAGCAGGCGGCAGAAGGGGCGACGCTCGCCCCCCCACGCGGCCCCCTCAGGTCGCCTCGACAGGCGATGGGGAAAAGAGGGGGGGGGCAGTGCACGTGCCCCCGGTACGCCGCGACAAGCGACGGAGCATGGCCGGGGCGGGGCCGGGGCAGGGTCGAGGCAGGATCGGTGCATAGCAGGGGGGGGGGCCGCGGTCGGGGCAGGTCCGGGACGGGGCTGCGAAGGGGCCGCAAGGGGCCTGAAATGTCGGCGACGGGGCCGGTAGGGGTGGCGACGGGGCCGCAAAAGGCGGCGACGGGGTCGCTGAAGGCGACGACGGGGCCGATAAGGGCGGCGACGGGGCCACAAAGGGGCCGCGAGGGGCCTGGAAGGGCGGCGACGGGCCGGTAAAGGCGGCGACGGGGCCGCGAAGGGGGCCGCGAGGGGCTGAAAGGTCGGCGACGGGGCCGATAGGGGCAACGACGGGGCCGCGAAGGGGCCGCGAAGGGCCTGGAAGGGCGGCGACGGGGCCGCGAAGGGGGCCGCGAGGGGCCACTACGGGTCTCGCGAGGGGCACGCCACGGGGCGTGCAGTACACAGAGTAGCAGCGGAAGCAACAGGCCAGGAACGTAGTTTGCTCTGATAGCATATCAAGAAGTTCTAGAACCTAGGAGGCATGGAAACCTTAGGTGCTAGGAAAGGGGTTAACGAAAGTGTCGAGAGAGTTGATGCAAGCCAAAAGAGAGGTAAACAGCAACACAAGGAGGTGCACCACCAAACATGATGCAATATCTACACTACAACTGCAAACGATTATATAAAATATGTAAACATATTTTGACAAGACTGCAGGCGGAGTGGCCGTCATGACCTTTGGCAGACATATCCGGTTCTCGGACGTTATGGCGGATGTGTCAGGGAGGCTGCTGGGGGTGACAGTGGAGGGAGGAGAAGAACCTTTTTGGTTGGTTGCGGCGTACCTTCCGGCGCAAGCCTGCAATAGAGCAAGGTTTCACAAGGAGCACTTAGAGCCTTTCGTGCAGGCACAACCAGCCTCGAAGCACCTGGTGGTTGTGGGGGATCTCAACATAATTGCTGATCCAGAGTTAGATCGGTCGCCGGAAACAGGGTCGGGGAGGGAGAACCAGCGATTCGTGGATGCCTGGCAACCTCACGGCCTCTGTGACGCTTTCCCCGCCCTGTTCCCCGCGGAAAAGGAGTACACCTTCAGGGTGAGAGCCACGGGGTCGACGTCTCGCATTGACAGGGCTTTGGTCTTGGTCTCGCTGCTAGGCAACCTGGAAGGAGCTCGCCATGTGGAGGTGCCGAGGAAGCTGTCGGGCCACAGTTTCGCCATCAAGATTCGGCTTAAATTCGTATCGGAGCACGCGTCTGGGCCGAGACTCTGGAGGTTTAACGCAACAAGGAAGAAAAAAGAGGGGGTGAGGAAAATTGTTAAGGCGGTCGCGGAGGCGCTCAACCGGTCAAGCCAAGGGTCGCTGGAGAGGGTGATCTCGAGGCTGTCGACGGGGCTTCGTATGCATGAGAAGGAAGAGAGGAAGAGGGTGGCAGCGACGCAGCTGCATCTGACGGAGGAAGTTGAACGGATGCGACATTTGGTCATGGGCGGACCGTCAGGCGACACAACGAAGGCGCTGCTACTCACCAGGGAGGAGCAGTTGGAAGCCTATCGAGAGAACGAACGAGAGAGGCTGGAGGTCTTTGAGGGGCTCACGGAGGAACTGCAGGGAGAGATCCCGTCACCCTTCCTGTCTGCCAAGGTCAAGATGAGGAACGCACGGTGATTGAGGAAGTGCGATTCAAAGGGGAGAGGAGTAGAGGATCGCATGCGGTGCTCAAGGCAGCCTCGGCTCACTTCGCGGAAGCCTTCAGTGAGGGGCAGCCTGGGCTGAGGTGGGAGCAGAACGATTTCAGTGTGGACGGGGTTTTGCCGGCGGAAGCGGTAGTCAAGCTTGGGGCCGCGTGGACTGAGAAGGAGGTGAAGGAGGCGCTGGAAGGGCTGCCAAAAGGGAAGTCACCAGGGCAGGATGGGCTCCCGGCGGAGCTTTTCGTGGAGCACTGGGACCTGTTGGGGGGGGCTTTCATGAGGTTTGTCAGAGATTTCGAGGTGACGGGGGCATTACCAGAATCGCTGACTACAGCAGTAACTGTCCTGCTGCACAAGAAGGGGGAGAAAGACTTGCTGACCAACTACAGGCCGATAACGCTACTTACGACGGTTTACAAGGTACTTGCGAAGGTGCTGGCGAACAGGCTGAAGCAAGAGCTGCATCATATAATCTCGAAGGAGCAACACGGGTTCATACCGGGTCGAAGTTTGGCAGACGCGGTGGCGTTGGTAGCAGACGCGATTGAAGTGGCGGATAACGACGGGGAGGACTGGTACCTCTTCTTGGTTGATTTTCAGAAGGCGTATGATACTGTATCGCGGCCTTTCCTCTTCAAGACGCTGGAGAAACCCGGGCTGCCGGGACAGTTTGTCAAATGGACGGCGGGCCTGCACAAGGGTTCGGGGACCAGATTGGCAATCAACGGCTGGTTAGGCGAGCGAGTGGAGATGCAGAGGGGGGTGAGGCAAGGATGTCCGTTAGCGCCTTACCTTTTCCTGTGCGCTCTGGAGCCGCTCTGCGCGGAAATCAGGAAAAGAGGTCTGGGGATCAAGGCGGAAGGCGGGGAGGCTGTGTCATACGTAGGGTACGCGGATGACACCTCCTTAATCCTGAATGGTGAAGCTCACCTGCAGGCTGCGGCGGGGGCCCTGGACTGGTTCGGGGAGCTGTCGGGCTACACATCAACAGAGACAAATCGATTATCATGCCGCTTGGAAGGAACAAAGGCAGAACGACATTACCAGGGGTGACGTTCAAGTGGGCGGAGACAGGAGTCCCAGAATGGCTACTGGGGGTCTGGGTGACGCCGGACGGAGAAGCAGGCCCATCCTAGGAGAAGGCATGGGAAAAGGGGAAGAAGGAGTTAGCGAAGTGGGAGAGCCATCATCTGCTGACAGCTGCAAGAGTGACGATTATCAACAATTACATTATGCCGATTCTTCTGTTTCAAGCGCAGATTTACCCGCCGCTGGAGGAACTATGGGAGAGGATCCGGAAGACGTGTGACAACTATGTATCAAAAGGGGAAGCGACGGCGGAGAAGATCTTCGTATTGTGGAGCGGAGAGCTGGCTCGCCTGCCAAAAAAGGAAGGTGGACTGGGGTTAGTCGAACCGAAGGAACGGATTGATAGCCTGGCTATACGGCAGGTGGGGAAATTTCTCACGGAGCAAGACGTTACCAAACGGTGGTTGTCGGAGAAGGCGGCGGCACTTCCGCAGGGAGTGGCGACCTTTTTCGCCCACAAGTCTGCTGGTAGACATTGGGGAAAAGGTAGCAAGAGGTGGAAGGCGATAGCATAAGTTTTCTGGGAGTCCCCGTTTGCAGACCTTCCGGCGCCATCGAATGGGTGGGAAGCTGAGCGCGAGATGCTATGCTTCAACCGGAAAATTATGTTCAAGGGGGGGAGCCCGTTCGGGAACCGCCAGGGGGCAGCAGGAATCTGGACAACTAGGCTAGGAGACCTGCTCATCACTAGGGGAGATGGTAGCAGGGAAGTTAAAAGCGTCAAGGAGCTAACAACAGATTTCGGAAGCGTGGCATCGGGGAGATGGGCGAGAAAAGCGTATGAGGCGATCCCTGACGATTGGAAGGCGATGTTGACGGTGCAGAGGTCAGCGGAAGCAGTGGTGGCAGCAGCAAAGGTGGTGCGAACATTTCTGGCACATGCGCAGAAGGTTCTTTACTGGACGGTAAAGGGGGTCAAGGGTGAGGAGATGGCTACCGACCATCTGGAGTGTCCGGACGGCGCAAGTCTGGTGGTGCCGCAAAGACCTTACGCGGTTTCGTTCCCTGTTAAGAGTATAACCCCGGTGACAGTAAAAGGGGGGAGAGTGCTTGGCGCGATGGGCGAGCCGAGAGCGAAGCTGTGCCTGACATCGCTGGTAGGAGACGATATGAGGCCGGCTGCACCGAAAGCGATTAGGAGGGCGCTGGCAGGGCCCGTGGTGACGTCCAGACGGAGACACGAATGGGAAGAGGAGTGGGGGAACAAAATAGACTGGAAGGCGGTCAGAGAAAGAAGGGACTCGCTGGTGATCCCGTACAGAGCAAGAGATGTGCTGTTGAGGATGCACAGCAAGAACCTGCAGGTGGGGGGGAGGCTGGTGTTTCTTGGAGCCAGGGGGTGCTGCCCACACTGTGGAGAGCCAGAAACCCTAGCTCACTGCATGCTTACCTGCCCAGTCATCCAACCGGTGATCGGCGCGCTGCTGAGGTCATTGGGGATCATAAACCCAGCAGACCAAACGAGGACACTGGGAGACATGCTGTTTCAGGAGGGGGCCACGAAATCCAGGTTTCCAGGGGCGACGTTGACAGCAGTGACAATGCGCAGGATTTGGTTGGCCAGAGTGGATGCAGTGTACCGGAAGGAGAAATTTCAGAGGAAAAAGGTGGCACGGGCAGCAATCTATGACTTCATGCGGCATGTGAGGCTCTACAGAGCGGGAAAGTTGAGGAAGGCAGGTGTGGGGGGGGAGAAAAGGGCAACCACGGGACCCATGGGGGGGGCTGGAAGGAGATGAACGTGCGGCGATCGCGAGGATCTGTGAGGCAGGGGAGCAGGCCACGTGGAGGATGGGCTTCCTATCCATATGGCAGAACCCCAAGACGTTTCATCGGCCACCGTAGGCGGATGCAGGGGGGGCTGCGCTGGAGTCTTTGACTGCAGTTTGCATGCTTCCCTCTGGAATTCAGTTACGACTGTGAATGTATTTGCATTGGTATAGTGCAAACTCGTTCTGTATAAAAAAAACTTAACAATTTGAACATCTGCCACTCCGTATCACATGTGTCACGCATACCGAGTCATCCCTTTGCCGCGTACAACCCGTCACTACACTCCTTCCGTCAACCACGCTCTCGTGTTTCCTTTCCCCTCACCCCCGCACTCCACCGCCTCGTCCAGAAGCACCGCTTTGTCCAGAAGCAAGCATTCCTTGTCTCCTTGCACTGACGACGCACCAACAAGCTTGCGGTCTCCGCTACAGATGTCGCCGCAACTGGGTGTTATGTCCTCATCCCGAGAATTGCGGTAGTCCTCCGAGGCCCGTACGGTTTGCGAGAATGAACGAGGAAGGGCGGCATCAGCAGCTGCGCCGTCCTTCACAGCGCACATAACACCGCGACCAACGCCGCCTTTCTCGCAGCGCCCTTCTTTCCCACATTCCCCCCTCTTCCGCCGCCTCCCCACGTTTCCCCTCATGGAGCGCACCTTTTCCGCCAGCGGCCGCCACAATCACCCCACGTTCGGCTCCCCCGCGCTCCGCCCTTCCGCCTCCCCCCTCTTCACCCACGCTTCCCACGCCACCGCGCGATCCCCGCCGCACTCCCCGTCGTACTCCCCGCCGTATTCCCCGCCGTATTCCCCCCCCTACTCCCCAAGCTCCCCCTCTAAAGGCCCCTTCCCCCAGGCCTCCCCACGCCTTAGATGCCTATATATAGCGATTCTGATAGTAGTCTCGTACAATTTAAGTTACGTGGTAGAGCATTTAACTCTGTCTTTATTAGGCCGCCCTAACGCGTGGTCGCACGGCGGCGCGAAGGGCGGGGAGGAGGAGTACGGCGCGTACGGCGCGGACACCGCGCTTTATAACGCGCTGTCCGCGGCTATCGATAGCGGGGATGACCCGCCCACGCTGGCGTCTTTCACGCCTCCCGACCTGCCCGAATGGGACCCCAACGACGTGAGTGGAGGGGGGGGGGAGGGGGAGGGGGGGGGGGGGGGGGGGGACGGGTAGGGGGGGATGGAGGGAAGAAGGGGAAGGAGGCAGGGGGAAAGGGGGACGGGCAAGGGGGAAGCGGGAATTGGGGAGGCAGGAGGTGATTAGTAAGTTGACTCAGAAGTCAATTTGCCTGACCTGACCTGCCCGAGTGGGACCCAAATGACATGAATGCAAGGATGAGGGAGGGGGAAACGGAGGGCGGGAGGCATGGAGGTGGGAGTGACTTGCATGCGGAGCTGCCACCCGCATGTCTAGCACCACTGCTCCTCTCCCTCTCCAGGTACCCTCCTCACACCCATGTGGAGGCATTCGTTGCACCCACGGCAGCCCAGCGGCTTCCCCTAGCTGCCACACGGAGAGTCGTGTGGACGTGGACGTGGACGTGGAATCACTGGTTTTTGAGAATTCTCAACAACCTCTCTATTCTCACTGCCACCTCCTTCATCCCATCCTTTTTCATCCGATTTCGATGCGCCGCAAAAACCATTCCACCCTTGGCGTTCACCTCCCCCACGCATCCCATCCTTCCCCTATTGATCGGGGCCCACTGCACCTGCATATAAACCTCTAAACCGATGAGCATCCATCTGGCAGGTGCAAGTGGAGGTGCCAGTAGGGCCGTCCCGCGTATGTTTTTTGAGAATTCTCAAAAAACATCCACCACGGCCGCCCAGAAGCGCTGCTCTGCCACAAGTCACACGCCACGTGTGACTTGTGCCCGTGCTAGAAGCCTTGCCCTGCCACGTGTCCTTGTAATCCACCCACACACGCCACCTCCATGCATTCCATGCATCCCATGCATCCCACTCAACCCCCGTTCTGCCCGTCAGGTGCAAGTGGAGGTCCCAGTGGGCTTCTATCTACCACGGCCGCCCAGCAGGGCACACACACACACACACACACGATTAGCGCACACCCACCCATCACCTCTGCTCACCTCACCGTGCCGCCCCTCATCCATACCCACCACCCCCCTTCCTGTCTGTCTGTCAGGTGCAAGTGGAGTGGAGGTCCCAGGGCTTTCTACCAAGGCACACGTGACACACAGGGCTATGCGGAGGTGTGTAGGCGTGAGAGGTGGTCACAGGACTTTCTACCAGGGCGTCCCAGCAGGGCACACGTGAAACACATGACATGAGAAAGCACACCCATCACCTCACCTCACCGCACCGCACCACCTCTCATCCATACCCACCCCTCCCCTTCCTGCCTGTCCGTCAGGTGCAAGTGGAGGTGCCGGTGGTGTTCTACCATGGCCGCCCGGGAGCCTCGCCCTGCCATAAGTCGCATTATGTCTATAAAGTAGTCTCCGAGGTGAGATGTTGATTTGAATCTGTGTATCCATTCATAAATTTATTTAATTTTTCTCTCATGAGCTACTGAGTTACTTGTCTGTAACATGAAACAGCACTGAACACGAAATACACTATACTATACACACTTTTATTCCTCTGCTTTCTCTGCCTGTGCTTCCCCGACTTGACTTTTGAGTCGACTCAAAAGTCAACTTTGCCTGTGCGTCCCCGACTTTTGAGACGTCTCAAAACTCTGCTTTCTCTGCCTGTGCTTCCCTGACCAGTTTTGAGACGTCTCAAAAGTCCTCTGCTTTCTTTGCCTGTGCTTCCCTGACCAGGCGCGCAAGCACAACAACGCGGTGCATTTCATCGGCCCTCGGGAGTGTCGGCAGTTTTTCTTCCACATGGGGGTGGCCTTCGAGGAGCATGCGGAGTACGAGGAGGTGTATGAGTGGTTCATTCGCAACCTTGGGACTCCCGTGGACGTGCATGTGAGTGCGTAGGAGTGTGAAGGAGTATAACGGTCGTTTGAGGTGGCGTTCGAGGAGCATGCGGAGTACGAGGAGGTGTACGAGTGGTTCATCCGCAACCTTGGGGCTCCAGTTGACGTGCACGTGAGTTTATTCCTGGAAAGGTAACAATGTAACAGCCTTAGCACTCCAGTCCACGTGGACGTGAGTATGGAGGGGTGCAAGCTTTGTGGGTTTGTGCATATGGGTTCAAATAGGTCACTTCGAAGCATTTCAACTGTGACTCGTTTGAGAAATGCGTCGTGAGTATATGAATCCTACTCACAGGAAACATGGGAGTTTTTTTTTTGGTTTTTTCTTCCATCCACTCCCCTCTCCCCATCAGGTGCGCTGGTTCATACTCAAGAAGTTCATGGGGCGCCACAACTATGGACGCATATTCCTCCACTCTCACGTTCCCACTCTGCCTTGATCGCTGTTCTATTCCCGCTCCTCCATCCTCTCCCCCCTTCCATCAGGTCCGTTGGTTCATCCTAAAGAAGTTCATGGAGCGCCACAACCACAGTCGCATATTCCACCTCGCCCACTCTCCCACTCCCCCCTGATCATTGTTCTTCCTCCAACATTTCCCCCTACCTTTCCATCAGGTGCGATGGTTCATACTAAAGAAGTTCATGGAGCGCCACAACTACGGACGCATATTCCACCTCGCCACCGAAGTCATGCTCTTCGCCAATGCCTCCCAGGTGCCCACAACAGCGCAGCGCTCCCCTTCTCCGACAGCAGTTTCCACCCCTTTCCAGCAGTTTCCACCCCTTTCCAGCAGTTTCCACCCCTTTCCAGCAGTTTCCACCCCTTTCCAGCACCTTTCACCACATTTTGTCGTCTTACACCAACACTCGCTGCTTTGTGGTCTCCCTTTAATCCGCGTTCTTGTGGACTCTCTCTCTTCTTTTGAGTCGACTCAAAAGCAGTTCTTGTGGACTCTCTCTCTCTTCTTGCGTTTCCCGCCACTGCCCCCCTCCCTCTCTCTCTCTTCTTGCGTTTCCCGCCACTGCCCCCCTCCCTCTCTCTCTCTTCTTGCGTTTCCCGCCACTGCCCCCCTCCCTCTCTCTCTCTTCTTGCGTTTCCCGCCACTGCCCCCCTCCCTCTCTCTCTCTTCTTGCGTTTCCCGCCACTGCCCCCCTCCCTCTCTCTCTCTTCTTGCGTTTCCCGCCACTGCCCCCCTCCCTCTCTCTCTCTTCTTGCGTTTCCCGCCACTGCCCCCCTCCCTCTCTCTCTCTTCTTGCGTTTCCCGCCACTGCCCCCCTCCCTCTCTCTCTCTTCTTGCGTTTCCCGCCACTGCCCCCCTCCCTCTCTCTCTCTTCTTGCGTTTCCCGCCACTGCCCCCCTCCCTCTCTCTCTCTTCTTGCGTTTCCCGCCACTGCCCCCCTCCCTCTCTCTCTCCTTGCAGTGCCTTCTCGAGTGGCTGTGTGCCTTTTTCCCTCTCTCTCTCCCCAACACCATCCCTACTCCGCCCTCGCTTTGCCGGCCTGCTTGCCCAGCATTCCCCACCCACTGCATCCCACTCCCTCTAACTGCCTCCCTTTATTCGGACCCCTTGTATTCCTGGCTATTCTTTTTTGCGTCCTCTCAGGTGGCGGCATGGCTCTTCCCTAACTCTGACCTCGCTCTCCCTGCGCGCTGGCCCAGCATCAGGCCTCCATTGAGGCCCACTCAGTACTCCTCTGCAGGTGAGCTCACAGCCCAGCTTGCGTGCTCTTCTCTGCAGGTGAGCTCACAGCCCAGCTTGCGTGCTCTACTCTGCAGGTGAGCTCACAGCCCAGCTTGCGTGCTCTACTCTGCAGGTGGGTGCGGTTGGCTTCCCTCCTCCCTCTCACCCTCTCCCTGCGCGCTGTCCCAGCATCGGACCTCCGTTGGAGCCCACTCAGTGCTCCTCTGCAGGTAGGTGCCGAGTGCTTTCTCTCCTCCCGTTCGCTCTCTTCCGCTTCCTGCTCCTTGTCTTCGACTCGCCGCTGCTCCTAGTCCCATACACTCTTCAGCATCTGCCACACACGTAGCATTAAGTTCCCATCCTCCCAATCTCTCTATCCCTTCTCCTCCCTGCAGGAGTGGGCACGCACATAGCCCTCATGTCATACGCAGCCCTTGTCCACGGGTGTCTCTTCCTGCAAGCTCTCGTTCACTCACTGCTGCTCCCATACCCTGACATGCTGTCCGATACCCTTAGTCTCTCAACCCTTCCCCTCATCTCCCATGCCCCCCTCCCTGCAGGAGTGGGCACGCACATAGCCCTCATGTCATACGCAGCGCTGGTGGACTGGTGTCTCTTCCTGCACGCTGTCTTTGACTCGGCCATGTTCGGAGGAGACAAGGACACCCAAGACCTGGTGCTGCTGCCGTCCTACGTGGATGTTACAATCATGGGCTGGTACACTTTCGCTGGCTGCTGGCTGCAGGTGAGCGGTGGAGAGCTGTGCAGAGCGGTCAAGAGCGGTGAAGTGCCGTAGAGAGGACTAGAGAGCAGTGGGGAGTGGTGTTTGAGTGGTAAATAGAGATGATTAGAAGAGGACCCAAGACCTGGTGCTGCTGCCGTCCTACGTGGATGTTACCATCATGGGGTGGTACACTTTCGCTGGCTGCTGGCTGCAGGTGAGCAGTGGAGAGTGGTTGAGTGCGGTGGAGCGAGGTAGCGAGAGGTAGAGAGCAGTGGGATTAGAAGATGAATGAAGGGACACCCAGGACCTCGTGCCGCTGCCCTCTTATGTTGACGTAACCATTATGGGCTCGTACACCTTCGGTGGCTGCTGGCTGCTGGCTGCAGGTGAGCGGTGGAGTGCGGTTGAGTCTGTTGGAGTGCGGTTGAGTGCGGTGGAGTGCGGTGGAGTGCAGTGCCGAGGGCTAGAGAGCAGTGGAGAGTGGTGTGTGAATGTGTGAGGTGATTGAAGGGAGACCTATGACCTGGTGCTGCCGCCATCCTGTGTTGATGTCACCACTTTGAGCTGGTACAGCTTCGCTGGCTGCTGGCCGCAGGTGAGAGGAAAGCGGTGGAGAGGGTTGGAGATTGATGGAGAGGGGTTTAGAATGCTCGAGAGTGGTGAAGGGGTGATAGGACTCAGAATCCGGTCTTGCTGTCCTCATTTGTGGATGTTACCAAACCCATTTACGCTTGCAGCTCCTATACCAGGCTATCTCTGCTTCGCTCCCTCTTGACCCCTTCCCAACCCCAACCCAACCCCATTGCAACCACCACCACCCTCGCGGCAGTGTGTCGGGCATGAAACCCAAAATCTCCAAGCCTCCATGCAAAACGGGGCATCCAACCACGCTTCTGAGTGCAATCCCTCTTCCAGCCGTCTCTGCTTCCCCCACTCTAAACCCCTTCCCATCACAACCCTACTCGCATCCCCATCCCCACCACCAAAACCCCTCACAGCAGTGGGTGGAGCCTCCATGTGTGTCAGGCGTGAAACCTGAAACCGCCAAGGCCCTGCGCAAGCGGGGCATCCAACCGCGCTTCCGAGTGCAATCCCTCTGCCAGCCGCGGCGCTGCCTCAACTCCTCCTGGTCTGACCCGGGCATCTGCGTCTTTGACAACCTATTTTTGTTTGCTCCTCATTCCCTGCTCCCGTTCCCACCTCCATGGCAGTGGGTGGAGCCTCCATGTGTGTCGGGCGTCAAACCCAAAACCGCCAAGGCCCTCCGCAAGCGCAGCATTCAACCGCGCTTCTGCGTGCAATCCCTCTGCCAACCCATCTCATCTCCACCCTTCCCCCCTTAACCCTTCCGGTGCATGTACCCCTATGGCAGTGGGTGGAGCCCCCATGTGTGTCAGGCGTCAAACCCGAGACCGCCAAGGCACTCCGCAAGCGGGGCATCCAACCGCGCTTCCGAGTGCAATCCCTCTGCCAGCCGCGGCGCTGCCTCAACTCCTCCTGGTCCGACCCCGGCCTCTGCGTCTTTGACAACAACTTCTCCCTCACGCCCGGCCGCCCGTTCTTCAAGTTTAAAACCGGGGACAAGTGTCCGAGCACGATGCACTATGGGTTTTACCGCGGGTGGGAGGAGGAGGCGCAGACGGAGCCGGTGCAGTTCCTGGCGGTGCATTTCATGCATCGCAAGAAAGAGTTTCTGAGTACAAAGTTTCCGCCTGAACCAGAGAAGTCGTGGGGTAGTGCGAGCGAGTAGTGGTGATGGCTTGATTTTTTACGTGAATTGGATAGACAAAGCTAGCATTAGGCTGCGAGCGATGTATTGAGGTGGAAGAATCATGTTCCTGGTGCAGGCCAGCATGTTACCTGTACCGTATATGATGGAAGCAAAACATTGGCCAACTTCTCTGCAACCAAGCCAAGGCTACAGTATGTGGATGTTCCTACAAACCCGCACAAGCTGCACGCTTTTACAATCTCTCAACTTGCGAAGAGGAAGCTACAGTTGGTCACTGGCGCCTCTAAAGAATCAAGCTGCACATACGTAGCTGACTGCACACACCTGGTAAGGGGACGAAAACACAACTCCCCTTCAACACTTAGAGCTTACTTCCATACACGCCTTCCCCATCCTCAACGACCAACCTACCGCACCAACTTTTGGAGCCTACCGAACCTACTTTCAGACACGCTTTCCATCCATTTCATCCTAGTCATCATCACTACCCCCCCAGTGTCTGCCAAAGTCGTCGTCATCGTCACTGTCCAAGCCATACTCATGATCAATATCATTATCTTCACCTCCGCTCTCCTCGTCCTCTGGTGCCTCAACGCCCGCCTCTTCCCTTTCCCCAGCCACATCGCCTCCCTCCTCCCCTTCTTCCTCTTCCGCATCCCCTCCTTCCTCTTCCTCCTCCCCCTCCCCCTCCTCTCCCTCCTCTCTCCTTACAGGAACCCCTCTCATGTCACGGCGGGAGAGCAGAGGGCATTCACTGATGTCGCACTCACGCAATGTTGGCATTTTCCGGAGAGACGCAGGCAGCCGAGTCAGCTTCTTGCATATGATCACCTCCAGCTTCTCCAGCTTAGGTAGAAGAGTGAACGAATCTGGCAAGCTTTGTAAGTGCTTCAGCCCCAAAATCAGCAACTTTTTAAGGGAAGACAGCTTCCATATATCATCCGGAATGCTTGGGATTCCAAGCATGATGAGAGAGCAGGATCGTAGCTTGGGTAGATTCACAAACGACTTTGGGAGCTGCATCAGCTTGTAACAGTCGATAATCTCCAGCGTCTCGAGCATTTTCAGCTGCCCAAGAGACTCAGGCAGCTGCCGCATTGAGATGAGGTCAACCAGCTGTAAGACACGCAGCCCTGCAAACCCCCCAATGGTCTCAGGCAGTTCTTTCAGATAGTAGGCCGAATCAACCTTAAGCCGTTGCAGCTGCGAGAGTTGGGAGATGCAGTCGGGGAGAGAGTCAAGTTTGTGAAGATCTAAAAGTTTTAACTGCGTCAATGAGGGTAGACGACCGAGAGATGGACCGAACGACTCCACATTAAGCTCTTTGATCTTCAGACTTTGTGTGGAAGGAAGCAGAGGACGGCTGCTGCTCCTGCTGCCAGTGCTAGTCACAAAGCCCTTGGCAGTGCGTTGAAGCACCGTCTCATCGCCTAGCACCCCACTTAGTGAATCACATGCCCGCACGTCCAACGCCCTCAGACTAGGCAGCTCAAGGAGCGCCGGAGGGAGACATATCAGGCCGCCCATCCCAAAGATTCTGACCTCCTCGAGCGCCACCAGCCGTCCGATTCCCTCTGGCAGGACCGTTACTTTTGGGCAGTTTCCAACTTCCAGCCTGGAGAGGGAATCAACGCCAGAGAATGAAGCTGGGAGGGAGGATAGGTGTGGCATGGAATCGAGCGACAGCTCCTTGAGGCTCCTCAAGCAGCCAAAGCCGTCTAACAGCGCGCCCCTGAAGCGTTTCGCGTGAGCAATCTTGAGCGTTTCAAGAGATGTCAGGCCGGAGAAGGATGGAGGGAGGTGGGTGAGAGCGGTGCAGTCCAGTAGATGCAGGTGGCGCAAGGAGTGCAGACCCTTCCCCATGGCGTCTGGCAACACCGTGAGGCTCTGACACATGTTGATCTCTAGGCGCTCGAGAGAAGTCAGCTGGGATAGGGAGTCCGGGAGTTGCTGCAGCTGCCTACACTCCACTATTTTCAGCTTCCGAAGAGCAATTAACTGCCCGAATGTTTCAGGCAGGCGCGTGAGCTGTCGGAGGTCTTTCAAATACAGCTTTTCTAAACAAACCAGCTGACCGAACTCCTGGGGCAGATGTGTCAGATTGAGAAGAGAATTGAGGGAAATCTCTTGAAGAGTGGTAACCAGGGCGATGGAATCAGGTAAGGCTGTGAGACTTCGCAGATTTAGCACGAGTCTCCGTAGCGTAGACAACTGCCCGAAATCTTCAGGCAGCACTGAAATTTGTCCCATGTCAAGGGTTATATCGGTGAGTGCAGGCAGGCGGGGAAGAGACACGGGCAGAGTCGTGATGTCACTGCAGCCGTTGATAAAAAGAGTCTTCAGTCGTTGCAAATGTTCCAGATCCACAATCAAGTCGCGCATTCCCCTCACTTCAACCATAATGAGGGTTTCAAGCGCCCCCAGTTGACCGAAATCGGCCGGCGACGGAGGAAGAATGCTGCAATTTCGGAGCTCCAGGACGGCGAGAGAAGAGAGCTCGGTGAAAGAGGTCGGCAGCTGCAGCGTAGAGCAGCCACTTAAGGAAAAACGGTTGAGAGCGGTAAGTTGCCCAAAAGATTCCGGAAGTGTCGCCAAGCGGCTATGGTGGAGCTCCAGCGACGTCAAAGAAACCAGATTGCCGAAATTCTGAGGCAGAGCTTCGAGCTGATAAGTGTTCAGCACGAGCCTTTTGAGAGATTGTAACGAGGTCAGTGTGTCGGGAAGACGCGTGACTCCACTTCCCACGAAGTGCAGGTGCTTGAGGGAAGTAAGTCGGCCGATTGACGTGGGAATGGCAGCATTCGTCGAGCAGTACACATAGAGATCTTCCAGCCGCGTACACCCTTCGAACAGCGCAATGAGGCTCTTCTCGGTTACATCTCTTTTATTAGTCCAAGGTGACATCGTTTCGACATGAAGCTGGGTCAAATGGCGACACGAGCTAGCGAGGTGAGAGAATAAGAACTTGGAGATGGAGGTGAGGCTGCAAGAGGAAAGGATTAGCTTTTCGAGGTTAGGGAACGAGGATAGAAGTTGAACAAGCCGAGGCGGATCCATACGGATGTCATGGGGCAAACGGAGCTCGTATTGCACGCGGCACGCGATCTGATGCCATTGCTTGCTAACAAGTGCGTGCTCTGGCAGGCCATCAGGTCGAACCAGAAAACGTAGGATCCGAGAAAGAAGCTCCTCAGGTAGTCGCTGAATCGGCGATCCGATTGACATTGTGAAAGGCGGAGAAAATAGTGAATGATTATCTGTTCAGCTTGTTGATTCTGCTACTAATCAGGTAACGAGAGTCCTAATCGTCTAATAGCAAGGTTGTTGTGAGCTTGAAAGGGGGAAGGAATCACTCGTGAAATCATTCCCCCGAGGATCACGGAGTGCATCTCTCTCAACCAGGGCTGTCGCTAGGTCTGGTCCGGTCGCTCAAACCAACAAGAAAACCTTGAGGTTGTCAGTTACACAACGCTCGTTCTTCTCGAACCATTCCCGCCAGATGCTCCCACGTAACACCGTACTTGCGAAATGGTCGGCGATGTAGGGCACAAAATGACGAACCTCAATCTCGATTTTCGAGGATTGCCCACAGTGCTTTCGCGAGCCCCAATTGTGTGTCTCTTGGTGACCCGACGTGCGCTTGTGCGAGTTCCGCCAGAAAAGTGATGGCGTACCCGTTTGTGGATGCGATTCCAGCGAGTAGTGTAAGAAATTTGTGATAAGCAGCGAGTTGTTATTCGCAAATACGCAAGGAGTGTAAAGAATGGAGCAAAATAAGGTACATATTACTGTTACAAGGTTAGAAAACGTGTATTTTGCGCTTACGTATATGACCTTACAAGGCGTTAGAAGAAAGTGTGCCCCTGTGTTTTAGGTACCAGTGGCACTTTTCTAAATCACACTGCAGCTGAGTGCACGCATCTGGTAAGGAGCGCTAACAACACATAACCTTTCCATTGACAACCACAGCCTATTTTCATACATGATTTCGTCCCCAACTTCCAACCCACCAGTCTCACCTATTCATCCTAGTCATCATCACTGTTCCCCCAGTCTCTGACATCGTCGTCAAAATCATTGTCCAAGGCATACTCATGATCAATATTATCATCATAACCCCCACTCTCGTCTTCCTCCACTGCCTCCCCACCCGCCGCCACATCGGCTCCCTCCTCCCCCTCTTCCTCTTCCGCATCCCCTCCCTCTTCCTCCTCCCCTTCTTCATCCTCCTCCTCCCCCTCCCCCTCCCCCTCCCCCTCCTCTCCCTCCTCTCTCCTTGCAGGAACCCCTCTCGTGTCCCGACGAGAGAGCAAAGGGCATTCACTGATGTAGCACTCACTCAATGTCGGCATTCTCCGGAGAGAGGACGGCAAACGAGCCAGCTTATTGCACGCAACCACCTGCAGCACCTTAAGCTAAGGCAGCTGGGTAAACGAATCCGGCAAGCTTCGCAACTGCCTCAGTCCCAAAATCAGCAACTTTCGGAGGGAAGAAAGCTTCCAAATCTCATCCGGAATGTATGGGATCCCGAGCTTGATAAGGGAGCACGATCGTAGCTTGGACAAACTCACGAAGGACTGTGGAAGCTGCATTAGTTTGTAGCAATCAATAATATCCAGCGTCTCAAGCATTTTCAACTGCCCAAGAGACTCGGGCAGCTGTCGCATCGTGTACAGGTGAACCAGCTGCAAGACACGCAGCCCTGCAAGCCCCCAAAGGGTCTCGGTCAGTGCTTTTAGATTAAAAGCCGTATCAACCCGAAGCCTTTGCAACTGTGAGAGGTGAGCGATGGAGTCAGGGAGAGATTCAAGCCTGTCCATTTCCAGAAGTTTCAGCTGCGTGAAGAGGATAGTTGACCCAGGGACGGACCAAAAGACTCAACATCCATCTCTTTTATCTTGAGGCTCTGAATTGAAGGAAGTAACGTGCTGCTGCTGCTGCTGCTGCTGCTGCGGCTGGTGCTGCTTGTGCTGGTCACAAAGCCTCTGGCAGTACGTCGAACCACCTTCTCATCGCCTAGCACCGCACTTAACCCACCACATGCCCGCACGTCCAACGCCCGCAGATGGGGCAACTCAAGGAGTGCCGGAGGGAGGCATTTCAGGCCGTCCATCCCAAAGATACTGACCTCCTCGAGTGCCTGCAGCCGTCCGATTCCCTCAGGAAACACCGTTACTTTAGGACAATACATCACTTCCAGGCTGGTGAGGGAAAGCACGCCCGAGAAGGAAGCAGGAAGGGAGGATAGCCGTGGCATGGAATAGAGTGACAGCTTCTTGAGGCTTTTTAAGGATCCAAATCCGTCTAGCAGCGCCCCACTGAAGCGTTCGCGTTTCCAATCTTGAGAGTTTCGAGCGTCGTTAGGCCGGAGAAGGTCGGTGGGAGGTGGGTAAGAGCGGTGCAGCCCAGTAGAAGGAAATGGCGCAAGGTCTGCAGACCCTTTCCCATGTCGTCTGGCAACACCGTGAGGCTCTGGCACCTGTCAATCTCGAGGTGCTCGAGAGAAGATAGCTGGGATATGGAGTCTGGGAGTTGCTGCAGCTGCGTACACTCCACTATTTTCAGCTCCCGGAGAGCTGTCAACCGGCCCAAGGTTTCGGGCAGGTGTGTGAGCTGTTCAAGGTCTGTCATGCACAGCTTCTCCAATCCAACCAACTGGCCGAACTCCTGGGGCAGATGCGTCAGAACTCGAAGGTAGTCAAGGGAAAGCTCTTGAAGTGTGGTAACCAAGGCGATGGAATCAGGCAAGGCTGTGAGACTTCCCATATTTAGCACGAGTGTCCGAAGCACTGACAACTGCCCGAAATCTTCGGGCAGCACTGAGAGTTGTCCCATGTCAAGGGTGAGTTCGGTGAGTGCAGGCAGGCGAGGGAGAGACGCGGGCAGAGACGTGATGTCACTCCAGGGATTAATGGTTAGAGTCTTCACTCGCTGGAAATGCTCCAGATCCGCAATAAAGTCGCGCATTCCCCCCACTTCATCCAGAATAATGGTTTCAAGTCCCCGCAGTTGACCGTAATCCACCTGTGACGGAAGAAGAATCCTGCATCTTCGACACTCCAAGACGGCGAGAGAAGAGAGCTCGGTGAAAGAGGCCGGCAGCTGCAACGTCCTGCAATAATTCAAGGAAAGAAGGCTCAGAGCGGTAAGCTGTCCGAAAGAGTCTGGAAGTGACGCCAAGCGGCAAGCGTGCAACTCCAGAGACGTTAAAGAAACCAGGTTGCCGAAATCTTCAGGCAAAACTTCGAGCCTAACAGTTTGCAGCACGAGGCTTTTGAGAAGCTGTAACGAGGTAAGATTGTCGGGTAGACGGGTAACGAATGCCCTGAGGGTTAAGCTTCTGAGTCGTGTGAGTCGGTCGATCGACGTGGGAATGGCAACACCCTCCGAACAATACACACAAAGATCTTCCAGCCGCGTACGCCCCTCGAACAGCGTAACGAGGCTCTTCTCAGATACACCTCCGCGTGACATCGGTTCGACGCGAAGCTGCGTCAGATGGTGAGACGTGCTAGCGAGGTGAGAGAATAAGAAATTAGGGGCGAAGTTGAGGCTGCGATAGGAAAGGATTAGCTTTTCGAGGTTAGGGAACGACGACACAAGATGAACGAGGCGAAGCAAATCCATACGGAGGTCATAAGGCACGCGGAGCTCGTACTGCACGCGGTGCGCGACGCGATGCCATTGCTTGCTAACAAGTGCGTGCTCCAACTGACCATCAGGTCGAACCAGGAAACGTAGAATCCGAGACAGAAGCTCGTCAGGTAACCGATGGATCGGCGATCCGACTGGCATTGTAAAAGGAGGGAAAAAAAAGAAATGCCGCTATTCACCGCGTTAGGTCTGCTACTAACTAGGTAACGTGGCTTCTAATCGTTCTCTAGCTAGGTCAGTGAGACTGAAGGAGTCTTGGGAGGATCAGGAGAAACAGTTTACGGGGGATCAGAGAGTTCATTTCTCTCACCCAGAGACCCTTGGGCCTGTTAGTGGCACCGCACTCCGCCGCTCTGTTATCTCGAACCATTCCCGCCAGATACTCCCACGTTACATCATACTTGCGAAAAGAACGAGCGATACAGGCACACACGACGAACATGTATGTTGACTCTGCGAGGATCGCCTACCGTGCCATTCGCGATCCCGAAATGGATGTGCTGGTGACTGGATGTGGTTGTGTCTCGTTCCCGCCAAAAAAAGGTGATGGCAGCGTACTCGTTTGTGGGTACGAATCACCACTCATCAGCGAAAGTATCTTACCACACTGAGTTGTTATTTGAAAATACCTACGCTTGGAGTGTGGTGAACTACAAAGAGGTCCAATAAGTGGTCTCTTTCTCTTAGATGTGATTGTCATTTCTCGCAGATCTATCCATAGGCAATCCTCATGCATGTTTGTTCATTTTCAATAATTCAAAAAATGACACGCACTGTGGCTGTTCTTTTGCCTCACCAGCAAAATCATGCCCTCCATCAACGCCTCCATGCAGGCCCCCAGAAGTCAGACTTTTTTGTCTGATTTGCTTGTTTTAGTCTGAGATTTCAGACTTTTTTTAGGGTGTACTCTGTAAAATTCAGAGTTTTTATTGTCTCAAGTATGTGAAAATCAGATTTTTCTCTAGGCTGACTCTGACGTTTCAGAGTTTTATGGGAGTGTACTCTGATGAATTCAGAGTACAAACGAGTTCCGACTCTGAATGAATCTACCTGCGCGCTGACACCCAGGATTAGCTGTGGTACATACATTGTACCTGTACCGCCGCCCTGCGGCCCGGTGTTTCCCTCGTACAGCTGGATGTAGTGGTCGAGACAGAAGAGGAGCGCGTTCTTTCTTTCCCTCGGTGTAAGATGCTGCAGCAGTTGCCATGCCACCCACGTAAACGTGATGGCAAGCAGACGCTCCTTTAGGCAGCATCGTGTACCACGATGCTGCAACATCCACACCACACACTGCAACGATGCGCCTCGTCGTTGCCGTGCATTGTAGGCAACCACCCACACAACTCAATGATGGCCCATCTTGGTAAAGGGCCTTCGTGTTTGTGCTAGGGTTTCATCCACACCCCTCAGCTACATCTCACGGGCCCAAGCCAGTGCCCAGTTTTGCCTCAGCCATCATCTCTCTAGTTAGTTCCTGCTCGGCAGGCTCTTTCACAGCCCCGCCATGGCGGTGCTGGACAATCCCGCCACAAGCGACGACGACCCTGATGAGCGGCCTGCCTTAACAGGCTTGGACTTCTTGCTTAGTACACTAGATCTCGATAAAGCTGCACGCGTCATGCCCGATACGATTCCCATACAGAAAGCACCCGCGGCTCCAGTTTTCTCACTTTCTGCCGACCATGTGGCAGAGACATCAGCGAAACCAACCGTTGATTCACAGTCGCAGATTCCGACGCAGACCACGGCGCGCACGACCCGTCTCAAGCAGGCGACCTTGACCTTCGGCAAACCTGCGTCGTCAACTGCCAACGTCAAGAACGCTCCCGGAACATCTGATCGACCGCGACCTCGCCTCAATATCAATCTGGCCGAGCTCATCGAGGGAGTTTACGACGAAGCGATTGACAAGTTCAAAAATCATTGGTCTACCCGTTTTAAGTGGCTCACAATCACTAAAACCACTACCGGCTTGCCTGCGTTCAAGTGTACCGTTTGTGCAGCCTTTGCTGGGGATGCAGGAACTTGCGGGAGGCGCGGGAGAGGCGCCACCGACCTGCAGACACAGTCTTTCCGTAAACACGCTGGCACGGCGAAGCACAAGCTGGCGGTTGAGAGACAGAAATATGAAGAGGAGTGCGGTGGACGGCAGCCACAGATCGACCAACATTGCGCCGCGGTGGACAGTGAGAAGATGCGGACCGTCGCCCTTCTGGACTCGCTGCTGTTCATCAGCAGGTCCGACGCGCCCATGGGGATGTGTGTGAAACTGGTGCGGTACTTGTCGGAGAAGGGCGTGCAAGGCTTCCCTAAGAGAGGGTACGGCACCTACTACACCACGTGAGTGCAACTGCCGTACGCCTCTTTATAAGTACCCACGTTTTAATAATGTTCTAACTAAATTGTTACTGACTAGTGGTTCCATGTGCAGATACGGCTTCGGTGAGCTGACACAAGCTACAGCCACATGGCTCCAGACAACCCAGCTGCAACATGTGCTATCGTCGCCCTTCGTCGGCATCTCGATTGACGAGAGCACGGATAGGTGCCGCGGGAAGCACTTGATCCTGTTCATCACCTTCGTCCGTGACTTCAAGGCCGTCATGGAGTTCATGGCGCTTCTCACCGTGGAGAAGGCCGACGCCGCTTCTCTTCTGGGCGTTCTGCTATCACACCTGCAGGCAGTCGGGGTCGACCTGCAGCGCATTGCAGGCATCAGCACCGACGGCGCGAACGTCATGATGGGCTGCAAGGACGGCCTCACGACACGCCTCCGCATGCGCATTCCCCATTTGGTGTCATCCCACTGCATCGCTCACAGGTAAACCTGTAGGTGCATAGGGTTTTTTGAAGTTCTTTAACGACTACATGTGACTAATGTTTCCCTTTTTTGTTTTTACAGGGAGGCACTGGGGGCTAAAACAGCCGCAGAGAAGATTCCCGCCTTCAACGTCATTGACACGGTGATCCGCACCGTGGCTGAGCATCTCGGTCGAAGTGGGCCATGGCATCAGCGGTTCATGGGGCTGCAGGAAGTATTCACCTCCACCTCACTGGAGCTGCAAGGGATCCATGCAGTCCGTTGGCTTTCGCGGGGCGACGCAGTGCTCAGACTCGTCGCCGTCCTTCCGGCTCTCATCGTGATGTTGAAGGAGTGGGACGCGACGCTCTATGCGCTGGTGACGAGCTACAGGTTTCATTTCCTCCTGTTTTTCATTGCAGATGTGCTTGAGCAGCTGAACATACTCAACAGGGCATTCCAGCACAAGGAGGTAAGCTCTGGTTTATTGTTACTAGTTAAGTCTTTGTGCTAATGCCAGCTTCGTTTCTTCTAACCTTAGTCACTAACCACATGTCCACGTGTTTTTTTCCAGCTTGATTATGCCAGCGTGCATGCGCAGATCAAGCGTACAACATCCCACATCGAGAGCCGCTACGTCGACTGCGGAGACGACTTCGGAGGCGGCGTCAGCGAGCTGCTGTCCCCCTTCATCGCGCGCCATGGGCCTGGAGAAAACCGGGAGGTGAAGGTTGAAGGGATTGATTCGGACGGCCGACCAGCACGCTTCAAATTCGTGCTGCACGAGGACGAGCTGGAGG